TTCAAAATCTCTGAAGGATCCTGAGGTCATGAGAAAGAAATCGGGATATTCGTGAAACAGTCAAGGGCGATCTCGTTCTCACATCGTGGTTTATGCTTACGACTTCGTTGTAAATCCCAATATTTTTTTTAAAAGATCAGGTCAGCAGCGTGGTAAATTACACAAGTGTTGGTAAACTTTTCAGTTTAGTGACGGAATAGGCGAGCTCTATGCAAACCCTCCGGTGTAATACTAGCCCGTCTAATTAAGTTAGAATCTTCGTTGAAGCTAGGCTGTTAATTAGGAAGACCTGCCTTTAATTTTGCCGACCTTACCGCCGGCGGTTTTGTTTATGGAAGGCATCAAACCGGCATGCAAGTCATTATTAACTTAAATAACGACCTGCATAATAGAAAACATATAATTTAATTTTTTTAATTAAGCAAATTTAGGGCCGTCAAACTATTATCCACTTTACAAGACAGTCATGGAGACCTTGTAGGTCTGATGTGTCCATTAAAATTTTTAAAAGTATTACTGGCATTTCAATAGTCATTTCGTTCGGAAGAAAACGAGATCACCGTCCATTAAATTTACAGACATAGAATCATGTAAGAAACAAGTTCGTCAGGTTGAAAATTCCTAAGAAACCAAAACAAATAAAATTCGAAAAGTCACTCCCCTTCTCCATCGCCCCTGAACACTTCCTTCCTGAACTCTTCATGTCTATTTACGAGCTTAGCAAAAGCTTTTGAAAAAAGGGAAATTATCTTAAATAACTAGTCTGTAAGGAACATAAGACGTCAAGTTGTGGCTTATTTTCCCTGCTCTGAATACTTTATTGTGTTTAGTCTGCATCGATGTTGTCTTAAAAGATACTTCAGTAGGTTGGTGATCATGGCCTTCCTTTCTCAGACAGAGGCTTCTTAATAATAAGGCCGGGGAGAAGCATTGTACCTTTGTCTAAATTTGTGATTTGGAATGATAATAATCGCTCAGGATATGTGAGTAAAGACTGTGATGAAAATCAGTAGGTAAGAGTATTCTTGAGGGTATATTTTTCCAAATGGCAACATTTGAATGTGGAGTAATTTCAACTTTGTTCATAAACATCAATTGTTCTAGATTTAAAGCTAACCGCTTTTAAGGTCATCATCAACGGCATCATCATCATCATAAAACAAGAACATGGGGTCTCGCTATACTCCCCGTTTAATATAAATGAGTACTTCTTGGGGCTCAATATAGGTCGAAAACATGCCATTAACACTTTTTGGTGAAATTCATGAATCCTTTTATAGTATCAGATACATGTTAATTTCAGTTTTGTATTGAAAGTTCCCGACCCCATATTAAAAGAATTTTGCTATACATGAAAAAAAAGGACGAAAGAAAGAAAGAAAGAATAACATATTTTTTTGTTGTGCAAAACATAGCTTCGAAGTTTTTCACTTCGAAGTGTATGTCTCCACATTAGATCTGTCTCACATCGAATATATAGGGCATGGAATGAAAGAAACGTGCATCTAGACATGTTTTTTAAGAAAAAAAACTCGTGATCTTCTTAAAAGGTGCGATTCTTTTTCCTATGAACGTGACCAATCTGCATCATTTCCAATTGACTTTCTTCTTTAAATCGCGGTAGTAACTCTCGGATGGAGAACGTTTGAAGTCTACCGGGTCAGCTTAGAAACGAGACGTAAATATCGTGATGGACCAAAAGCTATGATGTTTTGCACGCACACTCGTGATGCGATTAAAAACTAAATTATCACAAGCTAATATGTCTAAGCCCATCTAAAACATTATTACCGACTTTTTAGCAACCTAGAGGCGGGTTTTTCTGTAACGTTTTTTTATGAGTCACCAAAGAGAGTGTAAGCAGAACATAACTGGCTATTGGCAAAATGCCGCTTTCCTTTAACCGTTTGATGACTCTTGTAGAGACTTGTATGTCTATTGTGAAGATCTCAATTATATTCAAAATTGATTTAGAATATTGTGGCCTAAAGAAAAATGCTTTTCCGTTTTTCGCTAGCGTGGGGGTTAAGAAAAAAAATTCACTCCCTCGCGTCTGTTCCAATACAATACAATTTCGACAGTGCTGATCACAATACCATGGACAAAATTTTCGTATTTGAGCCTATTATATGGAAGAGTCGATCAACTGGACCTTTGTAACTCAGTAATAGAGAATTGGACCTAAAAGTCTCAAGTTACGGCTGAGGGAATCATATCTGCTTTTCTCTAAGATCGATGAAAAGCAAAATCAGGGTTTTTATGTTCTTGTATCGTTTTGCGTTGGCGTAGACTTTATGCAGACATAAACTGGTAGTTACTCTCAGACAGTGTACTGAGGATGACGTAAAAGGCAAGACATAAAAAAAACAATAAATGGTTCTGAAATATGTTAAATTTTGTTCGGGCACAGTGGCCCGATTAAAACATACCTGGTATAGATCCTGTGGAGGTCAGTCAATGGAGGGAACAATGAAGGAAGCACTTTGCAGAGGTGTAGTCGAGCTTACGGACTTCCAACTCTAATGAAAAGAGGTGCTTTGTCCTGTTGTTTACCGTTCTGCAAGACCCGACGTTATTATTCAGGAGAGGTGCTATAATCAGGGGCGGGTAACATCATACTAGACGCCAATAAATAATTCTATTTACAGTGTATTTCAAGTTCAGATAATATGATTTCGATCTTCTCGTAAATTACCTCCTCGCCCCGGCCTGTCCGCACGTCTTGAGTCAATGTACTATTTTAACTTTCTTCTAACGTCACAGGTTAACCTAGTGACGTCTTAGCTTGATGGAATAATGAACAAGGTTTTTTCGTTTGCAGTTTTCGACAGTTTAGGGACGGATGCGCACAAACAAGATTTGTCGTTATCTCCGGTTTTTTTCATTCTTGATCTGAGAACCTTATTATTACATGCTCCGGCTAACTAATTGCTTGAAATATGTTGTTTACGAGCTTTATTTAAAGTACCTTTGCATTGTTTTCTTATGTAATGATAATGCCAAGAAGAAACAACAGCTTTTTACCGTACCGAACGTCAGAATGATCATGAGATAAAACGATCGGGGTTCTGAGCAATATCATCAGGAAACATGATGGCCTAAATACGAGCCAGTCCATAAACTCGATCTTGGCTGCCATCATCCGATGTTTTGCTCGATTAGATTAACAATACAGTCGGCGTAAAATTCCTATTTATGCTAAACAAAGAATTTGTTGTAAATGGCAATAAAGCCACGTTGTCATTGCTGTTGTTTTTGTCGGCAGAGGGATCGAAAATGAAACAGGCCCACAAAACATCGAATTCGAGCTTACCGCCTTGCTCTTTAATCTAATACACGCGATTCCGATGAAAAACAATGTGCCAGATGAATTTTTTTCGTACCTAATGAAAAGCTTGCCACACTTTTATACTTTCAAATGAACTAACCTTAATTTAGGCTAAATACCACAAGGTATACAAATGTTTCATTTACCTCTGCAGATAAAACTTTTACTTGTGTATGCCAATCTGTATGTTAGATGACTAGGAAGGAAGCAGATGTAAACACATTACGATTGCAGACAAATCTTTTTAGCCTTACAATTATATTTTACCTTGTTAGAGTTCTTCTGGTTCCACAACAGCGTCTTGTTTCCCTCACGTCATGTGTTAGTCCCATGCAAGATCGTGGTTTGCAGGCATCTCATGAGCGTTTTACACTAACTCTTATGATAGTCAGGTTTAGCCGGTCGCCATGTTTGATTTTGGTATAAGCGTGAAAGTAGGAAGGGAAGATTATGGAAAAGTAGGAAACAAACTTTTCCCTCTCTTTTCTCCCTTTCTACTCTCGCATTGAGAACTTTATTTTTTCTCAAACCTTCCAATGCTTCGAAAATCGAAATTGACAGCCACACATTTATTTGCTTGGAAAGAGTGCATTTGCTCGCCGACATCACATCACATCTACAAAAGTAGGAACTTGTTTATATGTTGAATAATGGTTGCTCTCATGCGATGCTCCGCTGGATTGAACCAACAAAATAGTCTGAGTAAAATTTGCTATGTATATTACACAAAAAAATACGTTGTCAATGGTAACAATGCCTCTTTGTTGATGTTGTTTTTTTCGTACGTGGGAACAGAATGTGAAAACCGGGGAGCTTAAGTTGTCTCAACGCCGACGCTTAAGGGAATGGCGATTGAATAAAATATATTTTGTTGTCTTTGTCTCAAAACGTTTGCGAATAGCAAGATGCATTTACCGTATTCATTTGTATGAGGTCTCTAAGACTTTACATCGTAAGTAGCATTTACTCTTTCCACGACTTAAGTTTCCGGAGTTCTCTCTCAGAAATATGCAAAGTGCGTTTATTCCCCTTTTTTTTTACGGAATACAGCTAATAAACTTGCAAATCAATAAAATATAAACACACCCAATTTTCTGCTTGTCTGGAAAATCGTTTATTTTTCCACTTGATTTGTATACGGGATCGCCAGCAACTGTGCCTCGCCTCGCCGGAACTCATCTTTTAAATTTCTTAAACCAGTAGGGAGTCCTTTGCTAATTACCCGGTCAGATCAACAGACTTAGCACCCAAATCCGCTCATTTACAAAGGCGGACACATTGTAAATCAAAGAAAAGCTTGACGCCCGAGTCAACTTACTCCTAAATCATACTTTGTGAATAATGAGACGGAGGCTTAGGTCTGTTTTCAATGGGAAAGCTCTTCGCACGATCGGTTGGCATGATCTATTTATCATGGATCAACGATCAAACTAAAACTAAGATCAGGGGCTGCCAGTTTTAAAGTGACTCGGAAAAAATGAAGTTTTCGTAATTGCGTCCATGACTAACAATCCAACACAGATCTAGAGTTGGTGCATAATGAATTCCAAGTACTGGAGCCTCATGTAATTAACACTATCCTATATAGATCCAAAAATCGAAATCTTTCATCAGATTTTTATCGAAAACAAATTAAAAAATTTGTTTTTAACTAAATGTTGAAGTGTTTTCTCAGCTGACGAGATGGAGTGGTTGATATGCTAGTATCAAACATTTAGGGTCGGAGGCAAATATATATTCTGATCAAAAAGCTTTTAATATACTGAATACTCCTGACTCACTTGCTTCTGCACAAGAGATTAGAGTAGTCTTGCCCTCTCACACTTCACACCCCTCAAATACATTTGATAAATTGTGATAAATTGAGTGAAGAGAACAGACTTCTTCCTGCAAACGCCTTTAGGTTCTCTGTTTCAGTTCCCACTTGTGTGTGTTTTTTTTAAACGTATTTTCAGATCACAAGTTGTTTCTAAGTGGTTTGCGCGCGGTGCCAAGAGGTCAAAAGAGCCCTGGAGGCTAACCTTTTCCTTTCTGACGTGAAAGAGTCCTTACTAGATTGGATCAAACCTCTGGAGTTAGGGATTTTGTCAAAAGCACAATCGGGCTGGCAAGCCTGTTTTGAAATCTCATTTCTTAACATGCGGCACTTTCCCTTGGTAGAGGCCAGAATGTCAAACAGTGGTCTTAGCATTGGCGGTTCCCTCATGTAGCGCGACGCAATTTCTACGTGAAGAAGTTCGTTTCTAAGCCTCTGCACTTGTAGTTGTTCACGTTTCAGATCTGTCTGCAAACGGTGGATTCGCTGTTCGTTAGACTCGCGGGTAAATGAAGTGAATTTCGTGTCGTCATTGGTGGATCTTGCAAATGTTCCTTGCACGCCATAATTCGTGTTGGTGTGAGTTTCATGGTGGAGTACAGCTTTTGTAATGTGATTTCTTGGGTCCACTGTTTTGTATCGATCTTTCGATTGGTTAAGTTTTCTTTCCAAATTATGAAATATGCTGAAAGGAACGGGAATATTTGCGGGCTCACTACTGATGTGCTCTCTTGATCGACGCTGTCTCCGGATTTGAATGAATTTCAATTCTCTACTGTAACCCGAGTAACCTAAAAGAGCTCTCCACTGTCGCGCAAGGTAAAGAGCTTCGAAGCCTTTTACGGCGAAGTCCGGCACTAGCCGCAGAATAAGGTTGAAATTTGTGTCACGTGGTTTCTTTGACAAGTTCATGTTGTGGACTGCTTCGGAACTCTCTGCACTCAGTAGTCTGTGATCTATGGGGCTTGGTTCGAGTAGGTAACTCCACTTCTCGAGAACTCGACCCAATGCCTCGGAAAAAGGGGCAGCTTTGTCATCACTAAAGAACAGGTGAAGAGGTTTGTAAATTGAGAGGAGGAATTGTTCGTAAAGCTGTCTGGATTCGAGACAAGCTTGAAGGAATCTGATCAGCATATCTGTTGGTTTTTCTATTTTTGTTATAGTCTTCTTCTTCCCAGGGAGGTTTTGTTCCCAGTGAATAAGATCTTCAATCTACAGATAAAAGGGATAAAGAACCCGTTAGTGGCACACTTACCATGAAATGTAGTGTGAAGCAATAAACTTAAGTAAAAGGAATTGAGCGCGTTACGAATAATTGCCTGAGCCACTCTGGAAGATTCTATCCCCTAAAAATTTCAAATTCGCGGTTTCATGCTTTGCCGAGTGTCAAGCCTTAAACTAGCTTCAAATGTGACAAGCACCTACCCATTCAAAGTTGTTTACCTGTTTTGCGGACACAAGTTGCGTTACAGAAATTTCACGCAATCTCTGACATCTCCATGATTTCCAGAGAGAAGTAATTTGTTTTAATCGGCGGTAGAGATCTTCCAAAAAGTGATCTTTATCAATTAAAAACAATTCCAACTCCTCTTCAAAACGGCGCAGTTCTCTATCTAGTTTCGCCTCCTGGGCCGCCTGTGACACTTCCTTCCGATCTTCTAACTAAAGAATGATGAACAACGATTGAAAAAGACATAACAAAACTTAAAATAGATGTAAACACGTACAACTCAGTGGGTAGTGTATGTTCACAGGAAATAGTATGTTATTCAAAATAATCTTGGGCGGGTTCGGAAGTACACCATCTGGCAACAATGGAAGTCAGGATCGTGTGTGCGTCAGTGTGAAAAGAAGGTCTCCTAACCCAGAGTCACCGGAAGCACACTTAATGATCTAATATTGAGCTTACTTTAGCCCAGCTGTTTTTGATTATGATAATGATGCATTTATATTGTACTCTCCACATGAATATGCTTTCATGCTCCTTACAACACTTTGTGGGGAATTTTGGCCAGACTGTACTGAACAGTTTAAAATTTTCGAAAGAGAAATTTGCGATGGCCTTACTAAGTTAGGAAGTTTTGCATATTAGGAAACGAAGTTTTCATAGCCGAGTTAATTCGTTCTTTATTCCTCATTGTCTTACTTTCCCCATCACAACAAGTGACCTATAGCTATATGCTTCGAATTCCTGACGATTTACAAAATCTGTATATCATTATGCAATTATGGTATCTGAGGAAGCCTTTTCATAATAACCAGGGTTTTGTACAACTCATCCCCCTGAGAGGGGAGAGTAGGAGTGGTCACTAGGAACGAGGTTGTACCGTAGGGGGAACTGATTGAGGACGACCTGACAGGGGAGAAGAGGGGAGGAAAGTAGGTAATGGCGAACCAAGAGTCTCGACACCCAAAGAGATTTTAGAAGACAAGAATAACCATGGAGACTTAAACTGAAAGAAAAAGACTTGAATGAACAAGATTTCACGACGTCCAGCAAACACACTCTTAATTTTATCGGAATTAAGCACGGGATCAGGCAGAATTCCTCGAGACTAAAGACGATTTAGTTATTCGAACCCTCAAATCGCTTTAATTTTGAACCTTGGTTTAGAAAGAGTTAATAATGATAAAAGTAAAAAATATTCGTGGTTGTTCGTAATTGCACTTCGAGCCACTCAATCCATTAAATTAGGTAAAAAAAAAACCGTTGATGAAGGTAGTAGAACTCGATTGCGCGACACATTTAAGTGAATGTTTCAGTTTCGCCTGACTCTAGGATGGGCAAAACAATCCAGCATCTTCATAAGAATAAGAAATTTAATCCTAAATCAAAAACGCATCTTTGACCGACGCAATTCAAAGATACAAAGATACTTTGCCCGCCCGAATTAATTTGCGCCCTGTAGGAAAGAGTGCAAGTACTAATTACATTTGTTGTAAAAAGCCAAAGACCACAATTTCTATTGATTCACCAGCCAAGTAATCCGATTTGAGTATTGTGGAATAACAAACAAATATGAGTTTATCTTTGTCTATCGATATCCCTCTTAGAAAAAAAAATGCCGGTAAACCAATTAAAAGTATTCACGCAGCGCTGTATTGAGGTCGGCTTTGGGGTATAGAAGGGAGATGGATTAACTAAAAGAATTTACTTTCAATTGTAAAAGATAGACACTCGAGACCCTTCTCTTTCTATTCCTCATAATTCTTGGATTTTGGTCTTCCAAACGTGAGGAGAATATCTGAACGATTTCGTCGAAAATTGTTTGTGAAAGTTTGCACCTGGCGACATCCATGACAGTTTACAGGCTTCGTTCATCATGCCAGCCTTCGTTCATCATGCCAGCCTCATGATAGTCTTTAAAGTTTTAACCATTGGGAAAGGTTCAAAAGTTGTTCAATAAATTTTAAACTATATACTTACAGTTGTCCCAGATTTATCCAGCAAAAACATCACTTCCAAGCACTACAGCTAAAAGCGCTTTCGTTTCACTGCGAAGTTTTTTTAATTATTTCTCTGAGCTTACTGTGGTTTTGTGATCGTATCATCAAGGTAAACAGGCTTTTATTACAAATCTTTCCGATCGAGATCGCTGACAAATATTTTGCTAGCTACTGGCTATTCGTTTCTAAGGAACATTCCCAATTGGCGATAATTTGCGGTCTTTAGAGATCACCTTTTATCGACTACATGTTGTTTATGCTAAACATCCACTGAACTGAGTTTCAAGAAAGCTTTGTTAGCAGCGCTAATGAAGTTTCCCGCTGGGATAAACAGCAAATGTATATGTAATTGGCTAGACAAAGATATAAAAAAACCGGGCGGACATTTTTTTTTTTTTTTTTTTTTTTTTTTTTCCCATGAACCAGCCCTCCACAGCGAATTAATAGATTTAAAAAGTGCAGTGGATTAGCATAAAAACTGTCATGAATCACCGATTTAAAAAAAAATTAAACACTTTTCATTCTTTGCTTATATTTTCTTAAGCGCTGGGCAGGATTACGGTAAAAAATGTCGAGAAACCCTTTCTTGCTAAGAAAGCAAAAACGTCTTAAGTGAAGAAGCACCTCAAAAAACGTTCATACAAACGTTTCTCCGATACCTTCCTTGCCTAAAGACAACTAAAGGATTGTGTGTCAATAAGATGTAGCGATCTAAATATAATATGCAGCTACGAATGGTCAAAATTGAGCTGAAAGTTATCTTAAAAGATAAGAAAGTTCGTGTACATCAGAGCTGATAACGAGGGTATGCGTATTCCTTTTAAAAAGGGAAATAAGGTTTCGCACCAAGTAATAATTAATACTTATGTAACTTGATATTCGACGGATTTGTCACTCTCAACGTTTTCATTTTCGATCAGTATCTTTACATTTCTGTGAAAACGTCAGCCAATGTTTCGAGAGTACCACAAATCATTGTGAAACCAATTTATTGTTGACATACTCGTTTTTCTCAGAAAAAAAAATTTTAATCCTACTTTTGTTCAAGCATAAATACTGCTCTAAATACCGTTCAACCAAAGTCATGGCTAAGACTGATACAAACTCAATCAATAATTTTATATAAATTTATGAAAAATTTAAATTTCATAATTCTGTACATACTTTTACAATAGCCAATAAATTTTATTCCATTTCATATAAGTAAACTAAGCACTCTATTCGTTTCTCTTCTCACGAAAACCTTTTTACCCTAACATCAGTGTCCATATTCTCCATAAGTCTTCCCCTTTCGTGCTGAAATGGAGAATTCGTTTAACCCCAACCCAATAGGGTTAAAAGGGCTTAATAAATCCCAAATCCCTTCTGTCTTTGCAAACTGGTAGCTGAGATTCGATTTTAAATCAAGTTCGAATTCTTATATAAAGCACAATTGGTTTCTCTTTTCCCCATCACAGTTTTCCACATTTTCAATTTCACAACCCCGCGCATACTGGAAAATAACCAGTCAAATTTTACGTTATCTCCTTTCCTTGACAAAAATATGTATCAGCACACTGAGCAATTGTTACTGTGGCGAGCGAGGTATGTGTTTGGTTCACTATGTGAACACGTTGTTGTTTTTCCATTTCTTGTTGGAGCAACCATTCATCGTATAAGTAGGCATACAAAACAATGGATAAGGAAGGAAATCGTGATACATTTTCTTTTGTGAGAGGCATCCCAACGATGACTCAATTTAAGAATAACACTCTTGACAAAATAATCATATTAACTCAAAAATTTTCTCATGCAAGCGCTCAATTTTCTCGCCTGTGGAGCAGGCGTAATTTTTGCCAGCGAGTGCCAAGTAATTTGATAACGAATATTATAGCTGCCATCTTTGATTTTAATGGCAGCGGAAGGCTGGGGAGAGTAGAAATTTATACCGAGGGGGCGGTCGACGGTCAAGAATAAGGAGAGGGGTGGGGTAGGGGAGTGAAGATTACACCGTCTTTTCTCCCCCGCCCCCTACCCCCACCGTCCACTTTTAGCGTTAGCTCGCACTAACAAGACGCCTGCACTACAGGCTATCAATTTTCTAATCGGACCTTCTCGTTTATCAGCTTTCATTATCTCCTATACTCTTGTTTCACAATATCTTTCACTGATCTAAGGATTTTAACGTATGGTAAGGGGGATAAGAGAAAAAATATTTCTATCCAAGCTTTCGGCCGATATGATTCCAATAAAACAGTAATTGACCAAACAAAGCTTCTTATCTGCGAGGTGAAACTGCAGCTTTAAATACCCTCCTAATCCTTGAAATTCTCTCCAGTGAACGTTTTTCCTCCGAGGTGTCTTCATCCTACACACGTGGCGTCTCTTGTCTTAAAACGGAATCGTTCCCAAGCTCCCGACTATTTCCCGTTGTGTTTCCAGTAGCGCTTGCTCCTCAACGTAGTCTAGATCAACCGAGGTCACAGTTTGTCTGTTAACCCCAGCTGCAACTAGAATGAAAATGACAATAAAAATAACAATCACCATGATAATATCATCATCATACACAACATCACAGTCACACACTTGGCTGTGCCTCATTTGCCATGTTTTTGTTCTTACCATAATTTTGACGTTATCTGTAATCTATCACTGGACAGACGCACAGCAACGTGGAATTTATTCGTTAAGTAGCGCACAAAAGAGGGAACGAGCAGTCCAAACAATAATTCATTGAAAATTGGGGACTTTATGTCCCTAAAACACGTTTTACGAAATTTTAAACAACAACGCTTTGGAAAGATTGGAAATGCAGTCGTTCCAACCGCTGTGTCACTAGCTGTAATATGCCCCTCTGCGTGAAATAATATCAAATGCCTTAAGTCTTACCGCTATTTCTCAGAGTGTTCATCAGATTTGTCAAAGGTAAGAAACTTTCTGAATCGGAATCTGGAGGTAGTGAAAAGAGAGACTTTAAGAAGAATCTACTCATTAAGTCCCTCAACACCCAATAAATGTATTGCCGTAACGGCTTCAGGCGAGAAGAGGAAGTTTTCGATGGAGTGTTGGTAAAAAAACAACTGTAATTGAAAAGGCAAAGAAAATAGTTAATAGTCAGACTCAGTTTTTGGCGCCGTAAAACGCCTAGGTGTCACCACGTCACAACCGGTTTGAGTAACTAATCAGTCAATGACTCCAAATTACAAGCAACATCACATAGATAAAGTTTGACAATCAATCGAGAATGAAGATGAGGAGGATGGAATGTGGGGCACTGGGTCAGAAGCTCATATCAATCTTCGACAGAACACGGGACGAACATTCGATTCTGGTCAACGTCTATTTGATATATAGGCCAGGACGGTGGGTGACACAAGACAGTTATAAGCTTCTGATGACACTTGATATGAACGGACAGTGACTGCCCTTCTTGCCCTTGACTTTGAAAGTAAAGAGCATCGACCCTTGATGAGAAACATGCGCTAGAAAATTAATTTCGTTTACAATTTTCATAGAACAGAGTTACCTACCGGCGTCCACGAATGTAAACCCAGTAAGAAGGCTGTTTCCTCTGCCGGTATGATGACCTTCCGAATTTTCTCGGCCTTTATGAGAATAAATAAAGGAATAAAGGACTGAAGTATCGAACGATTGAGGGAATGTTGGTCGAAATCGATTCATAAAAACGCCGTTGGACCATACCTCCTGACGAGTCTTTGTTTAACAAGTCCTCCGCGAGCCTCTGAGAATATAACCTAATAGAGAGAGAGAGAGAGAGAGAGAGAGAGAGAGAGAGAGAGAGAGACGTGTCTTACTGTCTTACAGTAGAACATGTTTTCGTATAAACTACTCACAAACCACAAAGCTACTACTTGGCGAAGAGAATCATATTGTGAGGGGTGTGTTTCATACACAAATGTACTTTGGGCGTGAATGACATCGCGCCTCACCTGGCTTTAAAAGGATGATCCCAGCGCAGTAAGGCCTCTTTAGCAAGAGTCTAAGAAAAAACAGTAGATTTGTATCGACTAAATCAAGAAGACTACTGGCAAATCAAACGAAACTATTTCCAAATAGCTAGCTCAGTGAGGTAAAGAGTACTACGCATATTTCAACATTTGCGTGTTTCGGTAAAATCGTTACACCGACAAGAAAATGCATATAAAAATCGTATACAACCAATGAATTTGATTGTGAAGTAACTTTTACTAAAATAAAAAAGCGACTCTTACACATTGCAGTTTAATGTAAACAAAGCCAACTAAAGTGGACTTGACCCTTAACCAACACTGGCACAAACTAAAAGAAAAAGATGCTTATCTCCAAATTATTCCCGAAACCCTTGACTGTATACAAACTTCCCGCCCATTTAAGCTTCTCCAAAGGTTCGGTCTCTGCCGACTACAACAACCAACCCTCTGAGAGGGTGACCGGGTTCGTAAATTAATTGATTACGTACTCTAGAACGTCACTATGCTTTCTTGAGATTTCTAGAAATTCCATTTCACAGTCTCTCTCCAAAACACACAATCTGTGGTTAGGCTAGCTCCCTGAACAAAGGGAATCAACTTACATGCTTCAAGCGACAAATGATTCGAAAGACAAATTCCTCCTCGTCTCGTTCACCTTGTTGGAATTCTGCAGGGAAAAAATGATAGAAATGTGCAACTTTCGATGAAAAACATCACATGCTACTATCAGCTATTCTAGTGGAGGCGGCTGAAAGAACAAGCGGAGACTCTCAGGAGTATGTTGATTACAGTTGAAACGCGTTTCGTTTTCAACGTCAAATTTTACCAAGATGTACTCGGCCAATGTACCAGTATGAAAAGACGGGTTTCCATTTGAAATGGGAGCCGACATAAAACGTTCACTCTTGTGGGTCATGGGTGTGGCAAACCTGACTTTAACACTTTACATCCTAACATCAGTATGCATATTCCTCATACTGTTCGCCATACATTTCCTAAGGTGCTGACTAGGAGAATTTGTTTAAAGATCTACCCAGTCGTAGGGGATCAACGGATTAAATAGAATAAAACCTTAAAGTTACAGTTTTCGAGGGAAGAACAACATGAAAGAGGCAAGAGAAGCCTCAAAAACAGACCAGTGGCCCGTTTCTCAATAGCCCTGGTAGTTCCTGGTTCCGCAGAGCTATTTTACGTTTGCCGTTTTACATTAAAGATCGGAATATTAATAGCTTTGAAATTAAAACAATAAAAACATGAGGTAACCAAGAATTTGAGGCTAGTTTTGAGCTTAATCCTGCATTACCATTCCTTAGTCCTTATAGGGCTTCGGACTTTTGGGACTTTTCAGAGACGGGCGACATAACGATTGAAAGACAGCGGATTGACTTGAATTGCAAATAAATGACTTATTTTAAACAATTTAAGCTAAATTTTATCAAATAAAAAAACTTTTGTAAAATGTTTACCTTCAACAAGTCGAGTTATAAAACCTTTCGTCAATTGCAACACGCTATTATCCACGTACTGTAAAAACATTCTACGAGAGAGACAGTACAAAATACCCTTTCGAATTCATCGATTAAAAGAAGACTAAATTTTTTTATATCTTAAAATACAGAGTTTTTCATTATACTCAGAAATGTGAAGTCAGATTTTTTCTTGGGCTTTCTGGGGAACAAATGAAACTAAAAAATGTTACGAGTTAAATGTAACACATTCGCTTTGAAACCGAACTTCTGAACACAACTTCCGAACTTCTGGTCTATACTTTATAACACTTACTCGAGAAGTTTCAAAGCCAATTCGAAGAAAAAAGCTCAATGGGGCTGCGAAGGGAACTCCAAATGCTCTTTTATTTCTAATTGTTTTGCAAAAGTTTCAACAGGTCCAGAGTTCAGAGAAGAAATACAAAGCGAAGAGTATTGCCGAAGAATACAACAAATGCATGAACCACCGTAAAGGGTAAAAAAGCTGACGTTTCGAGCGTTAGCCCTTCGTCAGAGCGATTGACGAAGGGCTAACGCTCGAAACGTCAGCTTTTTTACCCTTTACGGTGGCTAATTTACGTTTTCAACCCAGTTGTTAACACTAAATTACCTGCTATACTCTCCCACCGACGCAGCACCACAGTTTCTTTAGAAACTTACCCCTTTATTCCTTAGTCAATGAAGTCTCGTACCTAGTCCTTTCGATCAGGAGACCCGCACACTAATCATAGGCCACCTCATCGAGCGCGAGGAGCACAGATATGACAAACATAAAAAAGTTGATCAACACAACAATCTTACCTTCTTTCCAAGCAGCGAAACCCCAGGCATGTCATCGATGTACGGAAACCTGAAGGAAACAAACGAAGACGAGTAACTTGTATCCCTGTGTTGGAGCGATGGTGACTAATCAACTTAAGGATATCAACAACATTAACAAAAAAGAGAACTTTTGGAAACTGGGAAAGGTGAGATCGTTTAGTTTTTCATATTCTGGATGTTCGTCGAGGACGACCTCTATTTGATTTGGTTTGACCAAAATATTCCACAATCCCTAGCCTTGTTGAGTCACAGATAGTCAGACGATTTTAAAGAGTGGTAAAAACAGCATCAGTGGCACTCGAGCCGTGAGGGAGTGTCACGGACATTGGTAACAATATTACTAAGTTTAACCGTTGTACTTCCATAGTCAGTGAAAAAATCTTCCATAGAAATACGCAATTACGCAGTTAACAGTTTAACAGCCTGAGGACACGAGTGGTGGGGTCACACCAACTGATTAAATCCAATTCAACAACTGTCTCGTTTAAAAAAACTAAATTAACGAGATCTTTGATTATCTCCTTGAACAAAAACGTACCAGAAGGAAGAGGAAAACTTAGCTCGGTCACAGCTGTAGAAAATCTCTCCACCAACTGGAAAAATACAACTTCACGCATCGTTCCCCGCGAATACCTACAACAAGATACAACATGCCCATGGGTAAGGTTATCAAATACATTAATTGTTATTTAACTCTACCAAAAGGCACAAAACGATTAGCAGAGATATAATGAAATAGAGAGGAACCCAAAAAACCCAAGAGGTTGATACAACAAGAATTAAATGAACGACGCAGGGAGATAGCTGAATAATTGTCATTTACAAGAAAATGATAATAATTAAAAATTCCTTTCCTGTAACATAAAAAAGAGATGGGGGAGGGGAGAGAAAGTACTGACGGTTATGACAGAAAATGTTAATTATAAAAAACAAATAGGAAATGGAAATGATGGTGAGAACTATAATGTTAATAACAAAGATTATAATGTGAATAACAAAGATGATAATAATAGTAATATATATATGAAGTCTGCGTATTGATTTTTTTCGTTTTACAGTGCTCGATAGGCAGAAGTAGAGCGCGATACATATTACGATAGAGGAAAAAAACAGAGAGGCTATACTTTCATCCCTACTAGCCTGTTTCGTGATTGCTCATTCGTTGCTCACAAAAATCCCCTGATGAGTAAGCAATCACGAAACAGGCTTGTAGGGATGAAAGTGTAGTCTCTCTGTTTTTTTCCCCTATCGCAACATATATATATATATATACATATATATACATATATACATATATATATATATATATATATACATATATATATATATATATATATATATATATATATATATATATATATATATATATATATATATATATATATACATATATACATATATACATATATACATATATACATATATACATATATACATATATACATACATACATACATACACAAAGAAAAACGTTGTATGATTTTCAGGTGGTCATCGCAAGGCACTCCTTTTGCTACGATTGGGTAACAAACTGGCGCTATTTACATGTATTTCTAACCAATTGGATAAGACAAGTAGAACACTTAGTTAGGAAAACCTATGAAATACTTCCAACAGAGACTTTATCGACGCCAAGGGTAGAGGACAGAGTGGTTTTGCTTTGTGAGACAGGACAAGGTGGAAGGGTTTGCTTGCGATGGGAGTAGCACTCAATCCATGAAATGTTTAAAATTTCAAGGATTTGAGTGGCAGTCCATCCAAAGCAAGTTTTCCTACAGGCGGAACCAGAGATGCGAAGGGCATGGGTGTAGCTAGACAACCAGTTAATGAGATCCTTCAAGAGTTTTGCTTGCAAAAGATTCCCCACACGGGTATCCTGCGCTTTTGACAAGAACATCGATCCTCTGAATTTTCACTAGTTCATTGGATCAACTAGGTTTTTTCTAATTGACAAGATATTACCATAAAGTAAAGACTTAAACGTAATTTGAATCTTACAGCGGATAGCTAAATGGATTGTCAGTGAATTCCAACGCTTGAACAAATAAACGTAACAGCTGTTCCGACTGGCGTGCCTGGGGAGAAACAGAGAAATTCTACATTATTTTTAAGCCTAAATGAGGAAATATTGCCTCTTTGATATTTGAAAAAATAAAAAAAAAATGGCTGACATTCCGATGGTTGGAGGTAAATGATATACCATCGGTCATACAAAGATTTGCAAATATAAACATTTTCTAAGTACAAAAGACCCATGGACTCTCCCAGATATAAACATCATTTTTTGGTATGGTAAATGTTGGTCTCCTTTTGGGTAAAGGGTTGATACATATTGTTTCATGAGAGGTCATTTTAGATTTCGTTCGTAACAGAAAAAATCTACATAAAATCATTAACAAAATTTTGCACTATCTAATGTAAAAGTCTACAAAATAAATTTAGCAACACTGACCTGACAGTTGACATATTCAATGGCAATGTTGTTAATTTTCACTTTTGCTTCTTTTGGCAAATTATTATGTAAATGAGCTACAAGACGATCGATAGTCTGCAACAAATGTTAAGCCCCATTAATTTAAAGAACGAAAAATAAAGGCATTCTGAATTAAATAATTTTAATTTTAATTTTTACTATATTTAATCTTATACCAGCAAAACCTGCAATACACAACACCGTTTAACATAATAGATAATCACAATAACTATAACTAAATCACTTTTTGTACAATTTAACTCATTTGGGTTAAATATTGTATTTCAAAAAGTAAATTACAAACACCCAATTACAAAATCACCACAGTACCCAATCCGAGCAAACTAAAACATCACACAACGCCAATGAAAGCTTCAAGAAAATTCCGTTTTGTTGAGGTCAGAGCACCTCAGTTTAAAGCATCGAAGTTTCAGAGAAGAATGCTACAAATCTCTCTAAACTATCATCAACTTTACCATGTTTTGTTTTTTTATCTCAGCCACTGATCTTGACTCTTCAGGAGTATCGAGTAAATCTTTGCTTTCTGATAAAAATATCAAATCACCAGCATTACTTTGGCAGAAATATCGGTCAACTTTATCTCCCTCAAAAATATTTAAATTATTCTTAGTTTGAGCTGTTTTTGTTATTTATGTCCTTATTGCTGTTTTTCTTTTTTTTTTTACATGGTTCATGGTGTTGTTGTTTCTAATGTTCTTGTTGTTGATGTCATTGGTGTGGATGCTAGTAATGGTGACGTCTTGTTGTTGTTACTTTTCTTGTATGCTCAACTGCTTAATTCAGCGAAACATAACACCCTTTACGATCTGTAGTGAACTTCGTTTGTGAGTGCCGTATATACTGTATGTCAGCTAATATTGAAAGGTATGAAAGTGTTTGACAGCAAAGTGGATAAGATTACACAGCTAAAAAACTGCAAATATTTATGAGAGGAGTTCTTTACTTACTACTGCTTGTTTGGGAAGTGAGGGAGTAACTGCTGCCAGAGAACTTTCTAATTAATAAAATAAATAAACCGTGGTTACAAGGAGGTCTCGCCTTCAATAGGAATCAAAGTTTGTTACGATACTTGAAGATAATATTTTCAGAATCTACAGTAAAGCATTATTACTTGGCTGCAGAGATGCGTTTTTGCAGCGACTTCACCAGACTAGCGTGTGTCGACGTTACCTCCACCTAAAAAAGAAAGAAAGAGAAAAAAAAGAGAGTGGCTTGCATTAGTTTCCGGGCAGACAGTTTGCCTTCGCAATGCCCTTCTTCACTCAGGTTATAAATGAGTATCGGAGAATTGTTCGGAAAACCTATACATGATAAAATACTACAAAGACTTTATCAAGGCTAAGAGCGGAGCTCAAAGTGGTTCTTCTTGTTAAACTACGCTCACAAATGCCAGACGTTTACCCGCATTGGAAATGGTTCAATTAGTACAAAGAGGTTCTGTTTACCTCTTCTTCGCTATCCCAGTCTTCTTCATGAAACTCAGGGGTAGGAACATTTAGTTTAAACCTAGAACAATAAGCAATAGTTAGGTATCAAAAGCCATTACAAGAGATTCGTACACAAATTTCAACGACAGACAACACTTGGCCGAATTTGCCTTTCGTTTCCACCAAAAATTTAGAAAATTGAGAGTCATGACGAAGAACTTAATTGGTTTATTAACATTGTAAGACTTTTTGGACGGACTTCTTCTGATTACAGTGCGTCAAACATTTAAGGCCTATTATTAAAACAAAGTTTAGTTATAGTTTAGCAAAACCGTGTCCTGAACAATCCTCAATTTAACTGAACTTTTATCTGAACATTTTTTTTTTGGAACAGTGTCAAAAGGACCGAGAGCCAGCAAAGGGAGGACATTTATCTAATTAAATTAACCCTCTTGTCAGAGAGCCCAGGGCCCACTGATTGCGTGAACCCGCGGTTTGGGTGAGACCTCGTGCCAATAAACCGCCCTTAGAGTGCAATCATTGATGACATGAATTAAATGAGGAAAAGAACTTGTCATGAAAAGTCTTTCGACTCAAAATGAGATAAGCACCTTATTCTCGACACAAAATAAATAAATATCAAATCTTTTAATTGTGATGAGTTTCAGATAGCCGAGTTCAAATGGAGCAAAAGAAAGTTAATTTCTTGAATCACTGAAAGGATAGAACTCTAAACTTAACTAACCTTGGCGGAAGCCTTTTCGTGCTTCCAAGCAAAGCTGTCCAAAAGTCTCCTTGTTTCGTCTTGCTCTAAGAAATTGGAAAGCAAAAATGCACCTTGAAAACAAGGAACATCCAAGGGAGTTTGTTTTGATGAAGTACCAGACTCTCATAGGTTACACACAGAGACATGTATGGCGCTTGGAGAGGAGAATTATCACTCACATGGTAAAAAAGAAAGGGTTTGATGAGGCAATCGTTTAATTAAAAATAAAAGCAAATCTAACCGCAAGCTTGAGCAGCATACACTGACCTTGACATTCTGAAATTCAATTGGAATATCCCTGACAAATGAGCAAGAAATTTGGGCAATCCTTTTCCTGTTGACGTCCTAATACAACAAGATTATAATTATTAAAAAAACGTTTCTCTGGTGGAAAGGAAGTAACAAGATTAAAAATTTAAAATCTCCTCCTTCCGGCTAAACTTATGCCTTCACCAAAGGATGAAAGAAGAGGGAGTGAATTTAAGTGTCTGGCATCGCCTCTTGATGGCAAAAAAATGAGGAAAAAGTTGCGCCATAATTCCCTGGGTTCCGCTTTACCTTTTCCAAATGTCCTCTGTAAGTGTCGACACTAGTGAATGGAATCAAAGCCACGGGTTCCCCCTGGAGCTCTCGACGAAAAGTACCATAAGTTGCACCTAACAAGAATAAAGCCTATAGATTACAAGCGTGCTATCGACATTTTAACTGATAAAGATGAAGTTAAAGCCCACGTACCACTTTTCACGTTGGTATGTGCTCCGTCTCTGGTCATCCTTGTATCTATCTACTTAAGATTTTAGCTGTCTCACTGGTTTTTCTCTCTTGACCTACTGAAATTCAATCTTTCTAGAAAAATCCACTCGTTCTCTTTAACCATCAAACAAATGATCCCCTCACCAACAAGATACTCTCGGAGGAGATCCAAACATTCTGGGCTCGCCGGGTCATGGCTCAGGTGCTCAAAGATCTGAAGGGAACAGCGACATCAACAGCGTAAACAACTAAATCGAGGTTCTGATCGGCTTCGGGGGTCTAAGCCCACAAGATTGGAAACAAAATATTTTATGTACCTTTCTCGTTAAATTAGAATCCCGTAAATGAATAACAGCTAAGTGAAGAATGGCCAGACGCGTACTTGGCATATGAGTCCTATCAGCAAAGAAGATGACATGAATTATTTTAAGAAAAATAAAACGATCTTTATTTACCTCAGCCTAAGCTTGTGAAAATCAAGTAATGCAATGATCTTCGTAGGAGAGCTGCAATTAGATTAATTTTAGTAAAGAGGCCTGAAAAAAAAAAAAAAAACCGGTTTCGATGGGATTCGAACCCAGGCCTCCAAGATACGCGTGGGGCGCTATCACCAACTGAGCTACGAAGCCACAAGTGATGAGGATGAAGAAAAATGTCAACTAAGCGACTACTTGTTGATTAAATATCAAAGTCTCCACACTCGCATCATAAGAATTGTATGGAAGAGGGCGAGGAGATTACAATTGAGATCTTGGGAGTTTAAGGGTTAAGTGGGCGATGTATTTTAGCCATGGCACGACACATACTTAGCAAATAGTTCAGCTAAAGTTTCCTTATTGAAGCTGTACTTGAAGGCATTCCCAGATCCACAGTCAAAAATGTACGGACCTAGTAGGAAGCAAATAAAAGACGGGCGAAAAAGTATTCAACAAAGGTAGTCAGAATCTGCTTTCTTTGCATAGGGCAAATAGGGCATAGGGCTTCTCAAAACTTTCCAAAGTACCCAAGAATACAAGAAAAATGGACGATGTACGTGAAGACAAGAACATATGCCACTGTAAAATTATTTTCTTAACCCTTTACACACTAACATCAGTATGCATATTCTCCATACTGTTCTTTATACATTTCCTATGGTGCTGACAAGGAGAATTTGTTTGCCTATCAAAAGCTTCTTTCCCTGGTGACCATTTCCTTTATTCTCATGACCTTAATGTGTGATTCAGGAGTGATATTGTAGGGAGAAGTTAGATGCTAGTCACTCTCAGGGTTTAAAGGGTCAATGTCGAACGATATTCAAACCTGTGCGTAGAGACGTAGAAACCTCCTTCTTAAGGATCGATAGCAGGCGTGGTTCATTAGGCACAGCATCCTCAGAAGAAAACGTTGGTACAGCATCGTCTAAAAACAAAAATCAAAATATGAGAAAATATTCAACACTTACAAAAAAAATTTCCATCTCACTTTCAAGCTTCGAGTACGTTCTTAGCTTTTCTGGTCAGTAGCGAATGTTTTCAACCCAAAAGTAACAGACGATCATTAATACGATGGTCAGGGTGAAGAAAAGCCTTGAGAACGACTGTTTTCGGAAAATGATCATCAATTCACAAAAGGAGATGCTTCATATTTTGACCACGGTATTTATTCAATTAAACTGGGTTGCTTATTGATTTTTGGGCCTGAACTTTGGCGTTTCATAATTTTTCACCATTTTCAGCTAGTAGTAAGTTTATTTTTCAACAAAAAAGAATAAAATAAAAAGATGTTTCTTAGACAGTGGATGTAGAAATTGTGAGCCAGTTTAGAAATAACAATCAGTATTTCTCTTGCGCACTTTATTTTTTTTGCTTTTTCCAGGGGGAGGGGGAGATAGGGGGGATTGGCGCCTACTTGAGTCTGATCGCTTATTTACTTTTCCTACCTACAGGGTAAGGGCTTGTTCGAGGTTGAGCGCCTAATCAAATCAAACCGGATATCAATTTTTTTCCTTACCTTGTAAGATGATGTGATGACAAGGTTCACGTTCTGTTCCACAATTCAACAAATGCATAAAGCGGCCGGGTAGAAAGACCATCAGGTAGTTATCTGTAGAGAGTTTCAACACGAAGAAATTTATTTGCTAAGCAAGAAACCTCCATATTTGAGTCGAGATGATAGAAAGATAAATTTGTAGTCTATTTGTACCAAGGGGACTATCTGATCAGCTTTTGGCTCTGTAAAGCCCGACCAACTTTTGTTCGCCTTAAAGGACCTTAAAAAAATTTAATCTACTTGGAGGTCGTCGACCTGAGAATAAAAATCACTTCTAGAATGGCTTCACAGGTGTTTACTCATTCTCTTTAGGCCAATCAAACTACCTTGCTGCTGTCCACATAATATAGCAAATGTTTCTATTCTATAGGATACCATAATAATATTTAACAAGCCAAACAACTGCAGCATATGCTCTCAGAACAAAGATATGTAAAATGTTTGAATACCCGATTAACTCTAACTTATACTTGAATACTTACCGAGTGACGAGAAAAACAGACGGTAGTTGAGGTCTTGTGACGGTCGCACAGTTGGTAACACACATTTCATTAAAAAGCCTTCAAAAACAAGAAAAATCATACAGGAGTTGAATACAACGATAGAGAGACAAATTAATTGTCTCAAATAAAGACAAATAAATAGGTTATTAACCGAGTTAATAATTAGTGAATTGGTCACCGTAAAGAGATTCTATAGCTGACGTATCGAACGATGACCTTTTGTTGGAGGGAAAGGATTCGCTGTGAAGAAGGGCCAACGTTCTTCACTGCGGCCACTTCACTTCAGTTCATCAATTCAGTTGATCAGACCAAATTATTCATTAAGTTGAGTTCTGCTCCAAACACCAAGCCAAGAATTAAATCGAATCGAATCAACACTCCATAGAAAATTGCTCTAAAGTAGAAATTGGTTTTTGCTTTTCATCTGACAGTCTGAAAGAGGGTGTCCCCAACTTTAAGACCTATCACAACCATTACAATTTCCTGAAACGTGATTAGTGCATTGGCTACTTTTTTCCAGCAAATTATTCTGTAGAGTTACAATCGCAATCGGACAGAGTAATTAGACAGTTGGCTGTAATCAGACACCAGAAATTGGTCAGTTTAAGCAGCCAATCATATTAAGTCCACTCAGCTAAATTTTACTCAATGTCAATTTTGACTTATTTCCACAATCTTTTGTGCAAAGTGGACAGTAGTTTGCAAGAGACTATCTCTTGCAGACTGTTAGTAATAATTGTATCAGAAGCTATAATGCTTATGATTAATTGGTAACAGGACTTTGTGTCATTCAATTCTGTCTGTAATCATAGTGGTGATTAAAAAATCAGCACACACTTTGCAATTGTCCAATTTTTGTAATTATTTGTATGATTACAGACTGAATTGGACTTGGCACTCAATCTTATTAACATTATCAATCATAAAACTCAGTAGAGCAAAACCAGTGTACATCCCACAATTCTACTCCACTGTTTCCTCCAGATCAAAGGTGACAAACTAGTGAGAAGAATATATAGGAAACATATTCCCGAAGATCAAAGAATATCACTCTGAAAAACAAGAACTCACCATGGTGTAACACATAAACAGAGTATTCCAACTGATTGGAAAGTTCAACAGATTCTTCTGTGTTGTTCTGATTTTAAAAAATAAATAAACTAGATTATGAAAAGTAAACTTCAATGACCTAACTTTTATAGGTCCTTAACTCTTTAAGGGACTGGTCATTAGTCTTCCCCTAAGGGAGGGGGGGGGGGATGTGAAGGTTTAGAGGACTTTGGTTGTGTCACAATAAAATTTACCTGATCCCCCATAAGGTTCAGTAATATTTCCTTATGATCCCCCCCTCTCATTGGCTGTAAATTTGCATTTAATTTTCTATAGATTCCCCACGATACTCTTTTGGCAACAAATGACCCCCCTCTATTCTCCCTGAAACCATGTAATCCCACCCCTCCATTCCTTCAACCCTAGCCCAGGTGATAAAGAATGACTGATCCCTCACTTGGTGGCTGCAAATTAACAAATCAAAACTCCCAGATATTGGGCTGTACAGGAAATAAACATATCCCTTAGTCAAAATGTTGCCCCACTTACCACTTATGTGAGAGTCACTTACCTGTGATCCCTCAGTTCCAACAGATATTGGATGTTGAACGCATATATAAAATGAACCTGACATTTAAACAAAAGTCATATATTAATTAAACAAATCATTATTATCATAAGGTAAAACAATAATAAAAAAAATTCACTTTACAAAATGATATGCGGTACTAATTTACAATTACATTTTCATAAATATTTACTTACAATAGGTATTATTGGTAGTTTACCTTTGCCAGGCAAAGTAACAACTTGCATGTTGACATGTTTCTCTGAAATTACACAGTTGAATAAAAGCTTTTAGTCTGTTGGACTGATTGAGGCATTCCTTATCAACCTTTGACTTGTCAAAATTTATAAACTAAAATATCTTTCATCTATCATCAGCGAAGGCAACAGCTTATATTTGCAGTCTGAAGTTTTCTGGGAATTTTGAGCAGCTGCAGTTAACCTCCACCAAATGTGGCTAGAGCAACTCTTCACTTTTAACCCTGCCACATATTTTCACAACTACACCAGCTAAAAACTGTACATTTGGTGGAACATATGAAAAGCTACCTGAGATAGTGTGAGACAGAGGAATATCAGCATACTCAGGATGTCTAAAAACAAAAAGAAATGTGATATTTAACTTTCTAAAATTATGAATCTTTATATGAACCCTAATCCATAATGAAAAACTGCAAGTAACATTTATATTTTATAACTACCTTGTCTTGCAAAAAAGGTCCACACCAGTGAAGGGAAGTGGAAATTTTAGCTGCCAAAACACATTATAAAAGTTAACTCTTTAACTCCCAGAAGTGATTAACATAAAACTTCTCCCTACAATATCCTTACATTCTTCAGCAAACAGGTAATGAGAATATTCAAACTTATCAGGTAGAAGCTACAATCCTGATCTAGCACCAAGTTCTCATGACTAATTTACAACGAAATGTGTAGCAGCAACAGGGGAGAATTGACAATCAGATCTTGGGAGTTAAAGGGTTAATTTGCCAACAACAAAGAGCAAAATACTAAATACCAGGCAATGAAAAAAACTAAAATTACTCGATGCCATAGTTAATGATATATGCCTTAGCACCATGTGCATCAAATCAATAATAATTAATATTGCACAGATACCAAAATTGCTCTTTAGGTATGAAATCTCATTTCACTGAGACAAATTAAGAGTAATCATTAAATAATGGAGAAAAGAAAAAATAATGATTAACTGACTGTGTAATGAAATGAGGGACTGACAAAAAAAAAATTAGACTTTTAGGCCGTAGGAAAAAGCTTTGTCTTAAATGTACATACCAACTAGTCAAAATCAATTCAAGATTTTGTCTTTAAAAATTGTTTTATAATTAATTCTTGAAACAGTGCTCTCCCTGACCCTAAGTCCTGAACTTACCACCTTTGAATGGGGGCTTCTCTCATTGAACTGGTAAGCTACAAACATGAGATCAGGCATCTCTTCTTGCTCCTCGTCAAGCCCAGAATTAACCCTCTGAAAAGAAACAATTAAAGATAACTCAGAGTGATTCAGAGTTATTCAAAATTTTGGTTTCTGAGCAAAAGATCTGTTACCACTTCAAGTAAAAATTTAGATAAAATGACATTACACTGGTTCTACTTGTTCCTTTGTTACAAGAAATCACCATTTATTTTAATTGGTAGTCTGGAGCCAAGGAAATTCAGGTCAACTACAAAGTTGGCTGAAATCATAGTCACCTGTAGCTACTTCAAACTATCATAATTATATTCTAGGTAATTAGCTACATGTAAATAATTGTGTTTAAATAAATATTAAGTTTTCTTTTCAAAAACAAAAACAAAAAAGCAAAAAGAGATACTTAAATTACAAGCTGCACAATCCTCTGACAACATACCTTGTGCTTTGGGTACACAATGTAGAGTCGCTGATTGCGACAGTCCCATTCTGCCCAAAAAAATTCATCTGCCACTTGCTGTATCCGAGGTTGATCACTCATAATCTTAAAAAATTATCAAGTAAGGTATTGATTTAACACTTAACACTTGTATGAATGAAAACATATACTTTGCTGTAAGATGAATTTAATATTAGATATCTAGGTAGTGAAAGGTTCTCCCTAGAAAACTGTATAAACCCACCATTCCTTTGTCTCCAAATCTGGCCATTGGGAAGTGGTACAATCCAATTGCTTAAAACAAAATCAGTGAAAATATACAATAACAGCTTAAAGATAATCAGTCAGAAAAATGTTTCTCTGAAATTGCATTAAGTAGTCATAGCTTTTTGTTGTTTTCATTGTAAATTGACTTAAGTTACCTAGTACTACATCTACAAAGTCACAAAATCCTATTCAAAGTTATTGTAAGTTACAGCTGTAGTATTTGTTTGTTTGTTTATTGGTCAGTTGGACAAAATCCTACTCAAAGTGACTGTAAGTTACAGCTATAATACTTGTTTGTTGTCTATTGACCAGTTTTTGTTTTAACCTAACTGAGGGTAAAGTTAAATTGTTGTTCTTTTACATGTAAGCATGCTAGTTAATGTGAAGATTTGCTGGTACTGCACCACTAGCTTAGTTGACCCTGGATAACCACACAATACAGTCAACTTTTACTCTGAAGACTTGAGCCTCAAATTAATTAAATTAAAGTAACTTATAAATTGTATGATTTTATTACCTTCTTTATGATGCAAGAAGAGCATATGAGACTCCTTTTTTGATGAGCTCCCATAGCCAACATACTCCCCATACAGAAACTTGAAAATAAAATATGCAGATTAAGTGTTTATGTTCTCCACACAGTTCTCTTTAATTAATATTAATTATGGTGCCAACAAGCTAAGGAGAATTTGATTGAAATTTGATTGAATGATCATTTCCTTTCCAAGGGTGATACTCTAAGGAGAAATTAGAAACCAGATACTCTCAGAGTCAAAGGAGATATTTTCTCTTTTAATACACACATAAACTGCCATTTATTTACCTGAACTTTTTGAAAAGTGTGCCTTGCATTGAAGAATGAATAGATACAATTCCGTCCGCGAATCTCAGCAAGAAATGAAGTATAGATAGCTGTAAAGTACAGAAAATCAAATAAAGTGAAGAAATAGGAATTGAGTATTTAATAATGAAATAATGATGAATACAAAGTTTACCTGGATTATGAGAGCTACAGGGTTCATTGCCTGATCCAAAACATTGCTCAGTAATAGTGAAAGCTGAAAATTGAAAATGAAACATCAAAATATATGTACTCTCAAGGTAATCCAGATGCAAAGTGAAAAAGGAATCAAAACCTTATTTTGAGCTGTATTCACTCACCAAGTAGAGTTCTCTCTTGATTGACTGATGCCCCAGTAACAACCACTTCTTTGTCATAAACAAACAAACGCTAGAAAGAATGAGAATATTAACAAAGTTAACAAGCAGTTTACCAGCAACAGAAACACCCATGTAGCTCCCACAATGAGTTGTAAGATCAAATAGAAATAACAGTGATCTTTATAACACTTAGATATATAAATTTCATTCCTCTGTCCTCCAGTCACCTCAGAGCTATTTCCTAGACCCAAAAGGTCTGTTAATAACATAACCATAATCAAAAAAAGAAACTCTACTTGAACATTTATATTTTCACCAATACACAGTAAGAATGGTTTCCTCGAGCATTACCATATTAGATTATATTCTTATCACAAAAATTTATACAACTATAACTTCTTTTATAATTAAATTATTTTTTTGGTAACAATTACATGTAATGACCATGATAACTACCCAACAGGAACTCTAGTAGCTGTTAGTACTACTTACTTTGAGATGCCGTTGAGATGCTTCATATAGTCCAAAGTAAGTTACTTTTGGTTCTGTCTTCTGAAAAAAAGGGAAAAAATTGAAAAAAAAGAAAGAAAAAGAAATGGGAGAAAAGTTATCAGTCCTGAATAGATTAACACTCCTGAAAAGTGCTGGAGAGGGCAGCTGCAAGTAAGATGAGTCAAACATCATATACTTCCTGAACCTAGGGGGGCCTGCCACTGGGCATGAGATTTGATGAGATGTGTTTATCAGAATTACGGTTAGATCGCTCCATGGTTAGATCGCTCCAAGTCAGATCGCTCCATACCGAAGTCAGATCGCTCCACTCGAAAGTTAGTTCGCTCCATCAAATAAGTTACTTCGCTCCATACATAAGTTACTTCGCTCCATGAAGAAAACTAACGTGGAAGGTTGATAAAAGACAGAAGGATAAGGGAAAAGAAAAGAAAGAGTATTGTAACGCGCGAACCCAGTCTCACTCACGGCTGGATTTGACAACGTTTAAAAATGGCGATTCTTTGAAAGCAATATTTATAAATTATATTCATTGTTGGTCATTTCTTTTAATTTATTTGGTGGCTCCTAAAGGAGCCTTTTGTTTGTGATGGTTGTGGTGTCTGCTGCTCTTTAAACAGGACCGTTCAGGCCTCAAGTTAGCGAATACGTCGATCAGCAACTCGATCTCAAGACGCAATACACATCATCAACTATAAACTATAAAGATCAGAAGTAAGTTAGTGTATTAGGTTTCTACATGGAGCGAAGTAACTTATGTATGGAGCGAAGTAACTTATTTGATGGAGCGAACTAACTTTCGAGTGGAGCGATCTGACTTCGGTATGGAGCGATCTGACTTGGAGCGATCTAACCATGGAGCGATCTAACCGGATACCGTTTATCATGATGGAAGTTTTCATATCAGGGTTAAGTTTTGTACATTTACCTATTACTGAACTAAAAAGTGATGTTGATTCACACCACGGATCATGGAACCAGTCAGGGTTGTGGAGATTCTCGAACTCAGTAAATGCCGCAATCAAGGCAACCGATTTTACCCTCAGTTTGCATTTTACCCCCGGTCTGCAGTCTGCGTTTTACACTGACCGTGCAAATTATCGATATCCTCAGCTGAATACTTACTCTACTGTTGGGTCCGATGTCTATCCACGTTAAAATTATGGAATTATCCTTTTCTTGTCCAACAATGCGAACCTGCAGCCTTTTCTTCTCAGCCTCTGCGTCTATACAAGAGAGGCATATAAAGGAAAATACAGTGTGTTTATAATCTACACCGTTATTTCTATCATCAGCTGTTCTGTTTCAAGGCTACAACTCACGTGCAGTTATGCATCTGTTCGCTGTTTTATGAGACACTACTCAATTAAATTTTAATACCGTATCCTTCTTCTGCTAATATTCCGCTGTACGTTTCCCTATCCCTCAACAAATGCGGCAGAATCTGTTCATCAAAGCTGAAAGTTTTCTGCAATTCCACCATTTTCCCAGTTTCCGTCCTCTGTCACTAGGATGTATCTTGTGATGTATGACATCCCAGAGTGTCCCTGAGAGTATTCTGACCGTCCGGAGACTGAGACGAGAAATTGTTTATTGCCTCGTTTCCTAGTAACAGACTCCATTTTGAGATGGAAAGGCCTTGGAGAGGGATGTTGAAGACTGGTAGTTTATTTTAGCTTCTATAGCACTAGGTTGGATAAAAATTACCGCGATGAGCGACGGAGAGAAAAGAGAGTCTCTTAGTCGGGAGGTGGATCCAGCAATTTGGGCCGTGGCTCCTCGATTGCATCAAGAAGAGGGCCCCGTTGATGTAACAGCCAGTCCAGCTTTTCAATGCTTGGACGAGGTTTGTACATCATCTGCTCTTTGTTAAGATTTGTGTTTTTAGTGCGATAACAAAATTAAATTCAATTAAAGAACCTAAGTTTTCAGATTTTGGCGCTTTATACCGACATAGAGGATGTACGTGCAGGAGATTATTGATTTGTTCAGATTGCACCTTCAGCTGATCATGACTAAAAATGAAAATATGTTACTTGCCAGATTTGACCTGTAAAGCTTCAGAGTTACGATTTGATATTCACAAGTGAACTACAATTAAAGAATAAATTTAGTAAAAAGAAGTGCCTTAACATATACTTTAGACTTTAAAGCCTGAATTATCTTCTCAGGTTTTGCCAAATGAAGTACTTTCGGCAAATTATTTCTTGAGAAGGGAGGGAGGGAGGGTTTTTTCTTCGAGTATAAATTCGGCGCTTAATTATTAGGTTTTTAGAATATACGGTATATTGATTAGTAAATACTATCAATACGTCTTGCACTCATAGAGGGACATTTACAAATCATGCAATATTTCATTTTATTTTTTTGTGTATCAAATTTTGTCGATATACCAACAGTTTTATTCGGTATACTGAAATTTAACTTTAATGTATATGTAACAAATTAATTAAGTTTTGTATTTCTCTTGTCAGTTGTTTTCACAAGGGAAACTAGCAGGAGAGAAAGTGGCTAAGCTAAAAGCCAAATATACCAGCCTTCATGAACGTCTTAAAGCTACAAGAGAGCAGGAATCTTCACTGCTTCACAAGGCAAAGGAAATGCACCAAGAAGTACAAAGACAGAGAGCTGAGTTGGAGAAAGGAGACAGCTTTCCTGATGGTGACAACACTGAGGTTAATAAATTAAGGCAAGAACTTCTGAAACATCACAATGAACTAGCACAGGCAGATGAAAGGCAGTATCAACTGGAATTCAAACTGGAAGGTTTGAGAGAAGAAAAGATGATGTTGGAAAGGGATTATGCAAGGATGCCCAAACCTGGTGAAATAGAAAAGCAGGTCAAAGAACTGCAAAAATCAGTCGAAGAACTCAAAGTTGAAATTGCACAAAGAACTATTGATTGTAAAAGTCTGAAGGAAGAGGTTGAAAACAGAGAAGTGCAAGTGAATGCACTGAGAAAAGAGGTGGAAGATGATCTAGAGGAACAGCAAAATTTAAGGGTAAGTTGGATTTGATGTGGAATAAATGAGCCTTTTTGTAATACTACAAAAAGGTAAAGGTTTCTATTTCTTGTTCAGGTGTAAGTACTTATTTTGTAGTCTTGAAACTGTCACAAATTTGACAAAATGTACTCTCCCTCTTTTGTGGAGAAGTGCATGAATGTATGAGGTGCAACAGCGTGATATGTACTGTTTTCAACTGATACTTTGTATCTTGACCTTTCTGGATATCACTTGAAAGTAGACAAATGAATAACAAAATGAGTGTTTTTCAGTTGGACAAAGCCAGTGTGACATTAAAAAAATTGAAGAAAATGTTAGAAAGTGCTCCCAAAAAGTGATTACAAATATTAGTAAGTAAGAAAGTAACTTTATATTTGAACTCCAGTTAATGAGGCTGATTAAGCTGATTAAGAAAATAGCCCAAAAAAATTTTTTAAAAAAATGAAAATAATAGTCAATTGTAAATGTTGAATGTCAACAAAGTTGTTGTGCCATCCTAAAATGAATTATTTTTTTGTTTGATTATTGAATTTATAGGATCAACTGGTACAAGTTCACTCACAACCAGCACATATAACCAAACAGACTGATCTTTTGTCAAGACAACTCAGGTATTTTTACAGTAATAATTATGCAGTGCATACAAGAAACATTAGCAAACCTTTTTGATTTTTAAAAGAAGCAATGATAATATTGTACATGCATGTCATAAGATCAATCTGTAACCAGCTGCAATGATACAATGTTTTGGACAAAGGAAACTTTTTTATGCTGACAAGATAGTATAGTATATTACAGAATTTTGCACCAAGTTAGCATAGATTACACAGCCATTAGGAGGTAATCTGGTCTTGTTTTAAAGGAAAGCAGATAATGCAGCTAGCTCTATCATAAAAAGGCTTATTAAAGCTGAAGCAAAGCTTTTGGATTTTGAAAAGAAGCAATGATAATATTGTACATGTATGTCATAAGATCATTCTGTAAACCAGCTACAATAACACAATGTTTTGGACAAAGGAAACTTTTTTATGCTGACAAGATAGTATAGTATATTACAGAATTTTGCACCAAGTTAACATACACAGCCATTAAGAGGCAATCTACTCTTGTTTTAAAGGGAAGTAGATGAAAAACGATCCAACTTGGATGGAAACATAGATGAAATATCAAAAGAGCTCCAGAGAACAGAAGGAAAAAAGCAATATTTGGAAGATGAAAAAAAAGACTTATCAGAAGCTCTTGACAAACAGCGTCACATTTTTGAGTCAAAGGTATGGCACCTTAAACTTCAGCTAAGTAAAAGTAGACAGGGTTATTAATTTAGGGATTGATAAATGTGGTTACTAAAAATACAAAATGTACATGCATTGTAGGTATTTTAGGGCCTTGTAAGAACAAATGTACTCCAAAACAAAAGCCAGATTTTGAGTTGTTTTATTCCACAACTATTTTTATTAGTACAGACATCTTAGGTCAAAAGCAAGAAAATTGGATCAAAAAATTTTATATACCAATCATAAAACAGGAATGTTACCAGTTAGTACCCTCTAAAACTACCTTTATTGGACTTTTTGCCTGGATACAGGTGTAAGAATGCACCAAGAATGACATCAATGAAACTAAATTTTGCTTGATGTGCCCTGAATTCATTAGCCTGTTCATTGGTTCTCTACATTCTTTTTCAGGACAGAGAGGTTGATTTACTTGCCAAGGAATTTGAACTTGCCAAAGAGCGACAAGCAGAATTTCTAGGAGACAGGTAGAGTACAATTCATGATCATTTTTGTTGTATACTCTGAACACTCCCAAGAGCTACCCCTTTTAAAATTATAAAAGCAGTTACAAAAAGATTCAACCAGGATAAAGAAGATTTCATTTAAATAAGTTTATGATTTTGGTTGTAATGAACTTTTACCAGAACAAGATGCAGGGTTTTTTATTAGACAAAATAATGAGCATCTCATGAGCAGTGATCTTGAAATAATGACATTTTTCAGATTGTTTTACAATTAGTTTTAAAACAATTTTGATTTTATATGTTGTGTTATCTATGCATTTAACAACTTTTTTATAATTGCAGGGGAACATTAGATTTGAATTTGAAGCATGCTGCCATAGAAAAGAAGACCAATCATGATATTCATGCCAGGAAATTGCGAGAAAAAGAGAGGGACACAAAGTAAGCCATTATGAACAGGAAAAACAGAAAGTCATGTTTTTGTCAATGTTTCATCTCTGTATCTAGTACTGAGCCAAAGAAAAAAAAACTCTGTTTTATTTTCACAGAGCTTTGAAAAAGAGTGAGTTGCAGATGAAAGTGGGAGAGGATGCGTTGGCGCATGTGAGATCCGTTTATGACAAAGTCAAGGCTCAGGTTGACAGTGCTCCAAGAGATGATGGAACATTATTGGAAAAAAGGAAAGAGCTTCAAAGGGAAGTTGATGTCACAAAACGCACTCTTGCTCAACAGGTAACATGTTTATAACAGATAATTTTTAACAATTTAGAGCTGTTATTTTCGGCCGTGATTTAATACATACATGCATTTATGTGACTTTTCACAATTTTGATATATCAAGCCACCTCACCAGCTGGATGGCTTAAATGACATAATCTCAAGTTCTTTTCTTGTGAATTCAAAAGCACAACTTTTTTATGAAATAATTAATTCAGAGTACATTAAAATAATATCAGGTTTGAAATGCCTGAATCAAACCAATTCTACTTACATTTTACTTTGATTTAGGGCTTTGTTTTCCTAAACCAAAGAAAAATTCAAATCAAATTGGTATATATATATATACAAGTGTATAAAAAACACGTACAATGTATCTAACTTGTTTCTCCTGTACTTGTTTTGGGCATAAAAGTTTATTAACTATATCATAATATGTACAAAATATGTACAAAAAAGTAATGTGCTTTACGTTTATACCAACATTAATCAAAGTTTCTGAGAATTTTTGTTTATATCTGTTTTCTTACAATCTCTGTGCTCTAATTTTTGTCTTGACTTCATTCTGGTTCATACAGAATGCACTAACTGCTCATGAGCGCGCACGTGTGGAACAGATGATTCAAGAAGAGGAACGACTTCTAATGGAACAGAGTGAATTGAGAGTCGATGTCATTGATTTGACAAGACTAGCACAGATTAAGGTACTATAAATAATAAATAATAACAGTTTATTAAACTCTCTTGCAGTAACTTACTGAATTAACAAGTTATAATACAATGAAAACTTAATAAGATCAACTATGTACTTTTCACGCCAGAACATGCATCACATTTGTTAAAAATTCTTAAAAGTGAAAAAGTCTTCAGTGCGCTTTGTTCTACAGGTAGCAATGTTTCTGTAAAAGTACAGCTGGTCTGATTAAACTATTGGTAACTGTTACCTGTGTGTATTCCAATTAAATATTATCATGTATCATCACAATTCTGAGAAGTTTTGCTACACTGTACATGAAGAACAGTATCTCTATGTACTTACACTTTGCATAATTGCACTTTTTTGTCTACAGGCAGATGAAAGAGAGCAAAAAGCCAGGGATTACATGAGAGCTGAGGTTGGATACATTTGATTATAGAAATTTAGAGGTTCAAATTTATAGAAATATTATGTTCAACAAAAATTATGGCTTATGTGTAGGCTAAGTCTCTATCCTGACTGTAAGTTTCTTCTCAGACTCTTGTCAGTTACAAATAATTTCCCAAGTTATGAAGCTCAACCTAGAGGAGACTTTAGGTTGGTTTCTTACATGTCACTCAATTGGTCAGGCAGACGGACAGTTAGTCAGTCAGTCACTTGGAAACAGAGAAATGGTCTCATTTACAATTGCATACTTGTGTTTTTCATGTTGGCATGTTCTCAACAATAGCGTAACTCCATCTCTCTGAATATAATCCACACACAAGCAACAATTCCTCCTATCTATTCAAGCTAACAAAGGGCTCCAAATTTCAGCTTTAGATGAAACTCTTTCATTTGGTCAATTTATATTATCTACATGTACTCACTTAATAAAACTAAATTATCTTGTACCACTTCTACCGAAACTGCCCTCTTTGTGGGCATTCAGTTGGTTGATTGTTTGGTCAGTCAGTTTGTCAGTCAGTTACTGTAGTCAGTCAGTTAGTCAGTCCCTCAATCAGTGAACCAAATGTTGTGATCTTGACAATGTTCAGAAGATTTCATTTTGAACAAGAGAAACATTTCTTAACTAGATTTAGAGATTATTTATAAGGAACACCTGACACCCTTTCTTTAACGTAGAGTCTATGTTATTTCAATTCAGCTGAGATACCAACGTGCTCTTGAAGACTTGAAAACCAAAAACCTCAGTATTCAAGACAGTGCGAAGAAATATGCAGAGATGCAGCACAGGTAATGAAGTTTTATTATCGACTTTCAATGTACATGAACAAGTAAAACCATCGTCATGGTATTCGGTAATATGCACGTATTTTCACGTGCCTTGCTTACTGATATGATTTGCCTGTTGTCTTAACAGACTGGCTGACTTTGCTAAGCTGTACGATGTCATAAAAAATGAACGGAACAAATGCGTGAACTTAATCCAAACTAGTACACAGGTGAGCTATTTGCAAGTTGTCATCTTGAGTAGCTTGTACTCAAGATTATACGCGTACAGTACCGCTCTCGCGTAACCTTGCATACCCTTTCAAGATTTCATCAGTAATTCTCTTTACTATCTGCCATTTGATCCGTATGGTGTGAGTTTGGAGAACTGGTATTGGATTAACCTAAAATCCCCTAATTGTTGTATTTCTCAATTCTCATCACTTGTCTGCGTAATATTGTATTGGTATTGTAAGGAGAAATTCTGTCTTGGTCACTCATGGGAGTTTAAGGGCTGATGACGAACTTATTAAACTTAGACCAAAATTTTCACGTCTCACAAACCATCACGTTCATTTATTCTCTTCAGTCCGAAATGTTGGCGTATATTTATTTTGTAGTAAAATTTCTGCTTCTTTTCATTTACAGAAAGCTGCTGAAATGAGAGAGAAAATTAAGATTCTTCAAAACGAGATAGAAATTCTACGATCAAAAGTAAACGCAAAAGACAGGTATGTCAGACTTAATGTTAGCTAATCGGCTGTATGATGATTTTAATGAACTCCTAAAATAGTCTAACAAAAGTCTTAGGCAACCCAACCGTTAGTTATTTTTTATATTTTTCAAGGAGAATAACATATATTGCATGCATTATAGCGCTTTTCGATTGAGTGTCGCAACACCAAAACCAAGGTAACTGCAACGGCCAGTCAAAAGAAAGGAAAGAACCCTGAAGAGCCAATTACAACTCAAATTAAAAACAAGCAAAGTGCCTAAAGCGCGGGAAAAGGCGAGCGACCAAGTCGTGATCGTTGTTAGTTTTGCATCTGATTGGTTGAGAGAGGATGCAAAGCAAAGTAAAGCAAACCCATTGTAATCCCGGATTACTTTCAATTTTCGACTCTCAGTTGAAAATTGCCCTAGTAGATGATCCTAGGGTATGTTCAGCTGATGTATTGCGAAATTTTTAGTGCATTATGATATGGACGAACTTGAGAATGAGACGCTCTTGTTTGAAGTTTTCATGGTTTCTAATTTTGTGAGTATCTTTTTTCTATTTTCATTACAGACTCCTTCAGAAAGCTCGCCTGAAAAGGAACAATGCAGTCGTAATCCGCGATAGTTTAAGAAACGAAATGAGTAAAAGATCTAAGACTGAAGAGGAGAACAGGGAGAAGAGAGAACAACTGGTAATTATTTTATTTGCAGAACAGTTTTGATGCAAGTCGTTGGGTTGATGAGAACTTTCATGTTCATGGTATCACTGTGATAGAGCAATTTTCAGCTGAGTAATACGGGGTTGCATTGGTTTTGCTTTACTTCGCTCTGTGATTGGTCCAAAAAACTCGTGCCTCTCTCTCTCAACCAATCAAATGCAAAACTAACACCAATCACGACATGGTCGCCCGCGTTTTCCCGCGCTGTAGGCAGTTTACATGTTTTTTCCCTTTGAGCCTTCATTGGCTCTTCAGGATATAATCCTTTCTTCTGACTGGCTGTTGTAACTACTTTGGTTTTGGTTTTCCGACGTTCGAGCGGAAAGCGCTGTATCGTGCAGATTAAATTTAACCGTGTGTAACACTTGCTTTAAATTTCAACAGAGGCTGGACATTGCGAAACTCAATGATCTAATAAACAAAGCAGAAGAAAACATGGTGCAGTTGAGGAAACGTTATGAAAGCGGAGTGCAGGAAAGAAACGACATGTAAGTCTTTTAAATCTGAGTGTTTTAAAGTTTACCTTTACATTCTCATATCGGTACGCATATTCTCAATGAAGGGCAGGTATTTCTCTCTAAGTTCAAGGGCTCATTTAACCGTTTTTTAAACAGCATTTTACCTTTCGTACTTTATTTATGTTTAGGGGAATACACCTTATCGAGACCAACGAAGAAGTATGTGTATTTTATGAAAAGCTAAACATACAAGGTGAGAGAAACTTACATTTAGTAACTAAAGAAAACTAAAAGGTTTAGAAAGTTTACATACCGTAGGAAATGACGAGTAAGGGAATTACAATGTAGTGATTTAAAATTCAATTTGCAGACACAATGATTCGCAATGGAGATGTAGAATTGAGAGCCAGGGAAGAAGAAATACGTTTTCTGAAGATGGAGGTAAGGGGTTTAAGTAATATTAATTGAAATTTCGCATTTTATTCGCCAAATCTACCATCATGAATTTAGAAGTGCGACTCTTTATAATGGTAAGGAAAGGTTGGATGGTGATATGAGAGGATCGTGATCGAAAGCTTACCTCAAATACCCATCGCAGAGTAAAAATTATACATTGATTCAAACTACGAGTTAAACGTTGTAAACAACACAGTATTGTTTGACCGGGAAGCTTTAGGGAGTGAAAGGAATCGTGGACAAAATTTCGAGCTCGTTGTTCTTGGTGAAGTGTTCTACAGCCGGACAATTCTTCAATCTAAACTTGCCAAACTCGATGGGCGTCGATGAGTGTCGATGAGTGTCGTACACTCAAACTTAAGTAATTATAACGCCAGGCTAGTCAGAAAGGAAATGACCATAAGGAGTTAATACGCACTCAAGACAATCACAGGCAAGTTATGTGAAGCGGGAGAAACGCGGGTGTACCACAAGCTACATGGTGCGCGAGAAACGCTCGTATTCAGTCGCGATTCAACGTGTAAATTTGCATCTGATTGGTGGAGACGTAAAGTAAAACCAGAGTCGTCCTGATTTCTTGAAGAATTCTATTGCAAAGCACTTAAGTAACAACTCTGCCTGTTGCATTGTAGTTATTTTAAATCTGAAACCTATTTTATTTGTTTGCAGGTCAATGAGACTAAACGGTCAATAGCGGTCGCCCAGAAAAACATGCCAAACAAGAGAGCCCTAGACAACGAGCTTGTCACCTTACAAATTCAAGTAGGTTTTAATATTTTCTGCTTTCTAAAATTCGAGTTTGATCTTCTTCATTATACACAATGGTCACTTTAGATTATTGAGGATTTACATTTGATATCGTGTACTTTCATTTGCAGCTCGTAGCTTGTCGCGAGCGACTCGCCCAGCTCGAGAAGAAGCTCGAAGATCCTTCGGATGAAAATCGTGTTCGGCTCCTTGGCGGCGAGGACCCTGAACCCGAGATACTCGCCAAGAAAATAGAGGAACTTGAGTTGAGACTGGCAGAGAAGGAAGAAAAACTCCTAGAGAAAGATTTGATTTTTGAAGAGGTCACAAGATTGGCAGACCGAACAAAGAAAAAGTCGGAGACCGGCAAAGAAGATACATTGGAATTAGCTAAAAAGGTTTGTCTTGTTTCGTCGGCGATACACCCAATTTTCATAACAAAGTCCGGGGAAATTTAACTGCTTGTGAAAGATTCCTTTTAAATTAGTTGCTGTAAAATTGAGAATGCTCTTCTTTTAACATAAAGAAATCAAGACAAACAAGAGTTTCTACTTTTTCGACGGTTGTCATCCTATCGGAAAGACAGTTTACAAACTAATGCATGCCCCACAACGTCTCCAATGATCTGCCTCAAACTGGTTTGTACCATATCTCTGTCCCCAGGTAAATGAATACCAGGCCAAAATAAAAGACACCACTCGTAAAATGATGGCGCTAGTGTCAGAGCTGTCCATGAATCAAGCGGCCGCCATGAAACTGCAGCAGGAAGTGAAGGGCAAAGAACAAGAGTTGGAGCAGTGTTACGTCCGCATGGAGAGAGGAGAGGCGCCCTCTGAGGAGGCCGAGAGGGAATGGTTCAGAATGGTTCGAGACGAAGAACGTAGAACGAAAGAACTCTTGGAAAAGAAAGAGGTTTGGCGTTAACTTTAATTACAGATCACAACAACGAATTTGGTCAATGTCAGTATTTGATTTAGGGCTAGTTTACATGGAGGTGGGGGACCCCAGGAAGGTGAGGTAACCCGTCTACGTGGGGTAACCCGCCTGTTCATATGATTTCTTATTTTACTTTGATCACGTTTACATGATAGGCGGTCTGCCAGGTAGGGTAACCCTGTCAGCCGGGGCATGACATGACATGGCAGAAATCACCAGAAACCGCAACGGACACACAAGGAGTGTAAAATGTTCACATTTCGGAATATTTAGCGTTGTAAATCGACCATATTTGGTTTCCCAAACTATTCCGTATAACGTATTAAGCCAACGGTTCCTCGCGAAACCAAACACCGCGTAACACAACGCGTGACGCTTTCATGAAGAAACACATATGTGTTCGAGAATTAATCTTTCGTCTTTTTCGAGATGTGAGCTTGGGACGCCTCTGCTCAAACTTCTTAATTGCAAGCGCAACAACAACCTCAAGAAACCTCAACCCAGTACCCTGGGGTTGTAAGATTGCATGTAAACGCGTTTCATTTTTCGATCACGGCTAGGCGGGTTACCTCACCTACCTGGGGTCCCTCACCTACCTGGGGTCCCCCACCTCCATGTAAACAGGCCCTAAACATATCAACGATAAAATCGGCAAACAGGAATTAAAAATCTAATCAAATAATCAGCGAAAGAATTACAAAAACTCGTTGCAAACGTAACACCATAAAATAGCTCGCATTTTTGAAGTTTTAAGGGGAAGGTCTTAACGTAAATTCAAAAATTGACAAGTGTAGGGCGGTCCTACATTTTCATACGTTCGTAGATTGTTGTGAGCGTAGTAGTATCAAGGGTAGGATATTTTCTCTAATCACTTACTTGGAAGGGTCATCCTTATCGTTTCTCTCGTTGCGCGTACTTTGCATTTCGACTTCTTGCCTTCACTCGCTTAAAAGACCCCTCCTCCCTCAAAATTGGAAAATCATACACATGCTTTGTGGGCTGTTTGAATATATGCATGTTGTCCTGAGCGCGTGCACTCTGATCAATGAGCGCTTGGATGCAGAACCTGCTTCTCATTTATCTTCTGATCACCACTTTTTGAAAAATGTTCGCCTTATTTTCCACAGCGCGAAGAAGAGGAAGAACATTATATACTGCCTGGCGGAATCTACACAACAGCTGAGCCTCGACCTAATGCTTACATCCCGGATGATGACTCAGAACTTCCTATTCCCAGGCCCTATGGTTCATTAGCACCATTTAAACCCACGGAGCCTGGGTCAACAATGCGCCACATTCGGAAACCGATAATAAAGCCGATTGAGATTTAATGTAAACGTATGCAAGGTCTATGGTCTGTTTGTTTGCGACCACTTCAGAAAATGAATGGACTCAATTTTGGGGTTTCTTGGAACAAATCTGTAAGAAGGAACTTGCAGTACAGCCTTTCCACTTTGTAAATACTTGTAGATAGCAAATATTTATTAAACATCTACTTAAACCAGTCGCATTTTCGTTTTACTCCCGAATTATCGCATTCATTAACAGAAAACACAAGGAGCAGTTAATTCCTTTAATATAAGTGCCGTACAAATGACGTTATGGACTGCAAAGCGATCCAAGACTGCACAAATGTTTCTGGTTATCCTATTTATTAAAACTGATCACTTTGCTACAAAACCTTTAGTGCGTGTAGATTGCATTGACGAACAATGTAAATTTGAGTTGTATGCTGTTCGCAAAATTGCTCTATTAATTAAGACCTAACAGTGCTCACAATTCTATAAGCTTACAAAAGAAACTACAATGTGCTTCTTTGAAAGGGTTAACCAACATTATAATACAATTCACTAGCGGCAAAATCGGGCACTCGGTAGTGATGACCAAATTAAATTATTTTCGGACTTATGGAATTAAACTCACAGAAAACAACGAACTGTTACTATCTGTAGTGTTGTTTGATTAACGTCGAGTACTTTTCGATCAAAACAATAACGAAAGCACAAAAACCAGGTGAAACACCACCGAATTCCACAATAGCCATGGCCCGCGACAAGAAATTACGATTACAGATGTGTGTTTCTGATGAAACTACCTTAGCTCGAGAAACTTCTTTACCTGTGCGAGACTAAAAGTATCAGTCAAATTAACAGGCATGGCATAGCACTTTGTTCGTGATAAAAAGACAAAAACACGAAGACAAAATGTCACAAAGAATCGGTGAGATTTGTCACTAAGCTATTAAGTACAGAGTGCCGTTATTTCTCTACCTCTATGGAAATTAAACGAGAAGGTGTACTAGAAGCTTGACCACTCTAGGCACAACGGTTCAAGGCATAAAAATCCTTGCACATTTGCATAGGTATTTCGATTTTAAAATTGTCACATATAAAACAAGAAAGGAAAAACAAAAAGTATAAATACTTCTAATAAAAATGTGTTTTACAAGCTCAGCTTAATTAAAATTTAAGTTAATTCCAGGCCCTTCGGGTAATTCGCAGTCTTCTGCAAATCAGTCCGCTTGAGTGTTAAATTCGCTCGTCACTGACGCCTCTTTTTGATTGACAAGAGTATTTGACGGAATATCAAGACATCATCTCTTGCAGTATCTACTGTTTTGTTGACGTGTCTAAAGCTATTTTTTTTTCACTGTAAAGCGTTCGTTAAGCTCAAGTAACCACAGGGAGTCCACTCAGTATCGTCTGAAGTCGATATAGTCCAGTTACTCATCTCCCGTGATGATTGGTTGGAAGAAGAAGAGAGATTGTGAGCAGAATGAGCAGAGTGATTAGGTGAGGGGAACAAAGGCTGGCCGAGGCACAAGGAGGTTTGCCCTGAGACAAAAACAACTTAATTAATAGTAGTCAAAGAGTAACGCAAGAAATTTAATAGGTTAAAGATCTATACCAGGGATGGCAACGTATATAACCGTACGGAGCCAGTATTACTTCCATGAGATTTAGATGGTGACCAGTCTTGATGCAAGAGATGCTACTCCCGACGACAAATGGTGTTTCCCCGAGACTACATGCTTTTTCAAAAGAATGAGAAGCTGCTCCCCTTCAGATTGCTCCCCAATAGGATGCGATGCTGATCCCCTCGAGATGAGGACAAGACATAGCATCCTAGTTCAGGTGTCAATACTCGACACAAGGGTCGCTGAATCCCGAGGGCAGCGCACTTACTACTCAGCCAGTAAGACCTCTAACTAATAAAGACACAAAGCACGTGGTTTCCATTGTGGTCTAACTGAAACTATTTTCCCTACCTCTCCTTTGGCTTTGCAAAGTGATTCTAGTTCCGGAGGTTTCCTGTAGGACATAAGCCTAGGTTCTGTTATACTGGATACAACTGTGAGTACATGCAATCAAGGAAAGTTTCAACAACGCGACACATTATTAATGGGGTCCCACATGTTAACGAGAAGCTAAGAATATTAAATTTTAACAAATTCTGTGTGTGCTCCTCGTTTATGCTGTTGTCATGAGCCCGTATCGGGCCCTACCCTAGATTACAGAAGTAATCATTTCAAAAGGATACAGTCCTTTGGTGTGAGTGTAACCTTTATTCTCTCGTTGTCTTCGCACTGACAATTCTTCTTAACTATCACCAACAGAAGATTTGTATTCTTAACAGGTGCTGGGTACACAATCCTGAAAAAAAAAGAAGAGAGAAAAAAACCGAGAAGAAGGTTATCCAGGTATTTGTGGCAAACTGATGCTTAAGAAAAGTTTCATCCGCCTTTCGGGGCAATGTTTAACGTATTCATGTTCGATGCGAAGACAAAATTTACTAAAAACGATAACAAAACATTTAACGTGTATTCTAAATTGAGTTCATCACCAAAAAAATAGCTGAATTAAACAATTGTTTATTTAACTGAAAAAAATTACGACAACAGCAAGAACGAGATAAACTATAAAATAATAATCGACTATCTTACCAAGTTAGTTTATCACAGTTGGAATCGGATTCTGGACAAACCATATCATCTTCTACACAAAAGAGAAAAAAACAGAAGAGGATTTTTTATGATTGGAATAGAGAGGACTGAGAGCGGTGCCCATTTATATTGGCAAACGATACGACCGTCCTCAAAGCGAAGGATTATTTTTGAGATAAGTTCGAGATCGTGACACAAGATTTTTCTCGTCTTAAGGGCAGCACAGTCTTTTATCACCATGGAGTATAATTTCTAGTCAAGCCCCTGGTCATTTAGCTGTAAAGCCTCACTCTAAACCATCTTGGAAAATTAACCGAAGTTAATTTTGACCACCATATTCAATAGAGTGAGAGAACTCCTCTCTCGCTTGTGTCACTCGCTTCAAACTGTCTTCTTGAGGATTAACCATTTAACCCTTAGGAGTGACTAACATGTAATATCTAATTTCTCCTTACAATATCACCACTGAATCACTCATTAATGTCATGAGAATTAAGGAAATGATCACCACCTAAAGAAACTTGATTGTTAAACAAATTCCCCTTGTCAGCACCTCAGTAAATGTATATAGAACAGTATGGAGAATATATGAATACTGATGTTAGGGTGTAAAGGGTTAAGGATTAACTCTCCTCTATCTTAGCATATACAGGAACAGCTCCACCTTCCCTTCATATCTGCATTCTTGGTAGCACTATGGAACACTTGAATGAAAGTGATCTTCGCAGTGATGTGCACTACTTAGGCAGTAGTGAAAATAAGGCCTGAAAAAAATTCAGGCCTGTACGGGATTTGAACCCATGACCTCTGCGATACCGGTGCAGCGCTCTACCAACTGAGCTAACAAGCCAACTGGGAGCTGGTCATGATGGTGGTTCTAAATAAATGATGGAAAGATTTTTTCAGGAACTGCGGATAAAGACATGAATGAAAGTGATCTTCGTAGTGATGTGCACTACTTAGGCAGTAGTGAAAAAATAAGGCCTGAAAAAATTCAGGCCTGTACGGGATTTGAACCCATGACCTCTGCGATAAGCTAACAAGCTAACTGGGAGCTGGTCATGATTTCATTCATGTTATTTTATCCGCAGTTCAAATATATGACCTTCATATATTCTTAACCAACTATGGAACACTGTCGTAAGGTAGCCAAAAGCCTTGAAATTCAAGTATACCCAAAAACCAAAAGGGAAAGAAAAAAGCCCAGATGAAGGGAAGTTGATAAAGGTGGAAAAGATCAACGCTGATTACAAACGACAAACTTGAACAATTTGACAAAGACAAAGTGAAGCTCAGGTTTGATGAGGATAGAAAATAAAACCCTTCCAGCAATGTTAAACGGGATTTATGCAAACATCATGTTATACTGTGCCCTGCTCAAGCTAGCCACTGGCAATAATCTCTTACCTTTCTTTTCTGTAAAATTTTCTCCTTTGTAAAATTTGAGTTCTTGCGTACAAGGAATTTTCATCTCCTCTTCTTCTTCCGCCAGGGCTAAAAACAGACAAAACAATACGTGAGAGGGAGCAACAACTACCTCTGCGCGGACTTTCATATGTCCAATGAAAATCCTTGCTAGCGTGCTATATCTCTTTCAGACAAGAGTAAACACCGAAAAGCTTCACTAAAACTCACCCGTATTACCACGAGAAAAGAAACTGTATATGTTGAACTGCATCAAAGACCTGCGAAATAATTTGGAGTAAATATTACTTCACCAGGTAGGAATAACCGGGTTTGTTTGATACGTCTAGATACGAAGTTTCGACGCAAACTGCCTGACGCGCGTGAAAATGGTAGGAGCAAAACGTCACGGATTAAAATTTGCATCTGATTGGTTGAGACTGAAAGGTAGCACTAGAACAGTTTTCAATTGAGTATCGAAAGTGACCCGAGTTGCTTTACTTCGCTCTGTGATTGGTCCAGAAAACTCGCGCCATTCTTAATCAACCAATCAGATGTAAAACTGAAACCAATCACGACTTGGTCGCTCACGTTTTCCCGCGCTTTAGGCAGTTTGGTACGTTTTATCTTGAGTTCTCATTGGCTCTTAACGGTATTTTCCTTTCTTCTGATTGGTCGTTGTGATTAGTTTTGTTTTGTTTCACTACACTCAATTGAAAAGCGCACTGAATTTGTAAAACGATCCCTGATTACGTTCGCCGGTCAATATGAAATATGGCTCTACAACGTACAGGATCTACTAGGTGTCGCCATTTTTTAATCCACCAGTCAAGAAAACCTATGAACTATTTTTTCTCTCTGTTCCAAACAAACACATTGCATCTTACCAAAACACAGTCTGGGTCCAGAATTGTACATACGATGACACTGCAAAGAGAGGCTGAAAAAGGGAACAAAAAATCAGTAATCAAAATAAAAAAGAAACACTTTTACTTCGTTAGACGTGATTTGTTTGAGAACTATCAGAAAAGATTACAAGTTTGTGGTCTTACATTCAGAAGTGTCCGAGCACTGGATACGATTTTCTGAGGCTTTTTGCACTCTCCTTGTACGTTGCTAAAATTAAATCTGCGAGAAAAACATGTCAATCCATTAATTGATTTGGTCTGTAATCGTACGAGTGATGAACATCGAACAACCGCGAGAGAGCACGCTCGTTAATCCATCACAAATATGCTCTTAGACAGAAGTCCTGTACCTTATTACTCAAAACCAAGTCAAATTTTGAGAAACAAAATAACCAATCAGTTAAGTGTAATCATTACGTAAGATCAGAGTTGGTAAACATTTTTTCGGAAGAAAAATGCCCCGTAGTCGCAATAGCAGCGCGCTCAAATGACAAATATTGTCTTAAGAAACTCTCCAATTACAAGCAATGTGCATACGATGTCCTACGAGTGCTCAAATTGGCTGCTGATCGCCAATGACGGTTGAGAAAGTCATAAAGTTTATAAAAAAGATTGAGAAATAAGCCCGTTTGTTCAAAGGGTGGATGGCGTTATCCAAAGGATAAATCGCTATCCATTGGATGAGTTGACAAAACGTACTGCGCTATCCATATGATAGAGATGTATCCATCCTTCGAACAACCTGGGCCTGCTGGACTGTAAACGCACAGCAGAGCAGATGCGTGCGTGACATCTCGCTCTTGCGCGCCAGACTTAATCACTCGCGCTCGGTTGAAACAAGCACCTGGTACACAGGTTAATAACAATATGAAAGAGCCAGTGAGGAAAAAGAGAAAACAGAGATAAAACGATGACGGCAACACGCCCTAGCCAACAAGTTGGGTGGGGAAGCGTTCATGAAACCTTTGGTGAAATCTCAAATTTATATCCAATGCAATCTCGATTTTGAAATACTGAAAGAATGTGTAGAAACGTACTCTTTAAACTGCGAGTTATTGAGGAAATGCTTCAAAACTGCTCCCTCTGGAACGCCAAAGAATTCTCCAACCTTGAAGAAATAGAAAAATATAAACTTGAAAATGCAACCATCTGGTTCGAATTTCGGTAAATCAGGTTGACGACTCTTTTTATGATAACGTCACAGTACAAACAATTCACGCTATGATCAGAAAGTCAGAAAAATGTTGTGTGACAAAGAAAAATGTTTTGTAACAAGAGGATAACTGTTTGTTGACGAGAGAACAACAGTTTTGTGACAAGAAAATAACTTTTATGCGACAGGTAAAGATTCGGCCTGATCCACTACCTGCGTACCTCATTATCCTTTTGATTTGATGCTAGTATGAGGCCATCATCGTTGATCAGTCGGCAGTACACCTGAAACGCACGGGAATTGAAAATATTACACTTTCGCCTCAATAGGTCAATCAGAAATCGTGCGTATATATGAAATGTCTCTCACCTCTGAATCCTGACAATCGACCTGTAAATAAACATTTAGAGTCAGTCGAAGAAAATGAAATAGTTTACAATACAAAAAAAAAAAACCAGAAGACATCCGTCCTTCGAAAGAAGTCATAGCTGGATGGTCGTTTCTGTAGATCAAGAAATAGTTACTATACCTCGCTTCCAGCAGTTGTATTGAATATTTCTTGCATTTTTTCCTGATCAAATTGCATCCCAGCCACTGGTGATTTAAGAGTGGAAAATTGAATTGGAAGTTTCATGGCGGGTGGTGTAAAGTCTTATATCAGGGGCTTGGTAAGAGAAAACGAGCAAAAAAGCGAGCATGTGAAAGACGGTAGGGCTCAAACACAAGGGAAAAAATAAAGTAGGAGAGATCTCGTTCGCCAAAAGTTTCTCTTATTACTGCGACCGCCGTTCGCTTTTTCGCTCGTCTTCACTTCCTTTGAGCCTGAACTGGGTAGCAGTGTGACGCTAAAGGTATAGCGTTAGGCCACGTTTAATCTGAAGATGGTTTAGAATTAACCGAACGGTCTTGAAAAAAGGTATGGATCTGTATACTCTCTTGAACTGAGGTTGCAAACCAATGATAGATTTTTGTAGACCTATCGTTTTTTCCATTTCCCTCTTTCACAAGCGAATTCAGTTTTATCAAAAGTAATTAAGGCCGTTCTCTTAGTCTGGAATAGAGTATTGATATTTTCTGCAGATAATCGGAAAATAGATATTTAACGGGAAACAAGATATATTAATAATAAACTGGGTAAGAGGTTCAAGAGAAAGTGAAAATTATCACGAGCAAACAGGTATCTAAAACTTTCGCCAGATTCTCACCACCAGCAAATGCGAGGTTACAAAAAATAGGCATTTTTTTTTTGTAAATTATACTTACCTGCAGCAACAACGTCGTCCTTCACAATAGCAGAACTTGCATTGATGACGATCGATTCATTACTCGCTGGTTGGTTGCCTAGGTAACAACAAGTAGAAGGGAAAAGTAGGCAGGCAGTTTTTGACTTCGCATCATCTAAACATAGCCATTTGCTTTTCATTTCAACATGTCAAGATCATGCCACTTTGTCTGACTTCTCAACGACAACAGAAATTTTATGAAACAGCATAAACGAACCAGTAGTAGAACTACAAGAATAAACATCCACCACATTTTTATTAAAGAGGAGGGGGTGAGGAGCAAGAAGCGATGGAGGGGGGGGGTGTGGGGAGCAAGAAGCGAGGGGGAGAGGGAGGGAGGGAGGGAGATGGAGATCTTGGGTTAGGTAGTTAGGTTTGTTCATCTCTTAAAACATATACCTTTGTTTTGTCCTCTGTAGGGAATTGAAAGAACAATGACGTTTTTTTCTTTTTGAGCATATTGGGCAGCTTCCTTGTAGAACTGCTCCTTCATGAAGTCTCGCGTTGTAAATGGTGCTGCAGACCTACATTGAGACAATTCAGAGAAAAAAAATGCAATGTCTTAGATACACCTATAGATAAAAAATAATACTGACGTGTGTCTTATGCTCTAAGTGAAGCACGCACTTTTCGAAAAAATAGAAAAAAAAAACAATACTAATCCTAAAAAACATAGGCATGCGTAGCATGCAAGATTTATTATTTTTTTGGCCGGGTGGGTTGAAATGGGACAATTTGTGGTACTTAATGTTTTCGTTTTTGTCACCGAAAAGAGCATAACTTTCAAAAAACGAAAATATCACAGAGACAGAAAAAAAAACCTAATTTATCTTAACTCACACAGATATTATGTGATTTACTGTCTTTATTGTCTAAATAACTCTAAGTTAAAATGGTGGAGTGAACTGTTCGAGAGGTCTTAGAAGACTAAGTACCCCCACCCCTCCCCACACAGACGATAACAATATTTTCAAGGCTTCAGAAACCCTGTTTTTTCCACGGTTTCCAGAAAAAAAAGTTTCATAACAAAAAACTAGGAAAAACGTTGAGTATTTTGTTGCTCTGATCACGGGCAGCTACGGTCAGCTGAATTTCTAACTTTTTCTTCGGCCTTAGGAGTTTTAAAACAAATTTAACGTTCCCAAAGACCAAGATAAATGCTCAGAAAAAGAATTATTTCTTGCGTTTTTATCTGCATTTCAAATTTGGCCTGAATTTTTTAAAGATGCACAGACTGCTACGTAGCACCTTTGAAAATTGAGAGCCTTGTACATACCCTGTCTTCAGAAATCTCATAATGCCTCCATGTGTTGCTACGAACACACTGTGAATTTTGTCTCTGCGAAAAGAGAGGTCGTGATAAGCTATGTGCTGACATAGATTTCGTAAGAGACATTTGAGAGGGGAAGAAAACTTACTCTTCCATTTTTTTAACATTCCATTTTTTGCTTGCTCTCTCTTTCGTCAAATTTGCATCAAAAAGCAAATTTTGCAGCTTATATTTATCACCTGAGACCAAAAAGAGATGACATTAGGTTCCTCTGCTTCCTACGGTACTTAGCAAACAGCTGATAAGTCTTGCTCCAAGAGAAACTAATACATATTTGTTGCTGAAATAGCTGAATAAGAAACCTAAGAATTCACAAATTATTTTAGTTAGGAGATCATGTATAATCACAGAGATTTCACGCGCGCCTCATTTGTTTGATGTGCGATTTCATGCGAGCGCGAACCAAGCCCGTTTGATCCGATCAGAAATCGTTTTTTTCAAATTCTAACAAACGCGCTGAGAAAGTTAAGTCTGCTATCGAGGAAAGTTGCCCACAAAATGCAAGCGACCCAGTCTCCGTGGTATAAAGCGACAAGGAGTGTTACCACTCCTGAATCGGATGCCTGTCTATTAAGAGTTATATCCATCCCTCCAGTTCTGCAATCTGTTAGGGTTCTCTAAGACTCTGAGATTTTGCCGGTATACATTAATAATCGTGGGAAAAGAGAGAGGTACTGCAGGAGGAACATGTTCTGCCCGTAAACACAGCAAAACGACCTGACCCGGCCGGGGCTCGAATCCTGACATTTCAACCCGGAGTTTCGCGCACCACCCATCAGCTCCTCGAGTTTCCTAAAACAATCGCAGTTTGCAAGAATAAAATTTTCTCTCTCCCTTCATTTGTAAACCGGCTATGCTAGCTAAAATAAAATGGAATGAATGGAATGCAATGAACGGGATGATTAAGTGAATTAGACGGATAGCATACAATTATTGGCTCGATTCGTGTCATCGATTATGTCAGTAGCATTTGCAGTTGATGGTTTGTACACTGGCGTCGTCTCCTTTGCAGCCACCGGAGTGCCTCGACATATCTCCCTGATAAAAAAGAGTAACAAAGCTTTTAAGTACACAATAAATTAAAGGCTTCGTTACATAAAGCGCTTGGTTTGGTTTGTGCTTTGGTACTGGCAATGACTGAGTATAGGGAAAAGCCAAAGCAAAACATTCAGGGTCCTTCATGTTACATAATTACCAAAGTGTCCTTCGTGGTGCCCCTAATAATTACAATGACTGAAGGCAATATTCCGCGTGTATTGCCACTGACTACATTTCATATTACAGAATATTCGGAAATGGGTCAGAATCAAAACAAAATCGTCTGTTGGACATTAGGTTAAGCAAATGTCAACACTTAAAGGTAATATTTACCGGTCCAAAGAATGGTTGAAAAGTGGCGAAGCCCCAATTTGAGTCAGCAAACTCAGTTTTCATTTTCCAGCCATATTTTGTATCGCATTTGAGAATCAAAGTATCGTTATCCTGAAAGCTTATTTCATTACGCTCAAAGACTATTCTTTTCTAAATAGACTTTCCGTTAGGATATTTACAGTTCATTTTGAGCCCCTGGAAGTCTACCTCAATCGGGATGGAACAAAATAACCATCTTGAAAACTCAAAGCTCGCTGCCAAACTAGGCGGGAACTTCGCAGTCAGTCGTGGAGGAATTTCTTTTCTGAAGGCATTTGTTTGCTGACGTCATAAGTGAGTACGATAGGAATATGAAGAACGCACGCGCAATTGTCGCTTAGATACAGTGACACTTGACACAGTCAGGTGCCGCTCCTTAAGTTTTAATATTCTAATGACACTTTACAACAACATAAACTCACCAAGGAGCTACTATCACATCCTCGCCATTCTTAGAGCTGGATAAATACGTCTCTACATCTGCATCTGCAACAAACAGAAACAATGAAAAACATCACCTCATCCGTTACAAAACAAAATTGTTTGCACAACAAAGATCAGAAGATCAAGCAATGAGGTGACATACCATCGACGTTCATGTCTTTTGCCTGAAGCAATTTGAGACCATAGTTAGGGATAGCAACAGCAGCACTTGAAAATCAAAATTTTCTTTTAATGAAGCAGAAATCATAAGTACATAACGATTCTGGAGAACCTCTCCAAAGAACACTTTCTCTTTTCAAACGATTAAGTCTTGCCGACCTAACGTTAAACGCCATTAGCTTGCTCCGTAAGTGTGCAAAATGTTTTAATGGCGATCAAACGATCCGCAATTTATCGAACAAAGTATCGCAATAGCGGGCAGGTCGCGAAAAACTACCCTTTCATGCATAATTAAATGTTCATAGGGGTTTATTTTGTTTTCTAGGGCACCACTTCTGATCCAATCTGGCCAGGAATAGGACCCAGAATAAGCCCCACTTGATCTTTTGAGTTTAACTCTTACTAATCATTTGAATAACCTAATTTTAAAATCAGCTATCGTAGACTCTACAGATGCGTTCTACAACGATTAAAAATTTGAAGAACTCAACTCAGCGATTGAAGCTTACCTGAAAGATGTGTTGTCCACAGGACTGTAGAAGAAGTGAAAATTGTCCTCCAAGCTTAGTCTGAGCTGTACAAATTAAGTGGAAATTTACCACAGTCAAATCCATCAAAGGTAACCTCTGACGACTCGAATGCTCCCATTTTAATACACCAACGTCATTCAAAAATACTGACAAAATGTACATGCAAAATTTGAAGCAAATCTCTGGTTTTTGTTTTTTTTGGTCACGTAGTAGTAACTGAGTTAGTACTACTTAGTCTTAGTCGTTGGCAGGGTATTACAAAAGTCTTAAGAGTAACTAATTTAAGTATTTAGTGTAGCACAGCTTCAAAAAGTTTGGGAGCAGGCGCTGCTCGACGCGCGTTTCTCTGCCCACGAAAAGATTTCAGACGAGTAGAGAATGGATGCCGGAAGTCGGGAAGTGCTAGACCTCAGACCTGCAGCCGACTTGCGTTCCTTAAGGCCTCATCTTTATCTGCGGGCAGGCTAATTATCAAAAACAAAGACTTCAATTTACTCATAACATATGAAATCACAATTACCTTGTCATCAGATATCAAGCGATTTGTAAAATTCATGTGTCCAGTCACTCGATCAATCATCTCGCGCATAAGCTGAAAAAGTCACATATAAAATATGTATTCAAGGGCTCTTTGTTGTTGTGTTCACCAGCTAAACAGACAATTATGATCAGCTATATGATCACTGCTAGGAGATAGCATCGCTACTTAATGCTATCGCTCTTTATTTATATGCACTGCACAAAACTATCGTTAAAATCATAGGGGATTATAAATTATCCAAAAGGGGAAACAGAAAACTACTTAGAAAGCACATTAAACCACGAGAGAACTAGTATGTCTAAGAGTGGAGTCGACTGAAAAAAAAACAACTTGAAAAATGCTAGTACAAAAACCGCTCCGTGGCCTCCTGGCAAATGCACAAGAACGATACACGCTCGTGAATTTGAAAGTATGGTGGTGTCCTAAACAGGTGTTCCAGATCGATCCAAAGCTTTGTAATCAGATGCTTTCACGACTTGGTCTTGTATAAAGATTGCTCAAAAACTGTCAGTCGCCCATATTTCATTTCAAAAAGAAAAGAAACCTCGACTGTGCTGTTCTGTTCAAGCGCGTAAGCAACGCCTTAAACTTGAAAGAGGATTCTCCCTTCGTTAACTGCTTAAACGATAACAAGAGGACAAATCAGAGAACTGGCTTGTGTACCTGTCACTACGCATTCAGCTACTGTTTTAAGACAAACTTTACTTTCCACATCAACTTTGTTTTTCACAGTTCGTTTTCCAAAAGTGGCGTCAGCCTGCATTGTACTTCCTTAACCCTTTAACACCCAGAAGTGATCATCATGCAACTTCTCCCAATAATATCCATACACTATCCAGAAAGCAGGTAATAAGAATACTCAAACTTATCTGGCAGAAGTTTTCATATTGATCTACCAAATTCTCGTAACTAATTTACAAGGAAATGTCTAGCAGCTAGAGGGGAGAATTAACAATCAGATCTTGGGAGTTAAAGGGATAACGCACGCTAAAAAGGCTGTTGAGCCCTTTACCACCCTTTGAAAATGCTGCACTTAAAAACGTCAAAACCACCGTAGTCCAGTTTTCCTACACAGGCCTACCTTCTTGGCGCCTTCCTGATTGTATTCCACTTCATTTAGGGCAATGTTCGGGGGATCTTTCTACACAATGACAAAAAAAAAGAAAAACAGAACAGATCATGTGAGTGACACCGTTAGTAACAAATCTAACGCAATTCTGATAGAGATTTTGTTAACACAATGCCAGGAATTACGTATATTTCACAATAAAATAAATTTCCAAGTAAGAAAGGAGTTTTGTCGTTTATTCCTAGACCCTAACTTTTTCTTGCTCGTTTACTGACTCAAGTGATTATCAGAATAATACAGCATTTTCTTTCATTCCATTTGTTTCTCCCTCAGAAACCTCAGTAAAGAACCACGCAACCATTTTGAAAATTAGTTACAGCTTCTCTGTTCTAACCATCTCATATAGAGTGATTCTTGCAAGAAACAAGACTATTCACTCGTTTGCGAATGAGATAGCACACATCTCTAAAATGTCCTGGGTAATACAAGCTACATCATGATAAAGCAATTTTCAGTTGAGTGCAGAAGTAAAGCCTGCTTTTCTCATTTTTGTTCAACTCAGCTATGTGATTGGTTCAGAAAACTCGCGCCATCCCCTCAACCGCGGGAAAACGTAATTTATCAAGTCGCGATTGTTTTAGTGCTGCCTCTGATTGGTTGAAAATGTGCCACAGGTTCTTGGGACCAATCACAGAGCGAAGTAGACCAAAGTACCCGGATGACTTTAGACATTCAATTAAACATCTTCCAACTGTAATACTACATTATCGGGTTATTGCAGAGCAAATAAACGCTTCGTGTGGAAAATATGAGATAACAATCATGAACAAACAATTAGCTCCGCACTAATAAATCTAAATAAAGCATGAATTCCCATATTTACCGCCTTATCATAAAAGACGATTTTGCTAGACGTAAACCCCGTTTAAGAGTGCACTCAACGTCAATTTAAGACCTGTAGTGGTCTTTTTAACTGGATTTTAATCTTTAAATTCAGTTTAATATTTAGTGCTGGTTTCTTCTATAGACTTTCTGTGTTACTATGATACTTGCCTTCTCTCTTTCTTCGTTCATGAGAAAAGTATCATAGTCACACAGAGACTATTCAGAAGCAGCACTCTATTTTATAAAGAGTGTTACGTAGTTAAATCAAGGGAATGTTCTAGATGAAAAATACTCTGCACATGCAAGTTACTGCAAGGTTGCCACTGAAGTTGGTTCTATCATTTCATCGAGATTTTTATATACACTAAATTCCTTGAACTTTTCCCAAAATGTTCAAGACGAAATACATTTCAATGAGTAAAGCAAAATCAAATTACAGTAACAAACTCCAGCACTTCTCCCCCACATGCATACATTAAAAAAAAATGCACAATAAAGTGATATTGACTTTTCTTCAAAAGTTTAGTAAAAGAAAACACTTTTGTAAAGGTCGCAGAGATCAATCTCCGTAAGATGTCACGGCACTAAATGATCAATCTCCTCGCAACAAAAGTCAACATTTTCAAGGGTAAACGTAGTTTTGAATCTCTCTTTTCTCCTATCACTAAGATCCACTAGTTCTCCATCAAATTTTACCGATCATTTTATCTATATTTTCAGAGACAGAATGGAAAAACTGGCCATTAATCATTCCCCTGAACAACACAACTGATAATAATAATAACAATAATAATAATAATAATAATAATAATAACAATAACAATAACAATAACAACAACAACAACATTAGTGGTAACGATGACTTGATTAACCGTAAAAACTGAGACGGTTTCTTGTGGATGATTCGTTCCATTCTTCCCACCCAGCATCACCCTTATAACTCCGTGATATATTGTACAGCAGGATGATATGATTCGCATGCAGGAATGGAGGGAAATTTCATTATCAACAGTTCATCCTTGGAAGTAAGACAACCTGCAGTCACACTTACAACTTTGTTATCAGCCAATTTTGCTTCTTTGGGCGGTTTGCCATGCTTCCTAACCCACTTTGACAAAAATCAACAAAAGTGAAACAGAATGAAAACTGAAGCAAATTCATAGAAAAAATGAGAACGGAAGGCCCAGTAAGCGTAGAGAGAGGACTTGACATGTATGCATCCACTTTTAAAAGGGATAGTTCAGTAGAGATGATGAAGACTGGGTAAGAGGAATGTAGACTGGGCAAGAGAAATTCATCGAAAACTGTTGCCTATGAAGGACGTTCGACAACCACGAAGGACGTTTCGACAACCACGAAGGACGTTTTAACAACCGCGCAGACGTCACAGCAACAGTCACAAAAATATCTGTCAGTCAAATGCCATCGGCATGGTTGCTGAACAAAGTCGGTACGTTTCTAAAGAAACTGTGGTGCTGCGTCGGTGACGGTGTTACAAGAAAATTTGGTTTTATCTCCTGAGTTGAAAAAGCAAATTGGCTACCGCAAGGAGTTTTTAAAGCTGATAAATTTAGCAAAGGCAAGAAGAGGCTAGAGATAACCATGCATTATAAGGTCGAATGATCTTTTTTTCACAGCTGGAATGATCACTTTGCGTCAGGGTCCATTTGACAAAGAAATGTGGTCAAGGATTTTATGTTTCAAATGGAAACATCTTCTAAGAGAAATGTCTTAAGCTAAGAAGAAACTTATTCTGTTTATTACACAAGCAAACTGGTAAAAAAGAGTTATAGTTACTCTTATTTTATGCGCTTTAATACTTCAAATAAAATTTCACCTCTTTACCATTTACGTTACTCTTAGTACTAAAAGTTACTCTTCTACATAAGCCTTCCTAATATACATACAATAATGCGTCTTACATTTATTCTGTTATCATAAATTCTAATACTTTAATTTAACATAAAAAGAGCCTTATGTAACAGTTAAAGGTAGATGAGGCACAAAAGGAGAGAGGGATTCATACCTGCTTATTGAGGCCTGGATGGAACACTACAAAGCCATTGTTGTTTATTGCAAAGCCATACCCATTCACCCCGACCTGAATATGAGAGGGAACAAGAGAGTTTGGTCAGCCATAATAAACGGGCATTTGATCATCAATAATAATAAATAAATAAATAATTGCATCCGGAATTTAAGAAACTAACATCTTGAGTAATGAACGTTTTCGGTTTAACAGTTAGTTATCATTCTGCAGAGACCAACCTCACTCAATGGGACAGTGCCCTCCAGTTGTGGTAATGGCATATCTGTTCCCACCACTCCCAGCAGTTGTCCTTTATCTTCCTGATATCATGTAAGTGATAAAAAAAACAAAACAAAACAAAACAGAAGACCAGTCATAAGAGGCCTTATGTATGGTTATTTCAGAATAGGCAATTTCACCCCTAGGCCTAAAAAAAACTGAATAGAAGAAAAAGACGTTCCCTCCTAAAGGTTAAAGATTTCTGCTGTAAGAAAAAGGTAAATTTAATAGCTCAGACTGTAATGAAAGTTAGAAATCTTTTCACAGAACGTATATGTCTTTCATGCAAGCACTTTGAATGTCAGGATATCAAGAAAGGTGCATTCTTACTCTTCACACTTTTGATTAGCTCAGTAGCACGCTGATACATTAGACAACGAGCAGGCCCCTTTTTCCCGGCAAAGTCCGTCGTCCAAGTCAACAAAAGTCATTGGAAAAAAAAGGGGCAATACAGTTAACCCACCGCGCGGAACCCTGTCCTTTTCGTGCGCCTCACCCCAAGAGTTCCGCACAACGCGCTAACATATTTTTTTAATTTTTTCACTGATTTTTTTTACTTCACGCTCGAAGTCTACTGATATTTGCCAGGACCAAGGGGATTAGATTACACTAGGTGACCTCATTTTACATACAGGACTGGTGATGTTAAACACTGGAGCCACAAGTGTGATCATTAAGCCGAGTCCCTACACATGAAAAATAACAGAACATAAGAAATTTTGTCAATCCGCTCTAAAACCTGAAATACAGTTTCACAAATTTGTATAGTTTCAGGCTCAGGTATACCTACCATCCAAATGAGATTAAAAAAAAAAGAAAAAAAAAGAATGGGAAGGGGTCTTACATTTACAGAATGGATGGGAAATAAAGGGTTGGTAGGATGTTTATCGCATGAAAGAAAAGTGTTGAAAGAAAATGCTGAAAGAAGACCAGAAAGCAGAAAGTGTACCCTCTTACACACTATAGTAAACTGAAGGTCACACAGTCATATGTATTTCACATCTTTGCAAACTGTAGGGCAAAAACATGTATTCTGTAGGCGCACAGAACGAGCTAAGCCAGTGTTTCCTTTAATATTACAAAAGATGAGATGCACTCTGTGAAAAAAGTGATCTACAGTTGTAAGACCTCCCAATAACCATTGGAAACTATCTAGAATTTAAGTAACCAAACAAAATACAGCTTACCAGTTGATCAAGGTAAATTGGGGTCCAGGATGTGTCTGGTCCACCCTTAGCAAAGGCTAATGGACGACTGAGCACTGATACATATGACTGACAAAGATAAGAAAGAAAAGATACATTTTTAGACAGTTTCATTTGTTGAGCAAAATAAATGTATCATCTGGGTTTGATTCTGTCTTTATAACAAGGATCGCTGCTCTGTCAATTTAAAAATTAAATCAAATAAACACATGATGGTGACCTAGCTACCTCATCAAATTTATGCTTTAACCACTAAATTGGACAATCCATGACACTTACCAGAACTTTTTCCCTTACATCTGAGAGGGTTTGTATATTAAACAAGCAACCTTTGTTCAAATAAAATTAGAAAGTAAATTACTCTGTTTGTTCAGAACAGTTTTTTTTAGAGCTTTTAAATATTGGCTTTGTCAACCTGACTGTGGAACAGTCTCAGGTTTGACCAAGATCAGGTATGACCAAGAGGCATAACCCTCAGAACAATTTGAAATATCTCACTTGTTCCCTTTAAATACCAAATTCTGCCCAGCTTTCCCTACTGATACCAAGGCATAATGGTGCAAGAGTTGCAAGCTTGATAAAAATTGGGCTGTAGCATTTTTCCAAGCTGGAAAATTCTTTAAAATGCCCCTGTTGCCTGAAAGCTCTTTCAAGAGATCATCAATTCTCTAAAATCAAATAATGTCGCTTCCCATATTTTCCAAAACCACTGAGAGTCATAAGATACCTCCATTAGTATCAGAAATGCCCTTCAATGGCTCAAACTTGGCTCCTTTTTCACTCCCAACAAGGTAAGTAAAAACATGGATCTGTATAACAAATGAAATGAAAAATAATAAATAAATAATGATGAAATCCGCATTTCACTACATTAACATTGAGTTATTTGATGAGAATTACATGTTTGTCAGTTACAGACACTTTGTGGTTCTAATTCCAAGGATGCTGGCATCAGGACACCACAAATATTCAGTCATGAACCTCAAACAATTAGGCCCTGACATCAACAATGTTTCACTTTTTTAAATATTTTTAACTCCTAAGATCTAGAGAAGAGGTTTTGTTTTTTTGCTTCCTCTGAGGTTTTCAACAGGTCATCATGGGCTGTCATCAATCAGAAAGAACCAGCCCTCACTCTCAGGATCTAAATATCAATTCTCTAGACTATTTATTGCACCTATCTTATCATTTTAGTTATGAGAATTGGGTGTTTAATCAAACAGTATCACCTACTTGACATTTCCTTTCTTCTCATCTCATTTCTGCTTGAAAATGTGTTAATATTGTATTTGAAAAATTCATTTTGGGTCACTCTCAGGAGTAAAAGCCTTAATTAATTCTTTTCAGCTGATAATGGTTCTTAATTTTCTATTGTTCTTGACAAGGATCAGTAAGTCTACTGATTTTTATTGATAAAATGTGCTAACCTTTTTATCTTCGTTTTCCTTTTTAAATATGTCTTCACTTAGTTCGTGTTGGCTGTCCTCCATTCCATCAGTGAAAAGAACAATTGCTTGTGTACAGTTTGATGATGAAAAATTCCGCTTTTCTCTTGAGTCCTAATTAAAAAAAGGAAAAAAAATAGCAATTTTTTTTTTTCAATTACTCTTGACAGGTGACTTAAACCAGTAATTCTAATTATGGCAGGAATGATTATTAATAGGACAAAGAGGCAAACAAGGAGGAAGAAGACAGCACCAGCTAAGGAGGGTCAGAAAGCAACAACAGCTGTAGATGAGACAAGTTGCTAGTAATAATAATTATGCCAAGAACAGCAATCATTGTAATTTTAATCATAATAATTGGGTGTGGAAAGAGGAGAAGGGGATAGTAAGTTGTACAATAATAAAATTTTCAACCATCAGATCTGTAAAAGCTTGCAGTTGTTTAATAACAACATTGTAATTTGTACCTAACAAGAAGGAAGATTAAAATAAATAAGTTTCCATTCTCCCCATTCTCCTGCTGCATCAGATTTATACTTCATTATTAAATATTACCTTCAACACATCAATAGCTAATTGAAATCCAGTACTGACTCTTGCAATCCCCTTAGCAAAAGTATTTTGAGGAATAAACTGCTGTAAAAACTATTGAAAATAAAATGGATAGCAATTAATAAGAGTGTGAATAGTGTGGATATACAATATCAATGTAACTGACAGCCAGTTGGATCTTGAGTTCTCTTGCGCATTTTCCATTTTCTATGTCAGCTATATACGAAATTTGCTCATGGGAATAATAAAACTTAAAAGCATAAAATGTTCCTTACTAATAAATAACTACCATAACTATCAAATTTAACAATCCCAGAAAAAGTAGAGGCCAAAAAAACTTCCTCTGAATAAAGATCATTGTAAGATGACAGAAATTGAACTGTTAGTTTTCAAAAGAAAATGTTAGTAAAGAAAGAGCAAAGTCACAAACCTTTTTATTCTGGGCAGTGGCTTGCAACAGTTGCCTGCTGCATTCTGCAGTAGGCTAAAAATATAACAGCATTAACAAATGACTTCAGTCTAATGTAACTTAGTCTTTCACTCAGGAACTGGCTTCAACCCTTTTTCAGGGTATTAGATAGGTGATATAACTATATTGGTAGGTTTAAGTACTTTTATGTTAGTTGCATAGGTAAAGTAGTGTAGGGTTAGAATTCTGCTCCTTCTATTGAAAGTAGTTCATTATCTTTTTTTGTTTTGCTAGCAATGCAAATATTTTTACCAAATTAGGTGAATGATTTTTGTTTGTAATATTTCATTCCATATTGTATACTAAAATTGCAAGATGTTTGGTGGGAGGGAACTCCTCTACAAATTTAACAGTTGTAGTAAAGAATAATGCTTTTAGTTATTTGATTCTGCATCATCACAACACATAACTTCATGTATAATAAGCACTTGCAGATTGCACAAAACAGCTTGTATTTCATCACCACAGCTTTCTTGAGAGGCAAATTATCTTATTATGAACAGGTATCATGATGTACACCAGTCTCTTAAATCTCATTTTAGTACTCACATCAGTGAGCAATAAAAGTGTTAGAACAATTCAAATATTTACCAGGTCATCATTTGGTATCCTACTCCCATCTTTTGTCAACTGACACAACATTACAGGTTCTCCTTCATACTAAAGAAAAACAGAACTTAAATTAATTAATAATCACAAAACACATGATCGTACTGCACATAAATGTAAACTTGCCCTTAGAAAAGAAAAGAAGTTTTATTAAGACTTTATTTTTCAAACACTAGTAGGATAAATTGTAACAATTCCTTTTTTAAGTGTCAAGTTTAATTTTTAATTATGGAAAAGCAGCAACAGAATGAAAGTTTCTGTTTCTATCAAATACCTTTTTTCAAGTTAATTAACTAAATTAAGCTTCTGATTTATGAGTCACATTAAGTTACTGCATCACATTTTACTTAAAAAGTGATTCAAAGTTACATTTGGCAGTTTTATATTCATATGGCAAAAAAATCAAATTTACAGTATAATAAAGGTTACTGAGAGGGAAGCTAATTGATTCAAATATATCTCTTTTCATACTAATGTGAGTAAATTTATGAAAATCAAATATTACAAAATGTAATATAGTGATCTCAAAACTGCATTTGAAGCAACTTGATACCTAGTATTGTTATCAAGGGTTTAGCTGGAAGTTTATCAACTATTGTATTTATTTTAAAATCACTCACCACTGCAACAATATTAACAAAGTCGTTTTCTTGCAGTGTTTCAAGCAATGACAATGATGCAAGTCTAAGAATGGACAGTTTTTGACCAGCCATACTGCCACTTCTAATGTAACAAGATGTAACAAGCAGTCAGAAGACAATGTATTCACCACTTAAACAAAAAGTATAGGACACTAATTTTGTAATTATTTTGAATATACTTAAAATATTTATTCATTAGATTTCATCAGACAATCCTGCTTACTTTAAACTGACAATCAATTTGGTGAGGAAGTAGATGCAACTCAGAATTACTGTTCAAATTAACAACTACATGGAATTACTGATCGTGTATTCACATATATAGATGAGAAAAAGTATAACAAAAGAGATAGGCTTTGAATTAGAGTTAGATTAATTAAGTACATTTAGATTAAGTTTCAACTCTTGATAATATGTACAAATATAAATGTTGTGATGAATGTGCAATTTTTTGATTTCTCAGAAAAAGGTCTTTTATATTTCCATTCCCATTAATTTACACATATCTTTTGTTTTTCCTGTACTATTTCTACACCATTATTTTTGCACTTTATGTAAATTACAGAGCCTTTTATATATCACGCATTACACCCCTTTTTGCAATGCGTGATCTATTTTGTGTTCAGCTATGTCTGAAGTCTTTCATGTCTTGTACATTCCCTCAGCCTTTGGCGAGTTTTTTTGTCTCATAGTATCTTTACATTTTTCATCCCATCTCATATGTAAGTACATTTTTGTAAAAGTCTTTTTACTGTAACCCCATTCCTTAAGAATTTACTTCTTCTTCACATCCCCACTTAAGAGTTAAATTGAATCCTGAATAAATGTGTGAGTGAAGCTGGCCCAAGCCCCCACAATAAAGTAAAAGATTTTGACCAGCTTCTAGTCATCCAGTGTTCAAAATGAAATGAAATTCTTACAAACTTTATACTCACAAGTCTAGCACCATAATTAAGTCTTTTGGTGCACTTGATCCTTGAATATACCTATCAGTAAGAAGAAGACAAAAATTATTGCTCAAGCCTACACTCATAGGCAGTACCATGTAGTAATTCATACATGCTGTTAATGTATGAACAGGCTTTCAAGAAACTGGGCTGGATTGTTCAAAACTGGGTTATGACAATCCAGGATTAGTGTGAAATCTGATTAAAATCAGTATAATTCTTTTTGTCTAGAAAATGATTATTGGATGCTCTCACACATTTCCTTGTAAATTAGTTATAAGAATTTTTTGTTAGATCAAGATACCACCTTCAACCTGATAAGTCAGAGTGTTCTCATTTCTGTTTGCTTGATAATGTATGGATATCATAGGGTAAAGTTAAATCACTTCTGAAACTAAAGGGTTATTACTGTGTAACAACTTTGCAGCTTGCTACATGACAGCTGACAGCACTGGAGAACAGGTTGTCAAATTGGGGACTTAATTTTGCAGCATATTTAGTCAAAAGCTTTTTGCTGCTTTTCATGGTATTTGAAAAGATTCCAGCTTGGATTGTTACCGGCGGGTGTTTGCATGGATGTAAATTAATATATCCATAATGATGCGATATACGTATTTGAAGTCAAATAAAAGGTACAAATTTTTATTACCAGCTGCGTCTTCTATTGTCGTAGACGTCTGTCCCAGTATTCCCCCACTCGAAACCTGGGAATCATAAACAACTTGATTATTTTGCTGAGTTTGTCCAAACCATGCATCGCATCATTTCCCAGGCTCAAGTTTGACTCAAATCATGAGGAATAGCAGTTGTTGAATGTTTACCCCAAAATTGAAAAAAAAAAAAAATTTCTCATGGTAACTTATTGATATCTTGTTGTACCTTAAATGTACATTAAGGATCTCAGAGAGCTTGGGTTTGCAGGCTTTGAAAAGAACAGCTACATAAAATTTAATATGTCCAAGAGTCAGATGGGATCAGATGGGATACAGAGAACTATTCCCAGAGCAAAAGTGCTATAATTTTAAAGTAGTACTTTTTCTGGATTAGCACCTTTTAGGCTACCACACCTTTCTCTGACTCCCTTTCTTGAAAAAGAGCAACCCTTAACTAGAGAAGAAGGGTTTTCTGGATCAGGTTTGGCTAATCTCTAGAATAAACCCTGTGAATAAATACTGGGTCACAAAAATGAAATCATTAAAATTGCAATCTAACCTGGATACACCCTATAAACTCCATCAGAGCTTCCAAAATACTGCCACAATAGTGAAGGGTCTTTCTGTTCATTTTCTTTGAAGTATTTATTCAGTCCATCCGTCCAATTAATGGTATTGAGAATTTTCACCCCTATTATAGAGAAGACAATTGTGCAATGACCACAAAAAGAGAGGGAGAAGAGAGGAGATAAACTACAGGTTGAAAAGTAAAGAAACACCACTTTACACCTTTTCATTTTGGTCAATAAAACTCTCTTTCTTCTGACTTCTTTTGCTCTACACAAGAAAAACTAAGCTAGAGAAGGAATCTGAAATTCTTTGTCATGCTTTAGAATGGATACCACCAAACAAAGATAAATCCAAGACAAATCCAAGTATCCATACAATATTCACTCCAAAACAACACTACTAAATAAATATTCATGGCATGAGTCAAATTTTAGACCTTTCAGCAATTGGAACATCCCAGAGTTAAATGGAATGTTTAAAACTCAGCCACAATGGTTACTGATGGCCTGTTCCTGCCAGGAGTTCCTCAATTCTTAATGTTCAAGCACAGATTGTCTGGTGCCTTTAACTACAGAAGTAGGTTACAGAGGAACAGCTTTGATAAGCTCAGACTGCACTCACCCCTACTGTAAACATCAGTTGGTATGTGTACAACACTGCTAGACTTGTTAATAGCAACTTTCTCAGAAAACTTTGGGTCTCTTTCTAGAGGCAAGCCTGTCAGCTCCTTAGTGTTAAAATACTCAGTCTGAATATAAAAAAAGAGAAAGATCTAACTACTGTGTCATTTGCTGATCTAAAGGAGCAATTAATAGAAAAATAAATGCCACCAGCTTGGTGACTGCATTAGGACACTCAGGGAAAAGGATGACACTAAGACTTCCTTTGAGGAAGCAGGTTTTGAACAGGCAAATCTGAGGTCATGAAGGAATTAAACAACCATGGAGAAGCATGGTGGGACACATCCCTGACCTTGAAGCCAAGGGATGCCGATGAAGAAAGGAGGACCATGAAGAAATTATTTTAATGATCAAAGGTAAGGCGCTAAGAAAACTTTGTTATTTTTTCTTTCTTTTTTTCAAAATCAGCTTTGACCATACCTTCTGTATATGATAAGTATCCTTCAATATTATGAATTTAAAATAAATAATAAAATCATTTGTGTATAATAACTAATTTTAATGCCTGGCTACACAATCTGAGTACAGCATGATTCTGAAAGTAATACTGGATTGAGCAGCTTAGGTATTGGTATACTCTATTACTTTTAAAATTTTTTTAAAAAAAATTTGTTTATCTCCTTCCCTCCCCCATTTAAATGTTGCCAGGTGGTAACAAATCCTCACTAATTTTGAGCAACCCTATTTGGGTTGGGGGGGGGACTTCCAAGTAATTTACTACAGATGAATTACATGATTTCTGTTAATGTTAATCCTATTGAGTGGAGGGTTGTACACCACCCAGAGGGGCAAGGTGTGCTAACTTCTTTTGCTACTCATTCTACAGGATGGAATTGAAAAAGATGCAAACCTGTTCAATTTCAGATCCAGTCTTGTAAGTGTAATTCTTTCTGAGTTCTGCAGCCTTTGAAGCAAGATTCTACTCCAAGGAAAAATCAAAGTTCCTATAAATATGAGCTCTAGACTGGACTATAAATAGCCACTAGGATATGGATTAAATGTGTGTTACATTTTTATCCTTCTAAGGAGTCCTTCTGGAACCTCCTATGTAACCATTATTACTATCTGAGGGTGTTGAATGCTAAGGATTAAGAGCATGGAAAGCATTTTCTCCAACATAATTTTGTTATCAAATATTTGAGATGGCTGATGATAAATGCAAATTCCATATTCAAAACAAAATACATGTCACCTCAAAAAATGGCAACTTTCACCAAAAAATTTCAAAGCTTTATGGCCCTTGAAAAAAATTGAAAATTTTTGCCACGCCAAAACAAAAAACCTGACTGAGATCACTCTTAAATTCATTTATTAACCACTTGGCCAATTGGATGACGAATACTGTAATGAATGCTTGGTCTACACTTGACAAGATGGAGAGTATTTCATTAAGGTGCAGTGAAATAGGGCTTTCAATACTCTTGGCTGACAAAAGATAACTGAGCCACAAAATTCAAGAAACACTTCACATGATAATTTCTGGATAACAATTGTTAGGTGTCAAATCTCTCAGCAATTCTTTTTCAAATAATTAATGTAAGACTTCTTAATTAGGATTTCAAAATTACAATAATAAAAACACAAATTTCGGCTAAAAATGTCCATGCAGTTTCCGCATTAAAAATCATACCCCAGTGATATTATTTATAGATAAATTTTTCCTCTCTACGCTTTTCCAAATCCGTAAAGTGAAGAGGAGAATTCGTTCTAAAGCATATTGGAACAATCTAACTCAATTTGGCCTTGATATAATTCATGGCCAGCATATCCATCGCACACTCGAATTTATAAGTTATTTGCCACTGGCGAATTTTGTTTACATTTGAAGAAACATTGATATCAATAAGGAGACAAACAATATAATTTGAGCGAAAAGTGTAGTTGGAAATACGGTTTGAAATACGAAATGCTAAAACCAAGAAATAGAAAACAAAATTAAAACACCCATATATTTTTATTGATATAAGCTGCGTTGACTTAAAAGTCAGTTAAAAACATGAATTCCAATCAACTCTCATAAAATTTTTAAAGCCCAAGACTGAAGAAAACGCTCAGATCTAGAAAAAAATGGTGATTTCTTTTTATCGATATCCTTGGGTTAGTATCCTACATGCCTCAAAAGATGCATAATTATCTACGCCCAGTGTGCTTGCACGGATGCACGCATTTCGGACAAGAAAATCAAATTCTCGTAAGTTGCCTATTTAAAAGACAACAAATGGAAGCAAAAAGTGGTCAGCTTAAAAAACACATCGCCTTGGACTCTGCGCTAGCGCTTTTGGGGGGAATATCGAAATTTACAATCTAAAAATAAAACTAACACTTTACGCCACACTTTTACTAACTACCGTTTACCACATGCAACTTGATCAGACGGCAAAATTTAGCGGAAACTAACCCTGATAGACTCAATCTTTCCTTGCAAAATACCCTCCAGGCGCTGTTTCATCTTCTCCGCAATCGCACTTCCATTTCTATCGGTGGTCGATAGCTTACTAGATTGATGGTAGTCCTACGACAGAGATGCATGCATGCACGAATTATTCACTTCAATGAAGAGGAATATTTTTTGACGCGTGAACCAACTGGTGAATTTCGAAGTATTGTTTCCGTTATTTAACAGTATACAGAAGCAGTTATAAAAAGCGTGAGTCACAGAACAAATGCAAACACAACACACTAACCTCTTGAATTTTGCTGTACTGGGTGGTATTGTTGAAGAACTCAGACAGCACTCTTCCCAACTCATCCGCCCAAGACTTTACACTGTAGAACAAAACGAAAATCCCCTCAAGTTTTCGTTGCAAAAAAATTCACACGCTTGCCGCATTCTCTAAAGCTAAAACTTACTTCTCAATACGGAGAGATCCAGCTGTTTCAGCCAGGACACAAAAGACACTGAAAAGAGCGAGAAGCCTTGTTAAATTGACCGCCATCTTCATTCACTGTCGCCAACGCTATTTATATAAATTTGCCAGCCAAATTCGCTTGGCTCAAACGCCGTCACTTATTAACATAGTGTTTGGGCTTTCCTAGCAGCCATAATTGCCTCCCAAAGACAAATATGGTAATAAAGTCATTCATTTTTAAAGATTTTTTGCTGTCATCTGGCAGGTGCAGCGTAAAGATCGATTGGCGCACCAAGAAAACGAATTAGCATGTGAAGAAGTTTCACGACTTTCGAATGCCACCCTGTTGGTTGCCATGAAACCAAAAGGCAAGCCAAGTATTTTCTGAAAAACGCAAAGCAACGGTCTCATCACAAACTGTCACTTAAAATGACTTTTCTCACATCACTCTCATAAGTACCAAGGCATTTTCGATCGGAATTATGCTTTGTTGTTAGGTATGCAATTTTCCTCGTTAAAAATTCACACGAATTTGCTCTTATGCAAATTTAAGTATCATTAGAACTTTGTATAATGAAGTGTGTGTTTTTTATCTCTGTTTTCCACTGCGTTGCAAACTTTTAAGATTCCTTCCTTGTTTTAAAAATCGATCACAGTGCGCTTAAATTAAGCCATTCAAAATTAAAGCCTTTAAATGTTGTCCTTTTCATAGCCAAAACACTTGAAAATTACCATTTTCAGACATTTCAAACGAACTACTGGTCTAGTTTTATATCGATTTTCCTCATGGTCGGCATACTCCAAAATACCTGCAAAATCCTTCTCTCCAAACAGCAAAACGTATTTCCGCAGATTGCCGCCATTTTCTAGTACGAACTCTGGGTGGAGACTGGGCTCGAAGACCCGCGACACCCGCGTATTAAAGGAGAGAGGTAAACAAAGTCCCGCAGCTAATAAAAAGTTTGTGGAATCAAAGATCACCAGGAGCTTTTGGTAATCAGGACAATATCTTTCTTATCTTGATCTCACTGGGAAAATTGAGGAAAAGATTACCACAAGGAAATATGTAGTCTGTTCAATTTATAGTGGTGGAGCAAAATACCGCCCCCGCCGCAGTTACTGATTGGACCGTTTTTAAATATCGCGCAGCCGCTTCCCCTGCGAACGCAGCTTTCTTGATTACTGTGATAAGTCATTAAAAATAAAAACTACTATTCCATGTTTCGAAAATAGAAAAGCAGCACGAACATTACAGAAACTGAACAGTTTTATTTATCAACCACATATAAAACAGCCGTAAGATTTAATCTACTTCTTCAATGGTGAAGTGCAGTTTAATGAAAGCGAGATCAAAGATTGCCTGTAATCTTTCTCAATGAATAAGGAGCTAGTCCCTTTTGTTCCAAGAACAAAATCCGTAGCTCATAATAATATTTTTATAAGAGATTTTAAGAAAATTTGGTTTCGAGACTCTAATTTCTCACCAGATAACAACTACCTGTGGAACCTTCCTTCGCAATTTGGGAGTTAATCAGTTCGTTTACTCGTCGGTATGGCAAAACGAACAGAGATCGAAAATACCTCGAAGCCTATTAAGTTCTAGCTTTTAGCTGTGTGAGGCAAACTTACAATTATTCACAAGGGGAATACTTTTGAACAGAAAAAACTGTGTGAATAACTGAAAAACCGTGCAAAATATAATAGCTTTTAAATCATATGAAAAATTAAATAGAGCCTTCAGAAAATTTAAGTTCATTCATGGCAGTGCTCCAACATTTATTCATAAAAAACCGTAAATTTTCTAAATTATATAATCTCTACCAAAACAAAGTTTCCCATTGAATTCTCTGGAAAATAACAAGCTGCACCTGCTTGTAACACCCAGGAAGTTTTTTCCCTAGATTTTCCCCTAAATTGCCCTTCTTTCACCCGTCTGCCTGCGTAGTTTATTTCTTCGGGTAATGGGAAACCAGTTATGCAGTGAGGGAGGGGGGAGGGGGCAACGCTTGAATCACACGGACCCCCGAAGGTTATGATTCCAATGACTGTGGGACTGATACATTATGTGTTGTCTTCTCATTCACTTGTCGAGCGAATTACGGCACAAGTCCCGTTATGACTCCTCTGTAATAACTTTTCATGAGTAGTAACGCTTCATTATATGATTTCAGTGTTCAAGCTAACAGACCATTAATTTTCACGGAATTTCCCGAATTCTTCCGCTTTTTGTGGGATTTTGTCTTGTGTCTCTCTGTTTTTACGTTTTCCGAGTCCACTGTCACCAAGAAATAAGCTCACTTTGAAATCTGCTTTTGAATATGGACGAGGAACTCGTAGTAAGACATAACCGATTCCGAACGATCGTCCACAAGATTCTGGAGGAATAGCCCCCTCATTCGACCGTCTTCCCTGTAAAAAAAAGAGTAGATGCTTTAAGCTTGGCTTATCCTGTAGAATCCAATCTACAATCTATTTTACCAATAAAACGTTGGGATCATCGGAAGAAATTGTAGCTAAGATGCATGTACCTGTTCGTAACCGCAAACAGTTTTACTTCGAAGACAGTACACAAAATTATGGGCAACTTGCGAGCGACTCTCAAAGATTTGCCCTCGTCTAGTTTTCTTCTACGAATAGTGAATCTTTCTCATACCATTCACAGGCCTGTTCCGTTAACTCCATCTATTTTTTGCAATGGTCACCGTTGATCGGTGTGGAACTTACTTTAAAACAAAGATGTTTGCATGGCAGGATCGCTGTGTCTGTAGATAATCTAAAAATGTTCTCACTCTCTCTGACTGAGGATTTTCCAGCGCCGGCAGCGATCCCTAATAAGTGACGAAAAAAATAAAGGGCACATCAGTGATCAACCTAGATTAGTTTACTCGCTAATCACGTATTTAACAGGGTTCCAGATTCGTGATTATTTTGGCTGCCAAAATTTTTACTGAAGATGTCAGACGAATTTGTCCAAAATTTCATTGCTTTTGCTTCACTCAGCTCCATGATTGGTCTAAACAATTAACGCCACACTTTCATCCACCAGACGCAAGTTCCCATAGTGTTACTAGTGTTTTCCTTTTCTAAAGGCCAGGCAGCCTTGTTGTTCTTCTACTGCCTTCTCATTGGTTCCTTATGTTATTTTCCTTTATTATGATTGGTTTTTGTTACGGAACACAATTACAATGCGCTCCAAAATCATTCAACTTTCCATGCCGATTTCAAACAGCTTCTCTTCAAAAATAACATCGCAATGACTACCGACTGCCTGACGAAGTTGAAAAAAAATAATACGACCTGAGTTATTTTTAGACAACAAGCATTAATACCATGAATTTTCACCACCTCTTAAAGTCAAAGAAATAGCAAGCCAAGATAAATTTCCACAATAAAATTAGTAATTAACCTCACCATATTCTCTGGAATGCTGCCATAGTTTGGTACATTGAATATAGCTTGGATGACATCAATAGGGGCATCTCGTCCGACCCAAAAGTAAAAAGCCTATTTAAAAGAAACAAAACAAACAAATAAACAACCATATCGCTTAATCTCACTTGTTTCCGTATTTGATAATTTACAACAACAAGTTACAACCTAATCTACTCACATGACCAGCGTCCAGAAGAAATATTCCTTTTCTGGAAAGCTTTTCGCCCGACAGGTGATAAATTGGAGGCTTAGCAACCAGGCCAGATTTAGTCTGGAAAGCACCCTGGGGAAGAGAAAATAAAGTAGTATACTTGGTTAAGTTTACCAACCGCGACGGATATTTTAGATATTCTATTTGGCGGTCTTAATCTGTTTATTAAACTCTAGAAATACAAGATAAGGGCGCTACAAAGAAGTAAGAAAATATAAACACTAAGCGTACCTCATCCGACAATTCGTGTATCGGGTACATTTTTGGATATATAGATAACATGACCAAACTGAGGGGCATAACTTTAAGCTGCTGCATGGAAAAACACCGCTCGTCCAAACGAGAGGTCGAGCCAAGACGAAACGCCATCTGAAAATGCAACATGTAAGAACATTAGAAGCGGATGAAAACTATTGTGGGTAAACGCTCAGTAGAGCCACATTCTACAGACACCTACAAAATGATTTTCCTCCTGTAATGTCAATATTTCATACGGAAATTGAACATTGATAACGTCACATCTACTGATCTAGAAATATAACATTCAGCTCCATTCATAAGCCCCTTTCAAACTAGATCGTTCTCTTAAGCAATATCACTTATCAAGACAGAATATGTCCGATTTTGACTTCCACAAAGGAAATGTGTGAAAATTCATTTTTAGGTAGAACCTGCATAAGTATAACCACCCCCAAGAACCCCGAGTCCTGTTCTGTTAATCGATTCTAGCAAATTTCCTCTTTAACAATTTTTTACAAAACACGCTTGTTAGGACAAACAACAGAGTAACAAAAAGGAAGGTAAAATACACCCAAAATTCAAGTCCACTGTCCTACATACGTGTTTCATGATAGCCAAGATAAAGAGCGGAAGTAATCTCAGAGAATAGGGCGCTATCAGTCCGCTACTCTGTGGTTGATTCGCTACCGAGGAACGGTAAACGCTAAGAGTGTCAATACACGCGTTCAACAAAGCCTAAAGGAAAAAACAACAGAAAATAACAGTTAGGCAAAATTGAACCTAATAAAACAACCGATATACTTCAAGCGCCCTGACTGGAAAATAACAGTTAGGCAAAATTGAACCTAATAAAACAACCGATATACTTCAAGCGCTCTGCTTGGTCAAAAACCTATCGCTAATTGCACCGGTAAACCCCAAAAAATTGAAGTTTATTTTATAAAAGTAGTAAACAGCACTTTCTATAGGTTTATCGTCATAATAAGCCACTTGAACACGCCTCCGGTTTGTCTTTATAAACTTTCCTCGTGTGCTCCCAATATCCTTTGCGGGTTATTATGCCGGTAAACCCATAGAAAGTGAGTTCTATCGTCTATTGAAAGGGGGTGAGTCGAGATGAGTGACTATGTGCACTTTTCGACGAGAGCTCTTTGACTGAGCTTTTAGTAAATAGTCCGCGTTCACTGTACTTACCTCTCTAGCATCCCCTAAGGATGAAGTCAGTGTCCTATCGACAGCTAGAGAAAAATAGCAACAAAAACAACACTCTCAGAAAAGTGCATGATAATCAAAAAAAAAAAAGCTGAAAAGCCTCTTAAATATAGCAGGTAAACATATCATCTTGGAAAGAAGTGACGACATATCAAAGCAATCCTATCTTTGATCACTGAATATAAGATTCTAAAGGGAAATGTGGTACTGCGTCGGTAGGAGAGTATAAAAAGGTAATTTGGTACTGTCAACAGAGTTAATAGCGCAAATTGGCCACCGTTGTTGTTCGACCTATTTAACAAATCAAAGAGAGAGTTTTAAAGCTGAAAGTTCGAGCGTTAGCCCTTCATCAGAGCGAGTGTGTACTCTGACGAAGGGCTAACGTTCGAAACGTCAGCTTTAAAACGCTCTCTTTGATCTGTTTAATAGGTCGAACAACAAACACGAAGGAATCAAAAGTAAGGCTGACTCACCCATTTTGGCAAGCAGGGTGGCAATAGCCTGTACGTCAGCAGTGGCGTACAGATCAGCCAACTTGTTTGTGATCGGCAAAGCAAGAGTATGTACTCTGATGCGCCGTTCACCTGTAAAAAACGCAGAGACCAACGTTGAGATTAAGAAAACGGCCTGAGTTGTTAACAATTGATATCTCTGTCAAAGACAAGTAAATTTAAACACAAACACGAAAAACAGGTGTTTAAGGATCAAACTACCTTTGGTGCTTGTATAGAGAAGAGCAGACTGAAACACAGCCAGATTGGAGTCTGTCAGCGAGTCTTCAATGTCAATCTGCATGCTAAAGCCACTGTCAGGACTCACGTTCGGCAAAGAAACTAAGTCCGTGGAGCGTACAAAGAAATTTCCATGGAAGGTGTGGATTGAAAGCCCTGATGACAAAAGGTGACGTTAGTGGGAAAAAATCTCGAAATTCAAACCCCATCTTCGAAATTTGAATCCTCAAAAATGAAGCCTCAACCCTTGAAAGCTTGCTAAATCCATTTGCGGGTCCCTAGCGAAACACTGCCAAACGAGTACCCACTGACCACTGACCACTGACTGCACATACTCGTTTCTGTTTTGGTCTTAATGTTTTAATCATGAATCTTTTCTACTGCTTCCTTCCTTGGACATTATCCCACAAGAAATTATCTACCTTCTTTTTGAAACTCTCGGGCTGGGTGAAAACAAAGGGATTTTGATCAAGTAGAGAGAATAAGATGGAAAAAAAACTACTGAATACCTTATTAAACGGGTTAAAATTGCTCTGATGCCGTATATTACCTTTTGTGCAACGCACTCTCATAACTGCCTCAAATCCAATCTTCCTTGTTAGATAACGCCTAAAAAAAAAAAGACCGAACATTTACCCTTATTTTACTCCAAAACTTTAACAGGCCACACAGTTATTACGTAAAATTTAGCCCCCAAGCAAGCACGAGCACTTCGGCACGGGTGCTTCGGCACGGGCGCTTCGGCACGGGCGCTTCGGCACGGGCGCTTCGGCACGGGCGCTTCGGCACGGGCGTTTCGGCACGGGCGCTTCGGCACGGGCGCTTCGGCACGAGGTCTGCAAGGAGTCTAGCAGAGATAATGAGACTCCCGGCAAACCTTTCCCCGACTCGCCTCAAAGCTTCCCGCGGGTTGAGAAACGCACGTCCTGGATCGTTTAGAATGAGCGCCTGCTCGCAAGCTTTGTGAGGTTACTTACACAAATTCGTTTTCAAATTTTTCTGCTGCAGCAGGGTTCCTTGACGCGTGAAAGTCAGGATAATACATGACGGATCCTCCAGAGTACTTTGACGCACACACTAAAATGTTCAACAAACAATTTTTTTCGGTAAGAACAAAACAATGCTTGCAGACTTTGCTAAAAAAAAAGAACACTCACACAAGGGCAATAAAGATATTTAAAATCACTAGCAGTCTTACTTAAGGTAGCAATATCAGCATACTGTCCTGAAAGCAAGAAGAGGTCAACAGCAACTTGTTCAGCTGCACAGTCCAGTGCAAACTTCTTGTAGAAATCTGTAGCTGGTGTTAAATTCTGAACATCCTATAAAAGACAAAGATAAATTCCTATGTAAATAATTACATGTAATACAATACTTTGCTTCTGTGAGATCAAAATCACGTACAATTTAAAAGTTTATATTACTGCTGTATAGCGAAGCACAATGGAATGACAAAGGAGGTTAAGTCTTTGTAGCCACGTGGCTAACAACTGGCTGTGCTCGTGCTCACTCTGTAGCACGAGGTGACTCCTCCTGGATGGAACACAACTCCATCAGCATTTTTTCAGGTTTTTCTGAGAGTTCATCAGCACCCAGTTTACCCTTTCCCTTCCAAAACCTCGCTAGTAATTCTCCTTACTATCTGCCATACAATTCCTATAATATTAGTTCGTAAGAATTTGGTATTGGATCAACTTATAACACCCAATTGACATTTTTCTCAATTCTCATTACTTGTCGGGTTGATGTGGTCCTGACACTGTAAGAAGAAATTCTGGTCAGTCATGGGAGTTTAAGGGTTAAACTACTTGGTAAGGAGAGGCACAATAAGAGTGAAGTGTCTTGCTCAAGAACGCTGTCCACACCGAGGCGACCCTTAACAGATGTGAGAATTAAGTAATTTGATAATAACGAAAACGTCTCATGTGTTTCTGAATTACCTTTGGAGAAGATTTCTGTCCATCCTCTCTCTTCTTCAATTGTCCTGGGCCAATGTTAGGCAATGTTGTCTGAAAAAGTGTCACACGACCTCCTATGTGGCCCTGGAAGAGACAAACGAAAACACAGGATTGAGTACCAAGGATAGCAGGTGTTCAAACTGTAAAAAAAAATAAGTAAGGGCAGATCCATGATTTTTGACAGGTGATTGGCAATGGTAAAAATTTTTAAAAGTGAATAACAAAGAAGAAGGCTTATGACTAGTCAATAACATCACATGAACTGCTGAGAAAACATAGAAAACATAGAAAACGATACAGCAGATTTTGTGTAACTATATATTAGAAAACTGCAGGCCGTTTCGGTAGGGGGGGGGGGGTTGCACTCCTTACACCCCTCCCCAAGATTCACTCCTGAAAAGCTAGCCACATAGGACCTGCATCTATCATATCCATCAACTCTACATAAGACCAAAGTAGGGCAACATTAACCATAAATTAGGTTTAGTTAAGTGGGCAGGATCAAAATGTAAATTCAAAAGCCCCAATAGGTTTGGCAACACTGTTACAGTAAATTGTTTACAAGTTTCCTACAATTTCTAAAAATGGCTACATATATTGACTTACCACTAATTTGAGAGCAGCCTGTAGGGCTGCACCTGTTGCACTGTGTACATTGCGATTGCTGTTGAACATGGTTGGAAGAGAATCCAGCAGTTGAGTTACAAGCTAAAAAAAAATCACCAAAAAAAAGTGAAGCCAATAGTAGCATACTCATCTTACATTGACAGCAATCAATTTGATCATCTATCTATGCATTCTTGTTTTCAATTCCCAGATATTATTAAACAATAAATCACTCAGTGTACCTCTTTACTTTCATTCAAATTCACCAGAAGGTCATCAGGAGATGGAAGGAAAATGTCTATAGTAAAACATATATAGTGTTAACTTAGCAAGTGACCGCAAATATGTATGAAAAAAAAAAATTAAAGTACATAAGTTCTAGGGGTGCTATTACTGGTACTACACACCACCATCAAACAGGATACATAAACAACATACATAAAACACTTCTGGAAAATTGAAAGCTTGAACTGACCTTCCAAATCTGAAACAATATTCATCTGAGGTTGTGAAAGCTTTGACTAGAGGGAAAAATTAACACAAGATTAACAACACTAATTAATCAAACTTTTACAAAGTGATATGAAACTATAACCAAGGTATCTTTTGAACTGAAAATGAAAATGAAGGTAAACGTCCAAGCATCCAGTGGGAATGCAAAGCACATGTTGATGCAAACAAAAAGGACGTTTTTCTAACAATCAGGGAGAGTAAAACAAGACCAATCCAATCCAAGTTATCCTGTCTTTCTAGATGTACACTGTATCTCTCTTATTGATCTTATTTCCTTTCATTCTCCCTTGCAATCTATGAATTGACAGATGTGACTATTCCTGGTTGAGAAAATTGGTTTTTCATGAGTCAACAGAAAGAAGAGTGTGTGAAATCCCTGGAAATAAGCTCCACTAACTACCCCATAAAATTAACATCTTATACTTGCTTTTCACAAAAGACTAATGTTTTGGAACTACATTTGTAAGCTTTTGGCTTTTCTCACCTTTAAACTGTAGAATTGAACTGTACTATCAAATGTTATAAATCCAATCTGTGTTCTTAGATCTCCTGGCATTTTCTCTAAGTTTTCTTTCAGTAATTTACAAACCATATGTAGATAACCTGTAACAACCAAAACAGCATTATAATAAACATAAGAAATGGTCCTAAAAACAGAACATTCTTGTGTGTGATCAGATGAAATAATGTATGCAACTCAATTCAGTAAAGTAAAAGCAAAAGACAAACCTAGCACTGGGCTCAAAAACAGTAATTTTGTTAAGAAAAGGTGAATCAGCAGATCTAGATGCATTGATACATTTAGACAAGTGCTGCTTTCATATAGCAAGTTAATTTTCAACACTGTTTTGGTACCCATCAGCTTTTGAAATTAAGAAACATTTAAAAACTCCTACCTGTCTCTACTGCATTAAAGGAGACATCCATAACAAACAGAAATACTGCTGGCTGTGGAGGCCTTAACTGCAAATCATACAAAACCCATAATTATAACTCAAACATCATTATCAACATTAGTATAAATTGATTTTTTAGTAACATGACAATGCATATTGAATCTTGACAACACTCTACATTTTAACTGTTACACTTGCTACTGTCTTCAACTATATTGCAATTACTGGATAATGAACTGACATAATGGCAAGGTGTTGCCGGTTTGTTCTGGGAACTATGCAATAGAACTACAAAGACAACAAACATTACTTAATAATAAATTAAAATAGCTCACCATATATTCTGATGGTGCTATAAATTCCACTGTAGCATTCCTCACTTCTGGTCTCTTGGATGGATCTCCATACTGTCGGGATGTAGGATCAAAACAGAATTCCTCTGGAACTGGAACCAAAAAACAGTATGAATAAGCTCTTAATTAACAAACAACGGATTTTTACTCGTGCCTAATCAACAGTATTCTTCAAGGAAAAAAAAAAGATTTACTGCCAAGGTTTAAGGCAAGTCATTTCAGAAAATGAACTGAAGCCAAATGCTTCTGGACAAAACCAAGTCAGAATCCCCCATCAGAATTCCTCCTTTGTCAATAAATCTAACACACCATTTAAAGTTAAACAAAGGGTAAAACAAAAGACTGCCTTATAAATACTAATAAGCTTCTTTTGTGCAGGTTTTTTGAGTGCATTTTGAAAAATTGCACGCCTGTGCATGCTTTTTTTAATGCCCTTTGCATGCATTTCGGGCCAAGTACCTCTGAGCTGTACTGTATATTACATAGACAGATGCAGGAGTACATAAATAAAAACTAGTTTTACTGGAAACAAGGGAGGTGTTCATTGCAAACACTTAAAGAAAATATTATACCTTCATTTACTCTGAAACACATTGGGCATCTCCACCTTCTAGAGTCAGTAAAGGTTACAAAAGGATTGATATATGTTCTACAGGAACGACATCTTGTAATGACAGAAGAATGAATAACTGGAAGGTTCTGTTGAAGAAATAACAATGATATTGTTGTAAGTCACTTCTACACACCTGTCAAATGAAAAGTGTTGAAAAGAACAAAATCTCGAGTCATTTTTTGATTACTTTCTCTTTAGCTGATTTAGAATTCTAAAATTCAAGTTGTTATACAATACCCAACCAAAGGGCTGAATATAACAAAAATCTAATTGAAGCAGGTTATCATGAAGAAGAGTGATTTAAAAAAACTTGCCTGTAAATCTTTAAAAGGGTGAAGGTGAATTCCTAGTGGGAGCTTAGATTTTGTCAACAGACTCTTGGTTTCTGGAACAGCATTAACAGTGCAACACAACACACTGGAAAAAAAAAAAAATGTCAAGAAAATCCATAACAGCTCTGCTCAGTATAAGAACATATTTCAGTTAAGTTGATATCTAATTTAAAACAAATCAGCACAAGATACTCTGAAACATCACAGGGACGGTAAAGCTCACCATGACCTTTCGCAGCCAGTAACAAAATGGAAAACACAAATTATGAGTTTTGACACTATCAAATGATATTGATGACTTATTAGGTGATTCCCTAGGAAGCAAAATTACAAAAGTTGTGATAGGGGAGGGGGGAAGGAGAGGTCCATACAAAAAGAAATATTTGCAAGTGATCACTGCATCCTGCTGGGGTAACCACTCCATGCAAACACAATGAATCTTAGTATCAATGCACTAACCTTGGATCACAGTTCCTTTTCCGTAGGTCCTGTAGGTAACAAAAAGCAAAATAGATTATTCATTCACAACCCCAAAGAAATATAAATAAACCTAGGTAACTACTGCACAAATAATAACACTCTCTCAAAAATCCATTTTCTTGGCTGCCACAAGTAAAATAATATCTAACGAGCAGTAAATACCAACAAACTATTTTAAAGATATCAGACAACAAAAAAAAATTAATTTCAACATCAGTACTCACTCCAGGTAAATTAGGGGTTGGCTGCTCAATGGGTGTTTGGGGAAGAACATGCCTTTGTTCTAAAAGATTAATGGGTTGACAAGCTGAAGATTGCTGTAAAATAAACAAGACAGAAAAAAGTTTAAGCTTTTGTAATCACAAGGGGGACTTTTCACACTGATATATATAGACGCTGAGTACCAAAAAAGGTGCTTAAAATTTGTTGGCTTTTGTTAAAGATAAGTTAATAAATAAAGAACATGCTTATCAGAGGAGCCAAACCTTTTCCTTTCGTAACTTTACAAATAATATTAATTCAACCCTTTACACCCTAATTCTCAATACTGTCCTCTGTACACTTCCAGTGGTACTGATACAGAGAATTTGTTCAACAATTAAGAGCTTCACTGTTGGTTGATCATTTCCCTTATTCTCATGACCTTACTGTTTAGGTCCATTGTGATACTGCAGGGAGAAATACGATGCCAATCACTCCTAGGGTTTTAAGGGTTAAGAGAGATGTTCAACATTTGGAAGGATTCATAACCCAACCAGGTCCAATCTTCGAATTGTTGGCCTACCAAATGGACCACAGAGAACAAAGGTAAGCTAGTCTATACAAAGGGATGTGGAGAAGTGACATAACTCTTTAAATCCCAGATCAAATTTGTAATTCTTCTTATTGTCAACCATACAATTCTTATAATGTTAGTTCAGAGAATTTAGTATTGGATCAACTACTTATCCCCAAATTGATATTTTTCTTTATTCTTATCCCTTATCTGGTTGATATTGTATTGATATTGTAAGGAGAAATTCTGTCTTGGTCACTCATGGGAGTTAAAGGGTCAAGACCTGCCCATGTTTTTCTGGTTTGATCATTTAGGAAAGCAGCAGTTCCAAACAAAGTACAGGCATTTTTTCATACCTGCACAGTTAGTCTTCCCATTGGACCTTCCAGGCCAGAAGATGGAAACTGTTGTGTATTACCACTCTAAATATAAAAATTGTGAAGTTAATACATAACGCAGACATCAGGACACCGGCTTCTCTGCAAGGTTTCACCAGCTACTTTCATTGCTTCGAGAACCCGTACAGAGATGATGTTTGTCAGGTCTAAACTTGGGCTCAATAAAAAGATAAATTTACACTGCCTATCTTTTCTGAAAACATAAAAAGACTTCTGACTCAAGGTTAGTTTAAAAATGTTCCAATGGGGACTGTCTTTTTGACAAATCTTGCTGTGGTAGCAGGAAAGTACAAACGATATGACATTTTTTCTGCCATATTGGATTTCAAGACCCACAACCATTTACCTTTAAAAAAGCTCCAGCTACTTAAAACCTTAAAGAAAACCCTGAGACATTATTACAGTTTTATTTCATACATTTCAAGAGTATGTGTCTTACAGAGCTGTGAAGAAACTATTGCATTTTTCCTTTGCAAGAGAGTGGAATAGAAAATGAGCACCTGTATCCAACCAAAGAGAGGTGATAGCAATTTACCAGGAGAGGAATAAAAATTGTATTCCCTCCAGATTTCCTCATAGTAGGGAAAAGCACTGTGAGAGTGAAGTGCTTTGCCCAAGAATGCAACACCATTACTTCTCAAGGGCTCAAAAGTGGACCACCCTATCTGGAGTCCTCAACTAAAAGTGGACAATATTAAACATATTGGAAATGAACACATAACACTTACAACAGGTGGTTGTTGAGCCATAGGAGACATTTGACCTGGATAGGGTTGGTTCATCTGGCCAGGAGCATTCATCATTCCACCTGGCCCAGGCATTGGAGGTTGCATTGGCTGGCAATAAAACAAGTTAATACTTTAACTCACTTAGAAGTGATTAACATGAATCTTCTCCCCATAATAATCATACATTATCCAGCAAAGGGCAAATGAGCATACCCAAACTTATCCAGTAGAAGTTGTTATCTTGATCTAATACCAAATTTGCCTAACTTATTAATATTTGCTATGAATTATGTAAAAGCTGGAGGGGAGAATTAACATTCAGATCTTGGGAGTTAAAGGGTTAACCAAATTTACAAATTCCAACAAATGATAATAAGAAAAAACATACAAGAGAATGAGCATTGAGATAACATTTGAACTTAGATGCAAGTGGCTAGTGAGCAGTACATTTTCAACATTCAAGATCCTGTAGTGAGCTGCAATTTAACCCTTTAACTTCCAGAAAAGATTACCAAGTAATTTCTCCCTATAATATCTAAACATTATCCAGCAAACAGGTCATCAGAATATTCAAACTTATCAGATAGAAGTTGTTATCTTCATCTAACACCAAATTCTTGTAACCTATTTACAAGAAAATGTGCAGCAGCTAGAAGGGAGAATTAACAATCAGATCTTGGGAGAGAGTTAATCAAATTTCCATAACGAAGCCTGCAAAATTCAAGCTTGAACAGGATTGGCACCACTGCCTCCCAGATAATAGAACTTTTTGGGTATTACTTTTAAGTGAGTTTTATGCAATTTCTTTACCTACTAAAGTCATATCTTCACTTCGTTATCGCCCACATGTCAAAATAAATGTTAATAAAAAAAACAAGAAGGTGCGCTATAAATAAGTTGGTTCTGCCCCTTGGTTTTAGCTCAAATGCAAATTAAGCTTTAGTAATATTACATGATGGCAAAGTGAATCTTTTTAAATTTTCCAACACAAATGAAGAGGGTTTTGACAGGAAGAAGGAGATACAAATTTCAACAAATTCGTTAATTATGATAAAAACATAGAAAACAATTATGGCTTTTGAGAAATCTTCCTCCTGTTTGTTCACTCTGGATTAGCTGCAGCTCAAGCTGTTTTAAATATAGAGGTCTGTATGCCACAACTGCTGATTAACAAATGATCCAGAGGTACCTAAGGCACATCTCCTTTTAAAGCACATCTTTGTGTTTAACTTTCAAACTTTTACCTGAGAAGGGTACATTCTCCTCCTCGAAGAAATGGGTCTCCCAGCCTGAGAGTCCTGTCCAGTGGGAGAATATCCTGTTGGTGGACTGTTAAAACCAGTTTGTGGCATAGCTGATCCTGGAGACATTGATGGAGGGGGTGGGGTTAGACTCTGACCTGGTGTCGCACCCCCTGGACCTGTTGGAGGGGGTGGCATTATCTGCTGCCCCATTGTTGACCCTGGAAAACCAGCTGAAGGAGGAGGTGTTGATCTCTGCAATGGGCTCCCACCCTGCCCTGGATGACCAGGTCCTGTGGTCATTGGCATTGTAGGTCTCTTTGGTTTATTGGAATGAAGAGCTGACAATGGCTGAGAACCTGGTTGGCCTATGGTTGGAGATAAACCAGATGGAAAACCTTGAGCTTGTCCACTGTAATTTGTGTTCTGTCCAACTTGGGGCATCTGGGGTGGGGTATTTGACTGTCCGTGTACAGGCAACCCAGTCCGTGACTGACTTGGCAGGGGTGGCATAGAGGATGAATTTTGATACAGTGATGATTGCCCTGAATGGGAGGTAACTGGAGTGAAAGCAGAACCAGTTTGTGGCATTCCATGAGTATTGTTAATTATGGTTTGCTGCTGAGAATTGGAATTTAGGGAGGGTCCATTTGCTAAAGCAGATCCTGAAGGTGGGGTGGACTGTCCATGGGTGGGTGCACTAAGATTTGATACAGCTTGTCCCACTCTAGGTTGTGAAGAGGAACTTCCAATAGGGGGGCCAACTCCTGAGACAGGGCCATTAGCAATGGCATTAGGAGATGGAGAGTGATTTCCAGATTGCCCTGAAACAAAATGAAACAACTTATCTAAGTTTGGTAAAACAAAAGAGGAGCTGACAGTGCTTAACTCCTACTCTTAATTTAAATTAAAACTACCACCCACTTCCTTTCATCTACATTCGAAAAAGTATCATGAAGACAAATAACTTTGAGGTCTGTACTAAAAGAACCTTGGCCTGATGTATCATCAGTTCAGACTGTGTAGATGTAGGCAGAATAAAATTCAAAATAAATTACTCCTTTTGAAATGGTCAATCATCCAGAACAGGACAGACCTATATAGAGGTCCTGCTGTGGTTGAGGATAACCAGCACTTGGACAAAATGTGCATATGTCATCATCAGTGAAAAAAAGAGTGATTAGTCATAAAGATATTGAAGTCTAGTTTTTCGATCTTTTCAGAAATATAAGTAAGACACCTGTATAATTTTTTCCTGACACTGGTTGACCTGGACAGTCTCCCAGATCATCCACAACAGTCTGACAGTCATCACTAGCTCAAATGCTATGACAACAACTTAAAAACACCAACTAGCTGCTAAGATTGAATATTCACTGACCAGTTTGCAGATTCATTGGACTTCTGTTGGGTGGCAATGCTGATGAGGATTCATGAGAATTATTCAAAGAATGTGGTGATGCACCAACCATGTTATTAACCATTGGAGGGTTGGTTCTGTATTGATTATGGCCTGGTGATAGAGATGTAGGCCATTGGCCTGGGTACTGAGCTTGGTAACCTAAACAAAAGGAGAAAATTATATAAATTGAAAAATTCCATGGTTGGCTTTTTAGTTCTTTGATCAATATTGCAGAAATTTACCTGAGTGTAATACAGCTAAAATTAAAGTTCAACATGGTTATTAATGGACGATATATGGAAATCAAGTATAAGATAATGTGACATAGCACTATTGGAATGTTTAAAGTACATGAAAAAGAGTTCACTAACTCAGAGGCATTAACGACCAGATTTACATTAATAATCTAAGTATATCATCTACAACAACAATCCTTTAAAGTTCAATCAGAACTATGTCAACCATAAAATTACAGAGCGAACTTTATACATGAGCTAACAAATTGAAGTGTTCCGCAATTAATTACTGGGCACGAACGAATTACCAAAGACATTGTAACCAAAGAAGCTAGCATTGTACACGTATATCCGGCCACGATACCATGTCTCCCATGTTCTGTTTAAGCTAGCGTGGTAAAGAAATGGATTTATAATTCAGCAAGGAAACCAAATCTGGAAATTTATTCGTTGGTTTATATTTAAAGCATAAGTGCTTTACGTTACAACCAGCTGATCGAATGTAACCTGCTACTAAAACTAATGACGACATAATAACTAAGCAAATCAACCAGTACAATTTGAATTATCTTCTGAAGAAATAACCTTAACATTTCCACATTATCCGAGTTGAGACGATTAAAAAATTTAACAACCTTCACGAAGAAATCGACATGGCTTCTGAGGAGAATCTTGTGACATTACTTCACTTGATGAAACTCAATCTGTCAATAGATGATTCCTTACCTTTCGAAGCCGGGTTCATGTCTTGGGAAACACTCTGAGTCTGATTATTGACAATAGACGTGTGTTGAGATTCCTGACTTACTCCTTTTTTATCTGGTTGCACAAATTCTCCATGATTTTGCGAAGACTGAAAACTATTTACACCACCGTGGTTGAGGTATGGTTGCTGTTGACCAACCGAGAACGCATTATGACTCGGCGGTAACCTTCCTCCAGACATTACCTACCACACATTTAAAACCTATAATATGGGTCGTTGTTGAGTGGAATCCAGTTGGGTTATGTCAATCGCTTTTGAAAAGCGTGAGTGCACCCAATTTTTCGAGAATTTTGTGAATCTCACTCTAGCCTGCAGCCACGAAATGCAGATGTTTGAGTATGCGCAGTAGACGTGTTCTTAGCGACGTGGCAACTGTGATGCATTGCGCACCGACATATCAGTTTTGCGCGTTTACGATGCACACGGTAATTTTCCCACGCACACAACAAACAATACAAATTGGATGTAAAATTGGAAACGAAATACGTCACCGCATAATACCTTATGGAAAATTAACAATCATTTTATGTATCCGCGTTGAATCTTTTGTGTATGATTAAATATTAACAGAGCTGCTGGCCCCGGTTGTTCGAAGGGAGAATAAGACTATCCACAGATTCCACAAGCAAGCCCAGAGATTATAATCTCATTCCACTGGATAAATCTATCTCTATCTGTGGTGGATAGCTTTGTTAACTCCTATCAACTGAACAGTGATTTATTCTTTACAGCGTATCCTCTCTTTGGACAACTGAGTCCTGGGGAATGCAAACGAGGCATTTTCCAACGGGTTTGCCATAATTGCATAACACCCAAAATCAGTGTTTATAAGAGGTTTTTCAAGAATAAATGCAAAAGTGGCAAATTTTGTCGGTTCGTGTTAGTACAAGTATATTTCCACATTGCATTCCAGAATAAACAAACCTTGCGTTCAATGCCGCTCTTCCTTTGATATCGAAGGAGAACCTTTCGCTGCGGTTGTCACCGAAGAGGAGACAAACTTACTCAGTGGGTTGTATTGTATTCTTTTGTTCTCTTTTTTATTTTCGACGAGCCTCCTTGCAAAATTTTTCGTTGTCTTAATGTCTACAGGATCCAATTTTACCTCGATAATTGAATTTTTTGTTTCTTTCCAAGCTTAATTCAAGCACTTTGTTATGCTTAACTTCGATATTATTTTGCAGGTAGTCGCTGCCTGGAAGCATTTCCAGGCTGATTGAAGGTTTGTGTTCGATCGCTTGTGTTATCTTTCCGTTTTACCGCGCCATGCGAAAACGAAATAAGTCATTCAGCTCATTTTTACGCATAGCGGATTGAAAAGCAAAAAGTGTAAGGTGAATTATTTTTTTTAAGAGAGGAGTGTTCAAAACGGAAATTAAAATTGTCAGCCAGAGAAAGTAAAATTAAAAAAAAAACCTTTTGGAATTGGAAAATGATTCTAAAAGAAAACAGAACAAAGTGAAAAAAAGAAACGGAATTTTAGGTTCGTACTCCTTCGCCATTTAAACCGGTTATGACTAAGATAGACGGATTCAAAGCCTCCTCCTCCAACGTTCGCGTAAACCTTTAGTACAAACGCGTAGTAGAGGTATTGGTAACGAGTCTAAAGTTCAACGGCGCATTCCTTTCTTTCATTCTACGATTATTTTTTTCAGCAGGGAGATGTGTCAGCGTGAGGACGAACTAATTAAGTTACAAAAAGAAATCAAGCGTAAATACAAAATAAAAATATATATGCATTTTATTTGAATTTATCTACAAATTATATTTCTTTTTACTTGAGGCACTGCCGCACGAACTTTGACGTCGTTTAGTGTATTCCGGCCCTGAAAATCTCATATGGAAATTTTGCAAAACGATCTCACGTTCCTCAATGGGAGCTTATGTCCTTAAATCTAATTCTACACTGGTATGAAGCTGCTATTAGCATCCAGGTAGGTTTTTGAGATCTTCCTACCATTAAGGACGGCAGAAAAAATCGCATGCCTTGAAAATATCACCTCTTTTAAAAGATAAATCTCAACTCAGAAGCAAAGAAATTGCTTTCAGTCTCAAATGTAAAACGAAAACATTCAAGCTGATTTGTTTTTGTTTCTGTGTTATCTGGAATACCATCTGTGGTTCCGCAGCCTGTTTTTCCCTTGTGTCTCGCCTGAAAATGAAGACGAAGAAGGAAACTGTTTTACCTGTCTATAAATGATATTATTACAACCAAAAGCGGAACTACATGCGCGTATCATGGTAAACTCCGAGCGAATGAGCTCTAAAAAGATGTAATTCTACCTGTTGTGGGCGAAACAGGGCATGTTCACTTGAAAATTAAAGCCTACCTCCATTAGCGTTTCCAATAGTTCCTGTGGAAGGATTCCATATCCATTTCACCTGTCGAAATGTGAGTAAGATCAGATTGAGCCAGAAAGTCGGTCATTTCCACTTTCTCCCCCGCCCCTTTCATCTTCCCACCACGATGTGTTCCAATTCTGTAAGTCATACATGGAGTCCCTGATGAGGTGTACTAAAAGGATTACCTCTTGGCTTTGGACAACGAGCAGTCCCTCCTTTTCGGCGTCGCGCAAGTCGAAAAAAATAGCACAAAAAAAAGAGGTGAAGTTTGCGCAAGATTTGCCAAGATTTGACTCGCGCGCCGCCTTCGCCAAAAAGGAGGTACTGTTCGTATTCTATCTTGGCACCGGATACGCATTGGGTTGGATTTGCAAAAAGAATTAGAATCGACTGGAAGACGACACGAGCATCAAGATTTGTGCCACGTTCAAATCCCTCCTGGCGCCTACTGCTAATAAAAAAAAAAAAGCTGGCAACTTACTCCATCCGGACAGTTATAAGAGTTGACCATGTTTGGCTGGGGGTTGTTGTGACGAGAATATGGAATTACAAACGCAGTAGGGAAAGGTTTTCTCTGTTGAAAGTGTCGTTGGTATGTCGTGGAGCCAAATCTGTAGTTGATTGGAGCGTAGTTGGCAGAAGAAACCCTGAAAAAAGAAATAACTATATTCAATTTAATAGCAGCTATTGTAGAGCAAATTTTTTATGTAAATGTAAACTTTTTAAATATTCCTCATGTCATAAAGAATAATCAAACGAGTGAGCCTACAAGTTCAAAATAATTTGAGGTACGCTTCGGTCGTCCCAAAATAAATGAAGCATATTTTTCGGACAACGGAGCGCTGCCATGTTTTCAACTATTGATTCAGTCTCCGAAAAGAGAGAGATCAGGGAAAGAGATTGAAATACGAAATTATTCAGTGCACAGGCATACTCGGAGAAAAAGAACTCCGAATGCTCCCCCTACGAGTCGAACCGACAACCTTCCGATTAGTACTTCGGGAAAGAGAGTGGGCTTAACTTTTCTTTTAGCAGGAAATGGTTCTAGTTCAAGCAGTTCGAGGTAGAATCACCGCGCCTTATAAAATTATTTGTGAATAGTACAGCACAACAAAGGCTAAACAAATTATATTTCGACGAACTTCAGTTTTACTTTAGCTATGAGACGATCGATTGCAAAGGCTTCAAGAAAAGGTTTTACTCTCCCATATCATAAAAGACTAATCCATACGATATCTGAGTAACTAAGCCATCAAACCGGGGTGGTTTTCAGGTTAACCATAAAGCTGTTCAATCGCTGAAATGACCTTAATGTTTCGCATCACTCTCACGTTTGCAATGTGTTACGACGAAAGCATGACCATTTGTTCCATGTCAAGTAGAAATTTGAAAACACTTTGCTTTAGTGTTATTTTCTTTAACACAATACCTTTAATTTAGCTTGTAAACTACCCTTTGGAAGTTGCTACAGCCAAAATATGGCAAGCGTTCGTCCGCGTTACTATGACAACCACTTAGAGTAGCTCAGGCACTGTAGTTAAATACTCGAGTATTTTTACCTGTTTGGCACAGGAGGCGGCCAATATCTGCCTCTAAAATCACTGTTGTATTTTGTGTCGTACATGTGAGTGAAGGAATATGGCTTAAAAGCGGGCTGGTACAAGGCAGAAAGTGATGTCAGCCTCACACCCGGCCGCTGACTCTCTGCCGAAGGTGTCTCCTCGACGTCAGCTGCAAAGTGAAAAGAGTAAACAAATAATCATTGACTTCTTTGCAATGACTACACCACCAAATCAAACGAATAAACATTGAATCGAGTATAAAGGTATAAGGAAATCAACTTTATACTTACTCGTTATAGGTCGTGTCTGATTATGGCGAGAAGAGTAAGATGTGCCTTTAGGTCGGAGATTTGTTGTCGTCTCTGGACGTGCCGACTGCCGTGAGGTTGGATGGTTTTCCGATGTGTCTTTCATGTTGAAAGCTCTTTCTTTACAAATTAATTCATTTCACTCTTGGTTTTAAGTGAGATCTATTTCCTTTGTTGATAAACACTTTAAAGTCGCTAAAAACGACGACACAGCTGCCGTTGCATGCGCTTGAAATCGAAGGGGAAAAATTAACGCAGTATATGGGGGTGTTCAGCGGACACGCAACTAGGACTGATTGATCTGTGTAAGTGTCACGGAAAATTAAGGACATTTCTCGAGCATACATGATTCACAAAATGACACAGAACGTTTCCCTGCGCAAAATGTAAATATCAGTCAGCTTCCGTACGGAATGACTGTTGAAAAAGGAATATAAGAATTATATTCTCTTGATCTGTCCAATCATTGCACAAAAGAAATAAATAGATAACGAGCACGAGAGAATTTTGGCAACTATCGTATAAGAAAACAACTTTTCCTCGCAAAATTTCACCGAAATCGCATGGTAGCATTCTCATGATCAGTTCAGGGTAAAGCAGGCTGACATGCGGTTTTACAACAAACATAAGTCATCCACTGTCATTCCATATGGAGGCTGACTGAAATTTACATCTTGCGCGGAAAACACTTTAAATGTCATTTCATATACCATATATGCTCATGCTAAAATGTCCTATAATTTTTTCCGTTACACTTACACACCATTTTGGCTCTAGGTGCGTGTCCGTTGAATACCCCTATACTACGCCCGGGCTTGGATTTTTCCCGTCCCAGTGTGTACGCTGATGGCTATAGAATGCGTGACTGATGGTTTTTTGTGGCTACTGCCTTCTAAGAGGCGAAGCCACGTGTGTTATCGAAGTGAGTGACTGATGCTAACATTACAATGCTGAACTTCACCCGATTTTGACCCGATGTCATTTGTGGTTTATTCCGGAGTATGTTCGTGGTTCGAAATTCGCACCAAAGATTATTTGGCGCAGCATACGCTTAAAAAAAAGAAGAATGCCTTTGAAATAAATTATTTTGTGCTTGAATAACCCAAAATATTAATTTTCAGTTATTGCGTGACACTACAGAAGACGATAAATATCACTTCAGGATGGTGCGTGATTAAAGACAAAACATTTCCTTGCAGAAATATCTTAATGGACGTGATCGGTGCATATGGAAACTTAAAGAATAATTTTTTTTCATGTTAGAGAGAGCATTTTAACGTTCGAATCAGTTGATAGACATCTCAAAATAATTTTGGCGTGTAGTTAAAAACAAAACTTTTCCTTGCGGAATATCTAAATAGGTGTGATCGGCACATCGTGGAAGCTTTGAGCAAATTTTATCATCTGAGGACACAGCACTACCTTTTGAATCAGCGACTAATGCCCAAAAGAGCCGCTGAATTTGCGAAGCGAGCAAGGTTAACAGGGTGACCCTTTTCGATGGCAGATGAAATGGTTGAGTGGTAAAGGGCGAAATATCCTTAAACACGACATTATGGAATATCCTAAAACGCTGAATGCGATGTTGTATGAAACTTAAGTCTCACAAAAATTAAAATGCAATGACATTAGAAAATGATTTATGATTAACAGGCAAAATTAAACCAAGTAGTTTAATCATTATTCGTTAGTGGAGCCAAGAGGAAAGAGGATATTTTTTCATTTTGGACACTAGTGGCCGATTTTGGATTTTAGACGTTCCTGGCCCTTTCTGCGTTTGGGACACTAGTGGCCGATTTTAGAATATGGATACTGGTGGCCGACTTAGGATTTTGGACACTAGTGTCCGATTTTGGATTTCGGACACTAGTGGCCGATTTATCATTTTGAATGGTAGTGGCCAATTTTGTGTTTTGGCCTTGGCAGATTTTGGATCTTGGACGTTAGTGGCCGTTTCTTCTTTTGGACGCTTGTGGCATGCCCCATTTTGGATTTTGGACCTTATGGCCGTTTCTTCAGTTTTGACACTAGTAGCCTTATTTAAATTTTGGACACTAGAGGCCGATTTTGCATTTTGGACGCTAGTGGGCGATTTTGGATTCCGGACACCAGTGACCAATTTTGTGCACCAGTGGCCAACTTTGGATTTTTAACTAGTGACTAGTGGCCGATTTTGGATTTTGGACACTAAATGGCCGATTTTAAATTTTGGACACTAGCGGCCGATTTTAAATTTGGATACAAGTGGCCGATTTTAGATTTTGGACACTAGTAAACGATTTTGGATTTTGGACGCATTTTGGATTTGGACGCTAAAGACCGATTTTAAATTTTGGACACCAGTGGCCCATTTTGGATTTTGAATTTTGGACACTAGTGGCCGCTTTAAAATTTTGGACACAAGTGACCGATTTTAAATTTTGGATACAAGTGGCCGATTTCGGATTTTGGACACTTGTGGAACACTTTGGATTTAGGACGCTTGTGACTGATTTATCATTTTGGACACTAGTGACCCGAATTGGGGTTTTGAACCTTAGTGGTCCTGACCGATTTTGGATTTGGACATTGGTGGCCGATTTCGGATTTTGGACTCACTTTGGATTTTGGACACTTGTGGCCGATATAAGATTTTAGACACTAGTGGCCGATTTGGATTTTGGAAGCTAGTGGCCGATTTTGGATTTTAGACACTAGTGGCCGATTTTGGATTTTGGATGCTAGTGGCCAATTTTGGATTTTGGACGCTAAAGGCCATTTCTTCATTTTTGACACTAGTGGCCGATTTTGGATTTTGGACACCAATGGCCCATTGTTGATTTGAACTCTAGTGACCAATTTTAAATTTTTGACATCAATGGCTAATTTTGGATTTTGGACATTAGTGGCCGATTTTGGATTTAGTACCTTAGTTGCCCATAATACAACCTCTAGTTCTCTTCATTGCTATAAAAATTGTGCTAAATCAGTGGCCACATGCTTCAACTCCCTATTTTTCGTGTTGTCACGCAACAAGGATGAAACTCATCCCAGTATCTTCCCAGTTTGGCCTCCATCCTGGACTTGGCCAACGGAATAGGGGTAATAAAACTTGCTCATTCAGTCGTTTTATTTAGAGTTTTAAACTGCTCCAATTCAAAATGCCTTGTAAATATCTAAAAGTTCTACGTGCTAAAGGCTCCAAAAATATCAATGTGTCATTACCTTGGAACTGCGCCTGCAAACTTAGCTGTCAGTGGAGAAAAAAAATTGATAGAGGACGAACTGGTCACTAATTAACACAAATATACACACTACTTCGAAGAACTGCAGGAAGTTAACCCACAAACAATCCGAGTTGTTTCAAGCAAAATACTGATATTAATGGGTCACAAATGCTCGTCATTTTTCAGACCGTCAGTGACGGTAAATGGGAAAAAATACCGAGTGGTTAAAGAACTTGGAGAAGGAGGTAACTTAACTAGAGCATTCACTCTGCCATCTGTTAAGCTTACGCATTTGGTACCAGGCCAGAGTTTGCAATATTGTAACTTCCTTCGGCAACTTTTCTAATCTCTGTTAGTTAACCGAGAATTTGAAAGTCGATGTGATCGCCTCCAAGAAGGAAATTGTCCCTAACTGTCGTATTGTTTTGTGAAGCTGAATTACACTGTATGTGACGATCAATTTACCGGCAGAGTTAGGAATTTCTGACAGAGATCGATCCTCTGAACGTTCACTGGCTAATGAGGCCCAAGTTATGTTTCTGTTAAATTTTAATCAAGGAAGGTATTCATTAGATCCATAGGTAGGAAGTAAAAGATCATCGAAAAAAAATACCTTAACTTTGAACGAAGGACTGGAGTAAAATTGTCCTGTGATCTGAGTGAAATATTTTTCCCAGAAACAACCAGATGACTAAATATAAATCAGCCGACTAAAAAAGTAAACAAAAATGTGAATGTGTCTTTGAACGAAGGACTGGAGTAAAATTATCCTGTGATCTGAGTGAAATATTTTTCCCAGAAACAACCAGATGACTAAATATAAATCAGCCGACTAAAAAAGTAAACAAAAATGTGCTAACAAAAACGAAAGAAACAAAAACAAAATGAAGCACAACAAAACAATCAGCAATAACAGGGGTTTCAATAACACAGTTTATTGTGGGTCTGCTGCTTCCCACAAGAACTCTTACCAATGTCTGGTTTACGAATAGGCTCATTAAGTTTAGGTTTTGCCCTTACAGCCCTTTTTCCATGCACAGTTGCCTATTACACCTTCTCAGCCACGTATGGGAAAAGTTTTTGAAACCTCTGAGTAATTAATTGATAAAGATAATGATAATAATAATGATAAGGGTTATGATAACGATAATAATCGTAATGATGGCGACGATGTATTTGTTTTTATTGGTATGATCTCGTTTCTACCTTAAATTCCAATTTTGTCAGTCTTATTTAAAATTAGTAACCAAAGAGTGAAAAGATTGCTGAAGTTATTGTGATTGCTAGCTAATTTTACTCCTGACAATTGTTTTGAATTGAAAACATTTAAAAGAGTGATTCTCCCCATCAATGAGTCATAAGAAAAAGTGATGAAATGATCATAACGCGTGCATGTATTACAATCAGTTATTGCAATTTGTTACCATGATTTGGCAGTGTGTTTAGAATTGTACAATATTCCCTCAGACTCCATCTTTGGCTAGTCACAATATTGTGGCACTTACCCTTGACAACCCAAATATTTTTCTCAACCATTAGAGAACTGTTGAGGGTAAACATGGCTTAAAGGTTTAGTATTCTTATTTCTAACCAACTATGTAGCATTTAATTTTAATTAATTTTCCCTTTTTTAAATCTATTATTATTAGCAGTACAATTATCTTAATGGTAAATTTATAAATACAGCTCTAAACTGGACCTTCCAATGTTTTATTTCCAGCCTTCTCCTATGTTAATCTAGTTCATCGTGGAAATGAATGGTTTGCTCTGGTAAGTTTGAATTTGATTTAGTACTGTCATTGCATGTGGTGAAAATTATCTTTCAGATACACAGATCTGTGCTTTTTTGAGACTGAAGAGGTAGAAATATAGCAGATCCCTGTGATATTTCTGCTCCCAGTTTTTCTCTGGCTTGGTTTCAAGGACACCATGCTCTCCCAAACATATTTCAATAACTTGCTAAGAGAGGGATCCTTGTGGTCTCCTTTATTAATTTATATATTAATTTCAATCTTTTGATCATTTTCATTCTGTCCCTTTAGAAAAGAATCCGTCTTGATCTTCCTGAGCAAGAAGAGGTGAATACTAATATTCTTTAAAAATAACTTGAAATACCCTTCAGACAGTAAGACTAATGGTCTCATTTTACATTTAGGCATTTTTTAACAAGCTTTAATGGAAAGTTCTTTGCTAGACAAAGTCACAGGTGTATCACCAGCTTAAGAGGTTTTATAGGTGGCAGTAGGCCACTGTTAATAGGCTTTTATAGAAACCCTTGATGCATATATTCTGAATTATATAATGTGGAACAAGACCACACTAATACAGGAAAATTATATGTATGAAAATGATTGTACTTGGTTCCCAATCTCAGACTCTATAGACTTCTTCAAGTGTCTTTGGATATGACTGACAAATCACATGCTTTTACTCACAACAATAGGCATGTAAAGAAAATGGCTAATGAATATTTTTGTTTAGTTCTGGGATTTTATTTGTTCTGATCACAACAGGCATTTGAACGTGAGGTAGATGCTCATAGAGCTGTTTCTCACCCAAGTGTCCTCGACTTGCATGATGTGGATGTGGTATCTAAAGGAACATATAAAGAGGCACGCATGCTTGTGACTTACTACAAGGTATTTTCATTCCATCTGCTACATTTATTCAAATCTCAGTTTTATTAATTACAAGTAACTGCCAGTAAATATAGCTTTAAACAATTAAAAACAAAAGGGTCTTATTACATAATTCTTCTCACACTATTCAATGTCTCCTAGAATGGAACAGTGCAAGACTTGATTGAACGCATACAGCTTGCAGGAGGTCACATCCCTGAGTTAAATATTCTTCATATGTTCAAGTCACTCTGTGAAGCTATACTTGCTTTTCATAGCTTAGACCCACCTCTGGCACACAGAGATATCAAGGTAGGAAGAGTCTGTATTATAGATCATGGTTTACACACCAGACTGAGTTACATACAGCTGCTGTTTATCTCAGATTCTGCAACATGAAAGGCTTGAAAGTATTGCCAGTTTCTTGGATAGATGCTAGGAGTTTATCCCCATCATTTTTTCATGTTTCTTTGACAGTTGACTGGTGTTGTACATTTGATTTAATATTCCCCGTTGAGATAGAAAAAGCAGAAGTTAATTATCTTTCCAGCAACACAGCAAAATGACCCTTTCTAGGGCTGGAACGCAGCCTTTTTTTATTCAGTGGAGTCAAGTTCACAGATCATTAATCCATTGTGTTCCCCTATACCTGGGACCAGATTATTGTTGTAAACTCACCACAATCAAATGATGGTTTTTATGTGTAAATCATGAAGATGCATCATTTGTAGGCAATGATGGTGCTTTAGAAGATTTTTGACTCTGCCAACTAACTGGTAACATCCCCTTTTTTCAGCCTCATAATTTGTTAATTGGTCCTGACATGACTGTGGTACTGATGGATCTTGGAAGTGTCTCCAGAGCAAGATGTGTCATTACTTCAAGGTAAGGAATAGGTGATGGATTTTAATTTGAACAAAAGAGTAGCGTATTATTATTGTCCAGGTGAGGCTAGGATCAGAAAAGTCTGATGTTAGAGGCAGTAAGGGATGTTTTGACAACCTGGGTGGAGATCACTAAATTAAATAAATAATAAACTAATTTGTTTTTTACAAAAGTCACAATGATGTCACTAAACCATTGACAGTTGGATTTTGCCTACTGATATAAAATATCTTGTGTTTTGGAGGGTGGAGAAGAGACCAGGTGGAAGGAGTTAAGATAATTTTTGAGTGTGAATGAGGTTAATGTGTTGGGGGTTTTTGTTTGTTTGTTTGTTTTTAAACAGGGAATTTGATCAGACACATTTGTAGTGAATCACACTGCAAAAGTTTGGAATGATAAAAAAAAACCTGACACATTTCAGTACAGAAATGGCAGGTTGAAAAAAAAACCTGGCTTGTGAGGTGGATGCTATAAAACCTAGCTGATGTTAATTTTTAAATCTTTTTTAAATTCTATTTTTGTTTAAAGGATTTAAAATAATTTATTATGCCTTGTTTTATCTTGCAGAAGGGAAGCCTTGGCCCTTCAAGAGAGGTGTGCACAGGAATGTACCGCTGCATACAGGTGGGAAACAAGTGTTCAGTTTTGTACAGCATGAAGACACTGTCTACTAATATTATAAAAATTTAAATGCTGGGGAGGCCTTAATCCTTTAACTCCCAGAAGTAACCTCTCCCTACAATATTCATTCACTATCCAGCAAGCAGGTAATGAGAATGCTCAAATGTAGAAATTTGTTATCTTGATCTAACACCAAACTCTCGTAAACTATTTACAAAGAAATGTGTAGCAGGTGGAGGGGAGAATTAACAATGCACCTGTGCATTCATCTTGATGTCTGATTTCCTGTGGGTGGGGGGGAGGGGGGGTTGCAAGAGTCTCTAAAGATAAAATTTTGTCAAACTGCAGTATAGCATTAGATACGAACAGTTTTATTTTAGTGCACTTTGTTTTTATATCTATCTAGAGTAGGAAAGTAGGATTCCCCCCCCTCATTGAAGGTCTGATGTCAGTAAGTAATGTTATCTGTACTGACTTGCAGGGCTCCAGAACTGTTTGAAGTTCCTTCAAACTGTGAAATTGATGAGAGAAGTGACGTTTGGTCTTTGGGTTGTACTCTGTTTGCCATGGCTTATGGTGAGATTTTTCTTTAAATTGATTGAAATTGCAGCAGAAACTGAAATTACAAAGGGTATATGGCAATTTTTTTTGTCTCACTGGAGGCGGTAGAACTGGGTTTTTATATGTCAGTAGTAATTATTGGTTTTGTATGTTTAACTTGTTGGTTACTCAGAGCATGGTAATCATAGCATAAGAACAGTAATGTCAAAATGAAGATGATATAACAGAATAACAGCGCCATTTGTTCAATGGTGAATACTTTAAATATTTTCAATAGAGAAGAGTCAAAATCACAGAGAAATAGAATTTCATTAATGTGGCAAACATGAGAATAGACATCAGCTAGCCTACTCACCTATCCCCAGTACTTAAGGTACGGGATGTGATGACACCCTACAAGTTCATCAGAACACATGGTCTAAAGTAAAAAACCCGCATATAAGAACCTAGAATTTTGGAGGTCAGGCTGAACAGGTTCCTATATTTTGGGGTATTTTTTCCAATAACAGGCTGATTAGGTTCTTAGTAGGTTCTTATTTGCAAAAGTTATTATAATGATAGCATTCGGGGGACTGCAATAGTACTAATATGCTATAGTTGTAAAGCATTTACAAAAATGTCAAGCCTTGTTGTCGAAACAAGTCCTGTATCATGTATCAAAAAACTGTTTTGATTTTTAAATGTACTGTACAGTATTTGTGACTGTATTTGTAACTACAGAATGAGTAATATTTTATTGGTAAGACTAAAAAGCAGTACACTACAAAAATTTTCACTATTGAAATCCAGAATTTGAACATCAAATCTGGAGTGTTTTTTTTAATATAAAAACATATTTTTCTTTGTCAGGCTGAATAGGTTCTTATATATTTGGGTATTAAAATGCAAAATTTCAGCCTGTAGGTTTTTAAATAACTAGGTTCTTATACGTGGGTTTTTACTGTATCTCAAAAATGTTTAATGTCTCTGGCCCTGTACCAGGGAATTACTCACAGGGAGTCTTTGATTTCCTACGCAACAGATGAGAATCTCCATAAAATTATGTTCAGCATTTTTCATGGTTTTTGTTTTAAATCAGGTCAAAGCCCTTGTGATGGCTCAGCGCTCTCTGCAAATAGTGGTAATATTCAAATTCCAAGTAACAGGTAAGTTTCTTGTCTAGTTTTCTATAACAAGCTTATGTTCTTGTGTGCTTCATAGTTGCCAACGTTTAGACAATCAATCTGTAAACTTCACATTGCCATGTTTTTTTCCTTATTCCCACCATTCTTACTTTTAATCTGGAAGATTTCATGGGGCTCCATCCTTTTCAGACATGAGAGCTAGTAGTTCACCAGACATTTTGGCTTAAAATATAAACTGCTGGAGTTAGAAATGAAATGAGGAGACTGAAACTTTAATGGTAGCTTCTTTGCAAAGGAACTGAGAGAGGACAGGAAAGTTTCCTATCCAACTTTTTCTTTTATGAGAGGGATTTTGTAATGAGGTGCATAGCTAAAAGTACATATAAAGAGTTTTAAGCCCTTGTTAGGGTGCTGCAGAGTCAAACAAGGAACTCATACGAATCTGATGCGATTAAATGTGAACTTCAGCCGCGGGAAGATGTTGAGGGTGGCGGAATTTTTCTCGACCAATCGCTGAGCATAGTAAAGCCAAACCGATGGGATCCCATTTTACTTTTGTCTCAAAGTTTGAAATTCCTGTAGACCTGATGCTAGTTTGGCTCTTAAGAAACCTGAGCACTCCACTTCATGTGCTCTTCAAGAAGTTTGTAGAAATTGACTTATCTCATGTTTGTTTTTCAGTGTTTATTCAATGGAGCTAAATGGTCTGATAACAAGTATGCTTAAAGTGGATCCTCAAGAGAGACCTACGCTTCAATTGATTTTACGCAGACTAGAAAACCTAGCTCCCGCCTCATCAGTCTTTAGCTTTGAAGGCGGAAGAAGTGTTTCCATACAAATGTAAAATTTACTTTACCTTTTTTTAATCTGACATATAACTATTTGATCAAATTACTTAGAGAATCGTATCACTAAAACCCAAGTTATAGGAAGACATTTCGATTTATTGTCTTAAAATCAAAACCAAAGTTATCACAATAGAGAACAGAGCAAAAAAAATTATCATACGGAGTCAATAAGAGAAAACAAGCGAACTGCTTGATGCGCGGGAAAATGTGAATGACAAGGTCGTAATTAATATAGGTTTTGAATCTGATTGGTTGAAAGTATAGGCGTGCGTTTTCATGGCCAATCACAAGTCGAAGTGAAGCAAAACCAAAGCAGTCCTGGATTACTTTTGACACTCAAATAAGTGCGCTAAAACCCACCGTTAGTACGTACTCAGAACCCGAAATTTCGAATTTCGTAGCTTTAGAGTAGGCTGTTATTGCCATTTCGAACTCGTTTTGAAATATTTAGCCAGCAATGTGAAGATATCTTGAGTTTTTTTCTGGGGGGAGGAGGGGAAGGAGTGAAGACAATTGCCGATTGTTGTAAAATAGGAATTAGCAAACACTCATAGAGGCAAGTATCAACTGGAGAGGTGAATAACTATGTTGAAGATGGAGAAGGATTACACAGATCGAAAATAATTCAAGATTAATAATATAAGAGCCCCTACATTTTCAAGATATGCAAATTGTTATTCCCCTCGCAGCCGCCGTCTGTCACGCAGAGAGGAAGCGTTGCGTGACAAGGCCACTAAGGATACTATAGATAAACTATAACTTACTCCCTTTCACTACACATGAGATTTTTAACCTATTCACTCCAAGGTCCTATTAGTAATTCTCCTTTAATGTCTCCCACACAATTCTTATGTTGGTCGTTTGGAGAATTCTCTATCGGATCAACACAATTATTCTCATCACTTGCTTGCTAGATATTGTATTCATAATGTTAGGAGAAATTCTGTCTTGTTCACTCCTGGGAGTTGAAGGGTTAAGACCTTGTACTTAAAGATTAACTGATATCCAAAAGCTTTGAATGAGTTATTTAAATATGAGTGATGAAATCTCAAGTGTGTAATTCGGTCAAGAAATCTTGCCCATAAAGGCTGCTAAATAGTGTCTAACGCAAAGAAGTGTCATCAGATGTACCTTTATGAAGGAATAGAGCACCTAAGCGAGACTATTCGTTATTACTGGTATATTCCTCTTATAACATTTTTTTCTTTCAACTATTGCTTTGTGTGGAGCCCTCAATTACATCAACTGCAGTAATTCTGGACAGACTTCTCGCGCTGTTGTTGGGTCTAAGATACAGACCTGTTGTTACATTAAGGCGGATCCGAGTAGTCTTAACATGCTTCTGGCATTAATCGGTCTTTCTAACCATTTTTCACTCTATCATTATCACCCTTTTTAGCCCAATTTCAGCTGTTTTTTTTATCCATAGTTCTTCTGTTCGTTTCGGCCTATTCTTACAGCAAGGTCAACGTTCGTCTCCGCCACTAAATGCCGCTTGTACGAGGCAATATTTTCCAAGAACATTCGGCCCCTAGAGGCGTCATGCAACTGAATTAAATATTCGCGTTACAAGAACACAGTTTCCGCCATTGCATGGGTACAGCTCGGACTATTTGTTTTGTATCTTCCTATCGTACTGGATTCTTTTTCACAAATCCAAGTTTTCATGACGTCAATTTACTTAAACTCATCTCTGAACCCCTTTCTTTACTGCTGGAAAATCGGGGAGGCGAAACAAGCTATAAAGGACACAATTAGACAGTTAAACTGCCGTTGTGGGCCAAACTAAACCCAGGTGTTGTACAAAACAGTGCAAAACTCCGTGGGATGGACAGCTGGACTCATGACTTTTTAGTGTACAAGTTTTATATTCAGGCCATTGAATCGCCACGAGAAAGAATCTCTCTATCAAGGTGACGGTTGTTATTCCACTAGTCTACAAAGAGTGGCTCACAGTTAGGCGACAACATCCTCCCAATTGATCATGTTGATGTTAAAGGAATATTTTCTTCAGAGTGGTAGTAAACCACAGCCTCAAAGTTCAATTCAGCCATTTCTTGCGGAAGCATTAATAACTTGCCTTAATCATTTCAAGATGTTACTAGGATTGTAGGAGAGAATTAGAGAGATTCTGTGGAAAACTAGAATAGGAACAAATTTAACAAAACTGATAAATATAACAAATGTTTTTACGGTATTTGAAAGTGAAATTGCAAAATATTTACTCACGACATATTTACACAACAAAGGAACCGATCAAATTGCAAAATATTTAAGCTGGTAGAAACAGGATCTTTTGAAATGATTGCACTATAGCCATTTATTTCGTACATAAAAAATATGACTGCGCGTATCACCCGAAAGAGAATATTCATCATCATCAGAGCAGGCCGAAACCAAACCATTCAAGGCTTTAGGGGGAATTCAAGATCAGTTTTATGGTCGTATGTAACTGTGCCTAGCTGGTAACGTCACCCACCTGCGCCTTACAAATCGACCTCCTCACGACATATTTACACAACAAAGGAACCGGTCAACACGGTTAAACATTTTGAAGTCTCACAACTAATAAGACCTGAGCAAAACTGACCAATCAGTTTACACAAAACTAGTTTTGTAGACATCGACTGACGAAAACTCTTTCTGCTACGTGCAGTTCTCGAAACATCACTAAGCCACTATAACCAACAACAGTCTTTCTCAGAACTACTCTCACCCGAACGATCACAGTACACCATCAAAATCAGTCAAACAAGAACAGTTTACAGTAGCCAACATTTGCCTTTCTGAGAAAAAACTCTCTGTTGCTGGCTTTGAGAAAAATGCTGAACACCACTGATGAACATACAAACTCCTCATTTGAAGTCAGTTATCCGGCGTCACTTGTGGGGACGTCTGCAGCATTCGCATCCTTGAACACTTTTCTCTCCATCACCGCGACACTTGGCAATGTTCTCATCCTAATTGCTCTTAACAAGGTGACTTCGATTTGTCCTTCGACGAAACTTTTGTTTCGATGTCTGGCGGTCACCGATCTTTGTGTTGGACTGATAACACAACCGCTGTTAACAGTAACGCTTCTTACCAGCTTCAACTACGATGAATATGTTGAAGACATACAGGTGATCTCATCTATGGTTCTTTGTGGTATTGTGGTCGATAAGTGTGGACAGACTTCTTGCGTTGTCGTTGGGTCTGAGGTATAGATACGTTGTTACATTAAGGCGGGTGCGAGCGCTTATTATCTCCTTTTGGTTTCTAGTTGGTGCTTCGTTTGGGTGTCTCCTCATTTCAGGAATTCACTTTTTTGTATTTGGTGTTGTGATGCTTATTTCTCTTCTTATCTCGGCCATCTCTTACGCTAAGATCTATTTCCGTCTCCGTCACCAACTGCTTCATGTACAAGGCCATGTTCACCAACGACAACAACTTCCTCCCAATGGCGTAGTACCGACTGCATTGAATGTAGCGCGATACAAGAAAACGGTTTCCTTCATAGCATGGGTACAGCTTGGATTATTTGCTTGCTACTCTCCTCTTTGTATTACTTTAGTTTCCCCCCATTTTGCAGAGTTTTTGGACGATAATACAATTTTTTTTTTCCTTTGTTTACTATTCTTAAACTCATCTCTGAACCCCATTCTTTACTGCTGGAAAATCAGGGAGGTGAAACAGGCTGTAAAGGACACAATTAGACAGTTAAACTGTTGTTGTGAGCTAAATTGAACCTTTGTGTTATGAAAAACAATGTAAAACTCTGTGGAAAGAAAAAAACGGCTGGACTTAAATACAAGTTATATTCCGACTACTGAATTGCCACATGATCAAGAGAGGATCTCTGTATCAAGGTGACAGTTGTTTTTCTCCTGGTCTACAAAGAGTGGCTCTATACGTTGGGTGACAACATCTTCCTAAATGATTTTGATGTTGTGTTAAGGAATATTTGCTGCCACCATAGGGTGCGACTGAGCCACAGGTTCTCCTACAATCGGCGGGACCAAAACAGCTAAAACGGAACCAACACCAAACTGTTTTCTAGTTCAAACAGGTATAGATACTGAACACCGCTGTACTCTGTTGTTTACCGGCTACTGAGCAAAGCTGCAAAGCCAACGAGTTTGGGAAAGGAGAACCAGTTGTGGTCTACGACATGACACTCTAATGATATTTCGTCTTTCCTCTCAGAACAATTGAAAACTCACCTACATCCAACTGGAAACGTGTTAGAGTACATTGATACCAGGCAGTTCAAACCTTATTCACATATAAATATCACTCGATAGCGCTGAAACAATTTGGCAGTGAAGGAAGAACATTTTATGACCTATAAAGTATATATACAAAAAAAAGCCTACATGCACAGCTTTACCTCGGACCCTTTTAAAGGTATAGTAAATGAAAACTAGGTTGTTCATTATAGATATTTTTATTTGACATGTTTCTTTTTTCTCTTTCGCTTGTGATGATCTGGAGGATTTCTTCCGTTTGACAAAAATATTCACCACTATTTGGTGCTATGAACGATATTGACTGATGACATAGCCTTATAAAAGTGCGCGCTCTGATTGGTTAATACGCTTGATCGATTTGCCTGTGGGCTACATGCTGAGGTCAGTTTGTTTTCCTTTTTTTTCCTACACAAAACGAAAGATGTTGAAACTCTCAATGTTATATAAGAAACGGTAAGCGTGCAGCGTGCAACCATGGTCATGATTTATATTGACAAGGAGCTGTACACATCCCAAGGAGGCTCCATAAGGTTTTTTGACCGCGCGAGATCTAGGTGCAAACATAGCACGAGCCTTAAAAGTGTCGACATGCAAAACAAACATGGCGGCTCGATATGATAGCACGATTGTTATCTGAAAAGGTGTATAAAAAACAGTATAATACAATAAAGTCTTTACGCAATGAAATCTAAGGTCTCCTGCAAAAGCACCCGTAATATTCTTAGGCCTTCTACGCCTGAAAAGAGGTCAACGGAAAAGAAAACACA